CTTTCCTCCTTATTCCTCTGATACACATGACCAAGATTCAGCCTTCAAACTTCTGTTTCAGTATTTTCCCTTTTCTGTTTTAAATTTAGTAGATGGGGAGTGCTCCACAAATGCAGTCGTCATTTCTTCACTTTCCCCACTCCAATTTCTCCTTCCCAAATTCTATGTTAAATTTCTCTTAATATTCTTCTTAGTAAGCTAATTTTTATTTGATTTGAAGGAAAATTGTCTTCATTTTTTGACCCCCTTAATGGATTCTGTTTGGTGCGATTGATTTCGTCTTCCTTTCTAAGAAGTCCTATCCCATCGACTTCCAAGGCACCACACCTTCTTAATTCTTCCTGTTTCACAACCCTGTAACCCCCCAGCTGCTATTCTCAGGCTGCTGTCAATTTCACTTTGCACATGGTTACATTTCTTCATGATGACAGAATTCCTAATCTATAATCCTTTTCTGTACCATTTATCTTAAATGGTTATCTCCATTTTCCATATCTTCAGTGCCTTAAACATCTCCATTTGGATATCATCTGTTTACATTTAACATGCTCAAAATAAAAATCTGGATTTTTCAAAAATTTATTTTCATTAGAGAGGTGGATTTATAGAAAATTAATAGCTGTAATGATTCGAACTGAGCTGCTCTGAAGCCAGGAGCCAAGAGCCAGGAGCTTCAGTTTTCTACTCTGGTGCAGGGTTCTATGGTTTTGAGACATTCTCCACTGCTTTCCCAGGCCACAAGCAGGGAGCTGGATCAGAACTGCTGCAGCCAGGACCCAGTGGAGTAGCTGACACTTGAAGGCGAAGGATCTGCCATTTGAGTCATGGTGCTGGTTCCAAATTCTGGATTTTCCTTTCCAAAATTTAGTCCTCAAGCAATTTTCCCTCTCAACTGGTGTTAATTCCAAACTCACAGTTGCTTAGCCCTCAAAACTTGACATTATCTTTAATATCTTTTTCTTGCACCTCATATCAAGTCTATGAATAAATCATTCTGCCATCAAAATATGTTGGGAATCTGATCACCAGACTTCTGTTACCACTTTTATCAATTCCATCATCATCTCACCTGGAGATGGATGTCCATCTCTAGACCTTGTAGCTGGATGTCCTGCCTCATCCTTTGTTCCTTATCAGTCTTTACCAAGAAACCAGATAGATTTCTGACTGTCTCTGACCTCATCTCTATACCCTGTCCTTACCCTACCCTGGAAGCATTCTTCTCGTACTACACTTGTGCTGCTGTTGTTGGCTCTCCCCCCACTCCCGATTCCATCTAGAGTACTCTTTTGATGACTCGTCCTTTCACTTTATTATCCTTTACTCAAATATCTCCTGTTTAGGAAATGCTTCTCTTAACATTCTGTATGAATTTCTCTTTTCTAATTCTATTTTAGTGTCTCTGAATGACCTTTTTTAAAATACATCTGACATATTACACTTTTACATTTGGGCATAAGAATGATAGATAGAATGTCATTATTGATTCAAGCCTGGCACCACTTTCTAATTTAATTACTTAATTATATGCTTATTTCTGTAAACAGCAGTAAACTCCAGCACTCATTACAGAAATTAGAAGCATAAATCATTATATATGAGAGAATCTCAAAAAATGTAGAAATATAAGATTAAGCTTGCTTTGGTGCAAAAATTTTGAAATACATTTGTAGCTTTTACATTTTCCATGAAAATATTTAGTATCTTAGCTATATGCATGCATGTATATACATATGTCAATACTTATATATGCATATGCATATAAATATACTTGTTGAATTGAAATATGTTTTTTTTCCCCTCCTCTCTCAACTAGGATCCAAGCTCTGTGAGTGTCAAGGACCTTGTTGGTTCCTTCTGTATACACAACAGCTGAAGTAGTGCCTAACAGAGGCACTTGAAAATGAAGCATTGTGTACTTCTGTGCTTCAGCGTGACGTACCCATCAGTGTGTCCTCAACCAGCATTCACGCTGTCATACCTGATCTGCTTCTCTCTACGCTCCTTTCCTTCACCCTAAACTCAAACCTTCTGTGACTCCTCTCTTGGTGCCGGCACCCCTGCTATCTCTGCACTGTTGGACCCCAGCATCACTATAGAACTTCTTCCAGAAGTTGTACAGTCATCTCTTGCAAAATGGTTCTGTTCCCTCCCATCCGTTTCCAGTCTTCTGCTCTCTCCCCTCCTACCCCATTCTCTCCCTGTCCACACTGTTCTGGATGGAGTGCCCTGTTTCTCTGACAATCTTCTGCAGAGTCCTTCAAGTTAAAGGAGCAAATCCAAGGTCTCGCCTTCGATGCTTCTCCACGTTCCCAGGAGGTAAATGGGAACAGACATGATGTGCTCAGTTCACACATGAGGAAGGTGCCCTCGACCGGGGGGGGGGGGGGGGGGGGCAGGCACGTAAGAGCTTCTCCAGACAACTCATTACAGTCGCTTTTCTTTTTCAGGTCAGAAGGAAGCTGGTGTTTCATGGCTTCAGCAAACCTCACTGTAAGATCTCATGGCTGTTGCTGAAAGACTATACTATTGTTATAATATAGGGGAAACAGTTTAGGAGGAAGGGGAGATGGAGACAGTGGAAGTGAAAATCCCTGAGCTGAAGAAACTGTACCATGAAAATAAGTAAAAGAAAGAAAAAAAGAAAAGAAGGAAGGAAGAGAGGGAGGGAGGAAGGAAGGAAGGAAGGAAGGAAGGGAGAAGGAAGGAAAGAAAGAAGGAAGGAAGAAAAAGAGGTGAAAGAAAAGAAAGACTAGTGCCATTCTGGAAGGTAATTATGAATATCATTGTGCTGGTACAAACACTTTCAGTAAAAGTGACCCTGCTGGGAAATCTGAAGCAAAGTGTTGGGTGGTTGCAGCTGCTAGCAACCACCCAGGCTGAACAAAGTGGGGGTCTCACGGCTGCAGGAACTCCCACCCAGACATCTTGAGAAGGTATGTTACTCCCTCACAACTTTTGGGTTGCCTAGGGGTGTGGAGGGTGGGGATACCAATTTCTTTCCTCAGATTCCCAAACTCCAGAAACTTCGCTCACATCCTTTTGTTCTCAGATGTATCATGTGAGGACACGGGGCACCTGGGCAGCCTCACTGTCCCCTAACTGGGCTTGCAGTTGGCCCCCAATTTTGGAAGTCCCTCCTGCAGCGTTACAGCTCCGGCCAAGTCACACAAAAGCTCAGATCCGCGGGAGGAACTGTGCCTATGGGTCAGGGTCAGCGAGGGTGTGCTGAGGCCACGCCTGTTTGTTTCCTGAAAGGAAATCCTCGCGGGAGGGCGGCCGATAGTGTTGAAGTGGACTTGGAGGCGCGGGGTGGCAGCATTCCCAGGCGCTTTGACGTAGACTACACGAGGCACGGGACACTCCCACTGCATAAGAGGAGGCACGGCAGCGTTGGGGACAGCCACCAGCTCCGGGAGCAGCCCAAGCACCGGCTCTCCCACTGACTCTCCACGCGCTCGAGGCGACCGTCTCAGCGCATTCGAGGGAATCCCTGGAGATCCGGAGTGCTTACAAAGAGGCATCCTCCTGCAACTCGGGAGCGCAACACAGCTTGACGAGGTGAGTGGGGTGCAAAGGGTAGAATGGGTCCCTGGCAGCTCCGCCCAGAGGACGGTGAGACCTCGGAGCCAGGTGCCTCATTAAAAGTCCCCAAGAACGGCGCTCGGCCCCTAAGGGGCTCCTGGAGGTCCCCAGGGTTAAGGTACTGCCCAGGCAGGAGACAATCTTTCCCCCAAATAACTGAGCCCAAGGAACTCTCCAGTGAGTGAGGATTGAGTTCCGGACAGCACCAACTTCAACACCCAGGACAGCGACCCGCCCGGTCTGACCCCGCCCTTGGTTGTCCACATCTTGGAACTGCTTGGGTCTTACATCAACTTTCCGGGGGGTATCTGATGTTTTGATAAATACAGAATATAAAATATTTTAATATCTTAGCTGAAAAAAGAAAAAAATAAATGTGATTTTGTTCAAGATAATATGTAAATAGAGAGAAATCGAATACTTTTGTGTTTCAAATACATTTGAAATAGGAGTGTGAATGTTCAGAGTTCCTGAAATATTTATTTAGTAGTGCCTCAGTATACCTTGCTACTCTGCATAACAGAAAGATCCCATTCTGTTGTATTATCATTAAATGCTCCAGTGGAAACAGATTTCCATATTTCCACCTTTGCCTTCATGATACTAACATATAGATGGTTGGGAATAGAACATAAATTGAAATTAACCCATATACGACGTTCCTGGTTTTTCTTTATGTAAGATCTGCTAACTATTTTGGATAGTCTGTGAGGAGTCAGACTACCTTTGCTTTCTGGGGGGAAAAAAAACCACGATTATCTAAGTTATTATTTTCAGGATGTAACACGTCATTGCACTTGTAACATAAAAATAATTCCAAGGTGGTAATATAGATGCTCTGATTTTATGGTAATAGGCAGTGAGACTAGTCAGTTTTCCTTAAGACCTTTGGGAGCCAAAGTAAGAAAAGAGAATTTAAAAAGTGTTATATTCATGAAAAAAATTTAAGTGATAGCAAAATGTCTATTAACTCAACCCAAATGGGCTGAATATTTTCCTCTTAATTCTCGCCTATATTCATCTTTACCTTTAGCACACTGTTTCTTTTTATTATGATATTTTATAATCATAGTGCCCTTGTTAAAAGTTGAAAGACACTGTAAACAGGAAAACATCATTCCTCTGCACCAGCAAAAACTTGTTTTACCGATTCACCTTACAAAAGAACACAACTTAGGAATAAATATCTCTCAGCTGGTAAATCTTAGTTTTATATTCACTACCTGTCCTGGGAATGAGTCATTTTAGCTAGAACCGGGCTTGTTGGATGGTAAGTAGGATAGATATTTTTTTTTCCCCTGCTTGGTGTCTACGATGTGTTGCATTTGCTGGGACCAATGATGTTAGGGCAATTTTATTTTCTGTACTCCATGGAACACAAGCAGGGACTGATGTGAGATGTTTCCATCCTGTGCAGTTTCAGGGCCATGGCTGATCCTGGGATCCACCGCCCCTTGAGCCTAACCTGCTCCCTGCTCATTGTGGGAATGTGCTGTGCACCTCCTTTCTTCTGTCACAGCCAGACAGACCTACTGGCTCTTCACCAAGCTGATCCTCAGTGCTGGGAATCCTCCTCAGTGCTTCTCCTGGAAATGCGAAAGCCTCGCATTTCCAACACTGTTTCAGGCTTCTGGGATTTTATGATGTACCTGAAGTCATCTGAGAACTTGAAGCATGGGGCTCTGTTTTGGGATCTGGCCCAACTCTTCTGGGACATCTATGTGGACTGCGTGCTTTCAAGGAACCATGGCTTAGGAAGGAGGCAGTTGACTGGAGAGGAAGAGAAAATCCCAGCAGCACAGCCACAGCACACAGGGAGTAAACAAGGTGGTCAATTCCAGCTGCCCTGTCTTTTCAAAGGATCAATCAAGTATGAATGTGTTGGATTGTGAGAAGGAGGGAAACAGCATTGGGTAATCCAGCGTCACCTATAGGTCCCTAAAGGAGTGAACCAGGAACACACATGATAAGAAGATAAGAAACATTTCCTTTAGCATTTTATAGTAGCAGCTTATATAAGCCTGTCCTCACCCTCCTGCTTTTAGTGGACTGCATAAAGGAGAAATCGGAGAGACAAGTAAGGACAAGTATGTTCCTAAAACACAACACAAAGGTAGAAAGAGCTGCTCCGAGATCAGTATTAATTTTTAAGATTAACTTGAACACTGGTAGTCATAGCCTAATGCTTACTCACTTTGGGGCTGGGAGGCTCCCAGCACACAGATTATTTTTTTCCCCTCTTAAACCAGAAAAACGAACCCTATTGTTTTCATTGTTTAAATGGAGAGGCATTCTGAGATGCAGTTATCTGCTGACTAGCAAGAACAACCTGCTGTTTGCAGAGTCAAACCTTGTTGAGTTTTTGCGTGAATCAGGTATAATATCAGCAAGCTGAGTAATTAGTTTTTTTGTAAGTCTAAACTTCCTACAAATTTATACAATCTTCTCTGGAATTATGTAATACATATTCCTTATAGAATTGGAATGAGTGAGCCCCTGTAAGCAAGTGAGGAAATGCCTGGGCCCTACTCATACTGTCTTTGTTATTTTTGTGGTGTCATTTGAACAAATTAAATTCCAGATCTGAGAACAAGGGCTTATATACAGTAGTAATCCACTAGAATTATTTATGTACCAGTGAAAAATGAAGGCATAACTGCTTTTTATGTTTGATCATGAAAATTGTTATGAATTCCTATATTCCCTCTTATCAAAACAGGAATTGATAACAGCTATCATTGACTTTTTCTAAGTTACTGATGAACATTTGCGTATCTGGTTTGTTTCACTCTCAGAAAATAAAAGTGATTTTCTAACCCATTACAACAGAAAATTCATTATTATGTACAGATACATTTTTAAAAATTTTATATGTATTATTTTATTCTAAGCCAGTTTCAACTTTTGAAAATAAATTCTGGCAACTTTGCTGTTTCAAGTGGAAATTCAAAATGCGGGTGTAAAACTGCCTTGAGCAGTGGCTGCTTTGGCATCAGCATCATATAAAGCCTGCATTTGTATTTACTTCTTCTCTACAGCTAGGGTAATCTGTACGGTCTTTCCCCACTCCTCCCATTCATTTAACTGTTGTAGCTAAACAATTACCAACTTATCTTTTGGTATCTTTCACACACTGGAAAGTCCAAAGGAATGTCTTCAGAATATCTATGGTATAGTCAGTTAAAAATGAAAATAGTTAAAAGTTTGTTATTAATCATATGCATGTGTATGTATCTGTGTGTGTAATCTTTATCCAAGGAAACCTCAGACTTAGAAACCACTCCATTCACCTTGCTACAAAGTTGCTATGGACTCAACTGGTCCACAGACTTTAGAAAGAGTGTTGTGTAAGGCCAAGTAACAGAGGCAAACATTTCACTTTATCAATATTACTTTAATTTCCAACAAAAAACAATCATTTATAGGTCAGAATTCAATGTGTTTGTTATAATCACAGTCAAAGAAAATTTGGGGTCACGAAGATATCATATCCATAAGTCAGATAGCTGCAAGAACATGGAGATCTCAAGAGGCTTCATAAATTTCCAGTGGTTCAGCAGGACTCTGGATGTATCTGCAAGGATTCTCTGATAACGGTTTCTTTTGTTCCTGGGAGTAACATGTTACAAGGTTGGAAAGTGGTGAGAGTTGAGAGGGGGTTGTCCCTGCCGTTCTCAGGAAAATCATATTATTTGGGCCGAAGGGAAGAGTAACCGAAATAAGTAGCTGTACAGTATGTGATGAGTCCTTGTTATTTTGGACATCTTCAAAAGAATAGTTAAAATTGTGAGATCTCCCTATAAAAATGACTGAAAACAGAAAACATATGATTTTATATATATTAAGTATCCTATTTACTTATATTAGGTCAACAAATACTAGAGATATCAAACAACTATGCAATCTTTGTTAAGTTCATCAGTATAGTTAGCCCTCTCAATGGATTTTTATAATGTAAACAAAAAGAAAGGCATGTGAAGAGGTAGGTATCTCATAAAATCTCTTAATATACTAATATTCTCTGATTCTATTAGAAAGAATGAAAGACATTTATTTAAATATAGACAAAAAATGTTGATTAAGCTGGGTGATGCAATGGACACTGGGTCTATTTATAATAATGATAAGTAGGAAGGGAGGAGGACCAGAAATTAGATTTCCAGCAAATCCAAGCGCTGAAGACATCATTATAAGAAAGGATTATAAATATCTTAGATATTTAGTCCAGGAAGATATAAGCTAAAGCTGAATAAAACATATACATGGGTTAAATTCTGCTGAATTATGTATGAAGAGAGAAAGCCAAAGACTGACTCAGGAAAGAACATCCACAGGCAACTCCCAAAGACAAAACAAGTCGTTAACAAGGTTAACTTATGGGTTAGTCAAGGCCTCAGGAAAAATGAAAAGATTTAAAAGTATATCACTGTGTAAAAATTGATAATAACTTCCTAGGGAAAAAAAAAACCAACTCTCCTTTTAAGAAATACAGAAAATTCTTTCTTTCTGTTCCTTGCAGGTTGTATGTTCCAGAAAATATTGGAGTTTTTGTTTTCCTCCTTTATGAGAGAAAATAAAAATTAAGGTTTATGATCCGATGGTGTCTACCTAGCTGGCAAATATTTATGGTGCTTATTTGTAAACATTAAATATCAGAGAAAGTAATGCTTTAAAACAAATAATTAGACTCACATGTTTCATTTTCTCCTTTACTCAACTCCAATAAATTTCCTAAACAAACTGCTCAACAATTACTCATGTAACAATCATAAGAAACATTTAGTGACATAGTCCCATGGTGCATTACAAGGCTTTTAATTGCAATGTTATATACAGTGATAGGGAATGTGGACGTTTCCTAGATGTCCTGTAGTAGGGCAATTATGACCATCTATGGTATAAGGTGTGTGTGTGCAATATACTATGATCATTTATGGAATATTATGTATGCTTTACAAGTTTTTGCTATATTTATATGTTAAAATATAAGGAAAATTTATTTTTATTTATGTATATTTTAATTCAATTAGTTGATAATTAATATATTTAATATGATTGATCTAATTTTAATTATGACAAAATATTATAGGACATAAAATTGTACTGAAAATTTACAGTAATGCATTTATGTGAAATTTTGATGGTAGAATGGCAGAAACATCTAACTTTTAGGAAACAGTTTATTGTGATTTAAGTAATTTGAAAATAATTTGGTGGCTTTATGAATTTTTTCCTTTTTCTGTTTTCAGGTGCATTTTCTCAGCTGCCAAGAATGCTTTTCCTAAAGAAGAAAGAATTGATTCAAGATCTAATAAACATGCATGCGCACAGGAGTGGGTCTAGATTCATTGGGAAAACAAAGTTTGAGATAAAAAGAAAATAAACCTGTTACTGAACCTTTATTTATTTTAAATGGTGACAATTCTCAGAAAAGAATAGTAAGCCAGATTCTCTGATAGCACTCATTTGAAGCTTCAATCTTTAGGCTGCTATCACATAATTTCAAATTGTGACTAATCACCAGGCCATCTCATTGTCTAAAAGAGTTAAGTATCTTCAAAGGTGACTTTGGTGATACATTTTGGGATCTTGACACTGTCAGCAGTCTAGAGCGCCATACATTTAACTTGGATTGTAACACGACTTCCAAGCCATTGCTTATGCATTGCTCATGCATAGGCACACACACAATGGAAGATGTCTTTCACCACCAGTTACCCTGTGGTCTGTGACACCTGAATCTTGTCTAATAATAGATTGAAGAAAAAGACAAAAGAAACTTGCAAATAAAGCAGTCATCTAATGGAAAAAAAAATAAAAGCTCTGAACCCTAAACAATACTACTGGAATCTCTTCATTTCAATATCTAACGTTACCACTAGTCATGTCTCAATAGCAATAAGCAAATAGGCAGAAAATCTTTCCCAATTAGCATATTTCCTATTTGACTAAATATTAAACTTTTAGAAGTTGTTAAACTTAGCATTGAAAAATAAAATAAAAGCAAAGTAACAGGACTGTAAGATCAAATTTACAAATACTTTTTATTTGAAAAGTGATTAAATCAGAATGAGGTTCATAGATGAGAAGTCCAATTTCCAAAAATTCCTGGAGTTCCAGACACCGCGCTATTTTTTAAATCTCTATCCCCATCCCAATGGTTGACAGAAAGCTTGAATTTCAGATATGTCAGCAGTTTCCAGGTCGAAAATAAATCTCTGTGTTTTCATTGAAGGTCTAGGGTCCTTCTTACACAGGAAATCTTCTCTAAAGGGCTTTTGTCAGAGGACTCACTTTTTTTCTGTGAGGTTTAGCAATAAAGGCAGAAGTCTTATGCAGAGTTGGGCAAGAAGGGGGCCCAGCTCTCACTGGCAGCTGGCTGTGAGAGTGAGCACAGAAAAAATCATGAAGACTTTTCATTATCTTGCTTCCATAGGTTTGTAATTTTTGTGTTTATGCTCTTTTTATGTTTTTCATAACATTCTTCAACACTATCATATAAACACGTGAATTCTTATAAGTATATCATGCTCAGCTTGCAAAAGAGACTGCCCTTTCCTTCTCCCTCAATTGGTACACTGAAGCAAAGTGGTCAATGTTTTTCTGTAAAGAGATCAGACAATAAGAAATATATATATATATGTATATAGTCTTTGTGAGCCTTCCTGTCTCTGGGGAAACATATCATTTCTGCTTTGGTAGAACAAATACAACTGCCACAATACGTAAATGAAAGAGTATGTCTGTGTTGCAATAAGAATTTGTGTACCAAAATTTGAATTTATACAACTTTCAGGTTCTCTAAGCATTCTTTTGGCTTTATCAATCATTGTTTAAATGTAATGATTATTCTTTGTTCACAGTCTAAAACAGCAGCTGAGTACAATTTGTCCCATGAGTTATGGCTTGCTGGAACAATCAAACTTGCAAGGAACAATCTGGGATGAAGTAACAAAGAGAGTGAATATATTAAACAAAACCAAAATAAAAATTTATTATAGATTGATAATCAAATAAGAATATTAGGATAAGATTGAAGAGGAATAGCCTAGTCCTCATCCTATCTGAGTTGCTTACAAACAATACTACGGATTAAAGATAATAGAAATAAAAAAGCTACAGTCTCTCTGAATGTAACAGGAACTTCAGATAAAGAAAATAGGCATAACAATATGTATTGGGAAGCACTAGTGAAATGATTTTGGACAAGTTATTGGAACTCTATTTCAGTTTTCTCATAAAATGGGACATCCACTTCCTATGTTTACAGGGTTAAATTAGTTGGTACCTGCAAAATATCCAGAAATAGTCACAATCGTTAGTTATTACTTTGAACAGTATCAAGTTAAACATCTATGAATCTAATCTGCCACTCAAGTGGCACAAAGCTGGTTGAGATGACCAAATGTCGGGTTTCACAGAGACACACTCACAGCATTTGAAAAATGTGAAGAAATGTGTTCATTCGGATGAGGCTGTAAGAGGTAGCAGGGACATACCTGTCTACTCTGCATCTTGTTTTGCCCAATTGGAGCATCTTACATAATTAAAGTACAATATTATAATTTGGAAAGTGACTTTGGTGCAAATCAGGATTTGTTCAGATTTCATCAGTTTTACAGAGATCAAGCTCTGTGTGTATTTGTCTGTCTGTCTACTTAGTTCTTTGCCAAATACCCAGGAAGAAAATTGAATAATCAACTCAGTGGAATTGAAAAAAAAAAAACCCTAAAATACATGAATCAGCAGATTAAAATTAAGACTTCTCTTTCCATAGTTCACACCAAATAATTGGTAGGGAAGGAGGGAAGAATACTTAATTCTTTCAATACTATTTTGTTATCACAACCAGGAGCGTTTGAGACTGGACTCCTTTTCACTTCAACTTGGGTAAGGTGATTTGGTCCATAAGGGCAGAAAAGGCCCTGCAAACCCGTTCAGCTGCTCCATACAAGTCAGTGTTTTCCGAGGACTGTGGACCTGAAACCCACAAACAGGAGAGTCTTTCAGAGGAATGAACCTGTGGATTCTCAAGCAGGTCTACACAAAACTCACTTACAAAGAACTGCACAGCACTGCTCCTCAGATCCTAAGCCAGCTGGCACACACGAAGGTTCTCATTCACTGTGATCAGTACTACGAAGACAGCCAGGTTATGGATCTTTTCTCACGGCTCCTGGCGCTTCTGAGGAACAGGTGAGAAGGGTGGAGGGCAAGATAATGAATTTATATTTGGGAAACTGTGTACTTTGAGATTTTACTCCATGGATGAATACACAGCATTATGTTGTATGTATGTTGCCTCAGAAAGGCTTATTTTGTAAGTTACATAACTTTCAGCTACATCATTTATAGGGTGGCTCAATCAATCTTTTCTGCTGAACCTAACAGGAAAGACATCAGCATCAGGTAATTTTTAGTCCACATTTCCTCTAACGCTGCTCCCCAGCTATAAGGTCCTTGAATAAATCATATTTTTGTTGTTTGACTAAACACCTTGTCTATAGGCAAAATGTTCTCAGATACCTGTTTCTCAATCAAAAAGATAAAAGTTTAAAAATGCAGCAATAAAGAAACAGAGAAGCAATATTACATTCCATTTATGTGAATTTTTCAAATTTGGTTGTTTTATTTTTTAGCTCCAGTCCTTCATAATGTTAAAAAAATCATACAAACGTAAGCATGTAGTACCTATTATATTGCTAGGTATATACTTGGAGTTCGATATTTATAAGATCAGAATTAATGTGCAGATAAAAGCCTAATGAGGTAATAAATGTCATACCTGTGAAATGGCAAGTCCAGAGGAAATCACAATGACAAAATTATTCAGTTACATGCAGCAAAATATCTGTCCAATCTATGAATAATTTAGGATGAGATAAGACTACAGGAATGATGATGTAGAGTATGTACAAAGTATTAGGTTGTCTTGTGTATGATTATTCTTCTTTGAAACTGAAAACTGAGCCCTTTGTACTTTTCTTACAATTATGAATTAAGCGAACCAATGTTTATTGTGTATGTATTCTTTACTGAAATCTCTCAACTGAGCTCCAGATTATACATCATTTTTGTCTCTTTGATGTCTCCATATGGATGTCTCTTATGCAAATCACACTTTATATTTTCAGAACAGGGTTCCTGATTTGCCACTTCCTTTCCCCATTGCAATAAGAGGGGCATCACCTGCAGAGGCTAACACCCTGCCCCTTACCAAGATTGCAAGACTCTTGGCTTTCTTCACTTCTTGCTCTTTTCCAAGGCATGCTCACACAATACGAGGGCTTTAAAAATTCAGACCTACCCCATTTCAACATGAATACCCAGCATCAAGCACATTGCATGATAACTAGTAGATACTTGTCGATTATTTCATGAGTGAATACAAATGAATAGTGGAATGAATGAATTAATGACTTCTGCCTTCATGGAGCAGAAATTCCGCTTTTTCATACATATACATATATGCATGAAAACAAGCAAGTATATTTCAAATATGGCTGTGTGTAGCTTAATAAGAAGGATACATTCTGAGAAATATTTCATCATGATGCCAAAATCATAGAGCATACTTAACCAAATAGCCTAATGCACAACTAGGCTATATGATTTTTCTCCTTATTTATCTATTACCTATCTGTCGTCTATCTATCTCCTACATAAATTGTAGTCTACTCCCTCTAGTAATCAAAGTAACATCAGATGAAGCCAAGCACAAGTGAAGATAATACAATCAACAAACTCAGTGAACAGAAAGTCTGTGAAGCTTTTGACAGGGTGAACACACTAAATGATTTACACTTTAAAACAATTAACTTGTTTATTTGAGAGAGAGAGGGAGAGAGAGGGAAAGAGAGAGAGAGAGAACATAAGAAAGCTCTCATCCATTGGTTCACTCACTAAACACCCCAAGTGGCTGATTGGCAGTAATGAGTGAAGAAGGCAGGAACTAGAAAATCCATCTAGAATTCTCACTTGGGTGGCTGGAACCTGATCATTCAAGTCATCATTTCTTGCTTACTAGGGTCTGTATCAGCAAGCTGATCTAGAACACGAAACAAGTATGTTGAACTCAGGGACTTAGATACAGGGCACCTTAACTTCTTGACCAAACATTTGCCTCACTTGTTTTTACAAGTGGAAAGTGTACACTCTGAAATAATTACGAGAGTTTAGTAAAGGAGATACATAAGCCAGCAATGTGGATGTTTTTCATTATTATGAGTAGCTTGTATATTACATAACACTATGCACTAAATGCTCACAGGAGAAGAAGGTTTGTTTCCATCAGCAGCACCACAAATGTGAATAATGTGTTGTGCTTTAGCACTATAATGTCTGTAATATTGCTAGGTGACAGGAGCTTTCAACTCCATTATAATTTTATGTGTGTCATATGTGCAGTCCCCACTGACAAAAACATTATGCAGCACATGACTGTGTATATATATTTATGATAAAAATAGAATGACAGAGATATGCCATTATTATTTCAGCAAACAGTTCTAGGGTTCCTAGAGAACATCTGAGATTACTTCATAAATAAATGTAAAACTACAATGTTGAACTTTCTCCTGAACTTGCTCAGTTATTTTTCTCTATTTTCCTGGAATTTATTTCATTTGAAGTCCAATATTTCTGATTACTTAAAATAATAACTATACTGTTGGTTCTAGGTGGGGAAGAGAGAAATAGAAATAACCTTCCCGAATCCTCATCTTTAATCATGCCCTTAGATTAGGTCATCTGGAAACAGAGTTGATTTTATTTACTCCTTTCTGAATTGGATGCTTTCATTCTTTCTCTTGGCTAATTAGCTTTCTAGGACTTCTAGCACTGTGTTGAAATGACTTTATAACCTCATGTGTAAAAGATGTATTCATTACTTACTTAGTAGAGAGAGGGAAAGTTGGAAGGAGAGAGAGAAAGAGAGAGAGAAAGGTTGAGATTCTTTAATCCACTGATTCATTTTCCAAGTAGCTGTAACAGCGAGAGCTGATGTGGCCAAAGCCAGGAGCTAGAACTCCATCTTGGTCTCCCACATAGTGGTGGTGACAAGTCCTTGAGCTATCACTTATTGTTTCCCAGGTGTCTTAAGAGGGAGCTCAATTGGAAGCAGAGTAGCTGGGACTGATATCGTGGGGCTTAAATCACTTTGATTTGTGATGTGGGCATTCCCAGATGTCACTTATTGTACCACAATGTCCATTCCTAATACTCTCTTAAAACCTTGCCATCCTGGATCTCAACCCTCAGTACTCTGAGTGCCAAAAAATGACAATATTAGATTTACTACGTTTTACCGTTAAGCCTTTAAATAATATAAAGCTTATCCTAACTTCCAAAATATTCTGGCTCTTAGCAAAATTTTAGTTCTAAAGCATAGTGAAGTATAAGAATAATCACCATGCTTGGTGAATATATTATCACTCTGAGTGAGTCTTATTTTATAAACAGTCAATATTTATATTTTTTCCAACAATAGTAAAAGCAATTAAGGTGAGGCAATAAAGTGATCAAAAATTTTCTATGGTTTTCTGATGCACCTGAGACTTAGCCACAAGTGAATTAAAGATAACTTACGGCTTTTAATGTGGCATAATAGGGTAAGTTGCTGCCTATAACACTGGCATCCTGAAAAATGGTGGTGTAAATCCTGGCTGCTTGACTTCTGATCCCTCTACTTGCAAACGCACCTGGTAGAGCAGTGGAAGATTTCCTAAGTGCTTTGGCTTCTGTATCCACATGGGAGACCTGGAAGAAGCCCTAGGTTCCTGGATTCAGGCTGGCCTAGCCCTAGCCATTGTAGTCATTTGGGGAGTGAACCAGCACATCGAAGATTCTCCCTCTCTCTGTCTCTACTTCTCTCTCTGTAATTTTGACTTTCAAATAAAAACAAATCTTTAGAGAAAGATAACTTACTTGTTGGTTTAACATATTTTGCTTTCCATGTCATCATCAATGTGTTTATCACACTTCCAAGGAATTTCTATGAATTCCAATGAATTTCAATGATTTCTAACGAATTTTAATGTAATGTTTATGAGTATGCATAGATTTTGTAAGACTTATAGGGTATTTTTATAAACCATATTGTAAATGGATAAGTGGGGTTTAAAAATAGGATTCTATTTAATATCAGATTGAGGATATGAGATTGATAAAAATATTTAAGTGTGGAGAGTTATATGTACTGCAAAGCAGTAGCTATTAGGATTAACATAGACCCTTGTGTTTGAGGGTCGCTCAGAAATAAATGTTTATACAAAATAAATCTCATTATAAACCTTAACAATTTGAGTCATCATCAAGTAAAGAGTATTTTAATGATAAAAAAGATGAATACCTTTCTGTTAATATTATAATCACATTTGCATAACAATACAAATTTAATAAAGAAGCATGTCAATAGTTAAGAATGTAAGTAAAAGCAGAGGTGAATTTTTGAGGCAAATTTTCAAATACTTTCTATGAAATTAGATAATACTAATTGTGTACTTTAGTATTGTATCACCTAAATTGAGGAATATCCATGATTTTCCTTTTAATAATATAATACATTATCCATATCTTTCAATGATATAACGATATATATATATATATATTTACACACACATATCTAGGTAAAGTCAGTTAAAGTGGCATGAATCTTTATTTTAGCCTTATTTCTTATATTTAGTATATTTTAGTTTTAGTTGTTAAACTTCATAAAAGTTATTTTCTTCCAAATATGGGTAATAGACTTGTCTATTATCTTAAGTGTATGATGTAGCTATTTGTAAAGGCTGACCCAAAACCAACATTTTAGAGAACTGTAACTTAATAAGCTCATCTGGAAAACAACAGCAAACAAAACTAAAGTCAAAGTTAAAAAAAAAAAAAACTTGCCTAGAAAAAGAATATTATGCAAATTTTCCAGAAAGGTCAAGTGGATATTGACTTTAAGTCTGAATATCCAGTATGATCCCAAGTATGTTTGGACAGAAATACAGTGGATGCAAATGTGTGTTAATTTAAAAATCAGGCTCAAGGAGCTCCCATTTTCTTTGTCTAAGGAATTTGGAGTATACTTTTGACATCTTTGTGAACTTACAGAATGTACTTTTGACATCTTCGTGAACTTGTTTCATGAAGAAACAAGTGTGTTCTAAGAAAAAAAAAATAACTCCCATTTCATTTACTGTAAAGATTGTTAGAATAAAAAGATAATTCCTACATTGACATGGCTTTACCAAGTTCTCTATAAAATTCACATTATCATTTACTTATTTTAAAGCTCTTCAACTGTCCTGGACGTCTATATGCCCCCACTTGCTCAAATTTATGTATTAAAGTTCTAATCCCCATGCCTTTAGAAATGAAATCTGTAAACAGGTAAGTTAGAGGGCAGCATTGCTGTGCCATGGGTTAAGCCACCACTGCAGTAATAACATCCTAGGCAGGCACTGATTGGAATCCTGGCAGCTTCATCTCTAATCCAGCTCCCTGCCAACGTGCATGTAATGGCAGCAGATAATGGATCAAATGCTTGAGCCCCTGCTACCCACATACAGACCTTCGTAGAGTTCCTGGTGCCTGGCTTCAGCCTGGCCCACTCCCAGGCAACTGAGCCATTTGAAATGGACCCCATGGATGGAAGATTCTCTCTCCCTTTATGTGTGTGTGTGTGTTTTCCTTTCTGTAACTCTGCCTTTCATAAACCAAATGAACCTTTAAAGAGGTAACAATTTAAAATGGAATAATTAGAATGAACCTTAATCCAATATAACTGGCACCTTTAGAAGAAGAAGAAAGGGATAAACATTCACAGTGGGAACATGACAGGAAGACACAGAATGAATGTGGTCATCTACAAGACAAGAAGACAGACTCCAAAAGAAATTTGTGTGGCTTGATCTTGGACTTCTTTCCCTGTGAGTAGAAGAAAATCATTTTTAAATCAACCTAGACTATGGTGTTGTATTACAACAACTTTTATAAATTAATTTGCTAACACAGAAATGTTTTGGCGGAAGCCTCCTCTGATATAGAAACACATAAGGTTATCACTCATCCTAACACCATCATCCAATGATCATTATTTATTCCAGCTAGAAATAAGACAATGCCACTCCAAATCAAAAGAAATAACTATTGTGGGTGATTACTTTTTTATGTAAATAAGGCCTCAGGACTTCTCAATGAGTCGTAACTTACGAAGAAGATAATGATGGTGCCACTTATATTGTTGGAATCATAATTTTTTTCTAGAGAGAGAACATTATTATCACCATTTTAAAGTAATGACCTCAGGCTGCCATTTGTGAATGATTTAGGACTATTGATAATGATAATTATAATAAGAACATAAGTATTTAATGAATGTTTACTCTGTGTTAGGTGCTGTACTAAAATTCTCACATGTTTATCACTTTTCATGCTCTCAATAGCCTTTTGAAATAGGTAATACTAGTAATCAAGTTCACAGAAACCACTGATGCTCGAAAGATTCAGGGCTCGATTACACACTAGACAAATCACGCTGTTGGATTTCTATAAAATGAAGTGTTTTCCTGACTCTCTGGTCACTTCTGTGTCCATTGATCATGTAGATCTTACCTGACGGCCTTTCTAGACCGAAGGTGTCCAGAAGTTTTGTCAGCAGTTCTTGCAGTTCCTCTTCCTCTTGCTCATCCCTTCTCTCTTTGGTGCGAGTTGTTGCTCTCCTTCTCACAGATGCCAGGGCCAGACTGTCGATCCTTGTGGGAGCAGCTGGGGAGACGTCTTGTGGCAGTCGCTGCTGCCAACCTGGGAGAGAGCGAGGGATTTCCACCGGCGTCTTCTGTGCCGGATTTTGTGATCTTACGCTTTGCAAACGATTCACTGATGATTCTGAACTTGGAAGAGCATGCTTCGTATTTGCTTGACTTCTGAGGCTTCTATCAGTCATGGCGGACATAGGAAGAGGCTCCCCATCTGAGCCATTCTCTGTGGCAATGCTGCGTTGGGAAGGATCTCTTCCCTCCAGAAGTTGTTCAGCTGAAGAATGGCCAACCTTGGACTCCATATTTTGACAAGAAGAAGGTGAAGGATGATGTGGCTGCAACGTTGTCTAGAATAAGGAAAATGTATGAAAGAATTTACATTTATCCTACATTTTACATAATGTTTTTAATTTCAATAGGAAATTCTAATGCAAGACTTTTCTGTCTGCTCTCTAAATTCATTTTATTACTTTTTTTGTGCTGATACCCTGATGCCAACCTACTGCTTTCTACAAGAGCTGGAGCAGCTCAGGTTTTAAGATATCACAGGAAATATCAATAAGAAATTCAGGGACACTCTAGGTTTTGAAAAGCCAGTTTCCAGAACCATTATAAAGCTATTATGCTGAGAGAAATAAGTTGCTCTCAATGAGACAGATACTGCAAATTGCTGTTGTATACTCAGCATGTATAAACTCATAGAAACAGAATGACAAATGGCACGCCTCCTGAGGCTGTGGGGAGGACAAATTGAGAAAGCTTTCAGGAGAAAGAAGAATTAGAAAGTTGTTTATTGTGTATGAAAGCATGTTTTTCCAAATGGAAATGTTCGTGAGATTGATTGTACCACAGTGTGAATATACTTAACACACTAAATTAAACACTTAAAATTGTTAAAATGAAAAAAAAAACTTGTTGAAAGCAAAACCATCTCTTGAATCAATAGATAAAAGTTATTATGATAAAACATGTTCATACAAATTCATCTGGCAGGTGAGTTGTGGGGGTCGTGATAAATCACAGGCATAAGATTGAGAGATGTGCTACACACAAAACACAGCTCTAACCACAGTTTGTGTGATTCCCAGACCATAGGAAATTGCCAAAACACTTTGACGGGACCATGAACTCAACATTATTTTTGAAAGTATAGTTAGAATTTTTCTGGCTGTCATACATTAACATTTGTACTGATAGTACAAAAATGAATATGTATAGCCCTTATGTATTAGCATATCATCGAACAGTCGTGGTAGTTGCTGCATACCTATCAAACAACAGCAGTGAAAAATAAAGCCAGTCCCACTTGGGAATATATTTGACAGCGCCTGGTGTTGTGGTTGGGTTAAACTGCTGCTTGTGATGCTATTCCTGCATTGAAATGCCAGTTCAAGCTCCAGCTAGTCAGCTCCCAATGAGGCTTCCAGCAGAAGATGGTCCAAGTGTCTGGGTCCCTGACATCCATGTAGGAAATCCGAACTGAGTTCCTAACTCCTTGCTTCAACTTGGGCTAAACCTGACTGCTATGGCCATTTGGGGAGCAAACCAGTATGTGAAAAATAGCTCTCACTCTCTGTATCTCCTTTTGTCCCATCACTCTGACTTTTAAATAAAGAAATCCTTTTTTAAAAAGAATGTCTTACAATCTACATCAAAGAATTGTACTTATGATCTACATCAAATAACTGTAAAACCTAATATACTTTTAATTGCCTATGTTATTCCGTAATGGGGTGGGACAGCAGAGAAATGGTGTCCCAAGTTCTTCCATCACCCTAGAAGGTATGAGGAAGACGTGAAATCTTAGTTACTCCTTACTAGGGCATTGAGGATTTCTCTGCACAGCCCTCCTAAAACTGTTCCGCAACTAAACTGTTGACATATGTCTTGTTGGAGTTATAAGCCAGTCTAGACTACCCAAAAAAATAGCCAGGTTCAGCAAAATTATGCTTCAATGCTATAAAAGGCTAAATGTTATAATGAAAATAGACACAAGACAGCTGAACAGTAATCTATAGCTATTTTAAGATGTATAGAACCCGTTGCATATAAACTAAAATTGAAAAGTCAATGAAGTAGTCACAGGATGTGGTTAAGAACTTGCATTTATTTTTAACATATTGGTTACTCAATACTATGTCAATTAATCCCATAATGTTATAAATTGTTGCTGATGTCATGTTGGAGCTTTGAATTGATCAGGATGATACTCTGCTGGCTCTACCTTCAGATCAGAGATGGTCTGCCTAAGAAGCTGTTGAACTTATCTGGACAATAAGATGCTGGACTCTATATTTGGTATATGCTTGCAATGAAGGAATCTCAACTGAACTTGCACTGTGGTTATGCAACACAGTGGAGGAATCCACCATAGGGGGTAGGGTTAGGAGAGGAGTGGGGGGAATCCCAGTGCCTATAAAACTGTATCACATAATGCAATATGTAATTAATTAAATTTAAAAAGTTTAAAAAAAAAAAAGAATGTCTTTAGGGACCAGAGTGATGGTTTAATTGGTCAATCCTCCCCTTGCAAGCACTGGCATCCCATATGGCTACTGGATTGTGTCCTGGCTGCTCCATTTCTCATCCAGCTCCCTGCTTACAGCCTGGGAAAGCATCAGATGGTGTCCCAAGTTCTTGGGAACCTGCATCCTTGTGGAAGACATGGTGGAGGCTCCTGGCTTTGGATCAACTCAGCTCTAGTCCTGTTAGCCATTTAGGGAGTGAGCTAGTGAATGGAAGACCTTTCTTTCTCTGTCCCTCCTTTGCTCTGCAAATCTACCTTTCCAATAAAAATAAATGAATCTTAAAGAAACTTTGACAGAATAAAAATGGCTTAATTTTCTTGATAAAAATAAAATGGTTTTTAAATATCATTGATGAAGTGGGAAATATATATAACACAATCCCATGCACACCAAAATACAAAGATTGCTTCTTGTGACAAAGCTATGAACTAACTATTCAGACTTGAATATCAAATATGTTCCCAAAAATAAACTTCAGAATATCATTGCAAGAAAAAGAGTTAACAGTACTTGTCAGTTATAATAGTTAAGGTCTCAAATAAAACTAGAACTTTAGAACTTGCATTGGTTGCCAAAAGTTTGATAGCTTCTTACTCTAACATTTTTATAGTATGGTCATTGGTGATATTATTGAATATAAATTTTTAATCTTAAAAAACTTTATCTTGCACATAATGAAATGTGCAAGATAAGAAAGTTCAGCATGTCTCCAAATGACCAATTATTGTTCTAAATAGCAGATATGGTGGCAACAAAAATCATTCATGGATTAAAAAGTCCATTTTAAAAGCAATTCTTAGGCCCAGTGGCGGTGGCCTGGTGGCTAAAGTCCTTGCCTTGAATGCACTGAGATCCCATATGGGCACCAGTTCTAATCCCGGCAGCTCCACATCCCATCCAGCTCCCTGCTTGTGGCCTGGGAAAGCAGTAGAGGACGGCCCAAAACCTTGGGATCCTGCACCTGTGTCGGGGAGACCCAGAGAAGGTTCCTGGCTCCTGGCTTTGGATCAGCTCAGCTCCGGCTGTCACTTGGGGAGTGAATCATCGGATGGAAGATCTTCCTCTCTGTCTTTCCTCTTCTCTGTACATCTGACTTTGCAAATAAAAATAAATAAATCTTTTAAAAAGTCAGTGAATTTTTTTTTAAAAAAGCAATTCTTGCAATGGCATTTAATGAAACAGTGTGAAACAGATGTAGTTTCATATTTCCTATTACAACTATCCTTTAAGAAGCCATAAATTATCAGTTTTATGTCGTACCCATATTCTGACAACTATTACAATGCTCCTCACTTTTTCAATAGCAAATCTGTGTGAGATCATATCGTTTGTGTACTTCAACTAAAACATACTTGGAAGTGTATCCCTTATAACTTTTTCAAAAAGCATACTGTTAATTTTTAAAGGCTACATACAGGATAACATAATCTTTATGTTCTGATCAATATTATTTCCAATTCTTTTTAGTTTTAATTTTGACTCTAAATAGTGGCAGATATAATTCAATGAAACAAAAGCTCCTTGAAGTCTTCAAAAAAACTTTTAAGCCTGTTCAAGAAATCAGGAGAGATTGGCCTTGTGCTGCACTGCAGCAGCAATATCCCATATTGGAATATCTGCTGGAGTCCTGTCTGTTCCACTTGCAATCCACTTTCCTGCTGACGCAATGGGAAGACATTGGAAGATGGTCCAAGCAATTTGGACGCCCCCAAACACTCATGGTGGACCAGGATGGAGCTCCTGACTTTTGACTCTGACCTGGCCCAGCCCAAGTTGAAGTTGTGTGGCTTTCAGTTAGTAACTCAGCAAACAGAAGATTCTCTTTCTCTCTCTTGCTCTCTCTCCTCCTCTCTTTCCCTGTCAAACAAACAAACAACCCATCTTATGGAACGAGAGAGAGAGAGAGAGATCCTGAGATCCAGAGGTTTGAGATTCGATGTTGTAACTAGGTGTTTTCTCCCAGGTCTATGGTTTCTGAATGCTTCTATTGTATGTCTGTAGTGTTGCCCTTTCAAGAACAGATAGGATAAAATCTGGAGAGTGGAAGTGGGAGGAGGTTGGGCAGGGAAGAGAAGGGCAACAGACAAAGCTGGTGAAAGTGAGGTGGGAAGCTTTCCGTTGCAGACCTCTTATGGCTGGAAGACGTAAGGTTGGACTTCAGCTGGTCTGCGTGGCCAGCTTCTCTCACAGTTAATACCTGTAGATCCTGTCTGAGCTGCTGTAGCTTGGTCCATAGACCATTCTGGTTGGCAGTGAGCTGGTGAATTTTTGCTTCAAATCTGAGGTTTTTTTCTTCCTGGGAAGTGTATATTGCTTGCAGTTTGTCTTTGCAGTGGTTTAATTGTTTTTTAAAGAACCTGAAGAGAAGAGAGATTTGAGTGATTTGCAAGGGTAAAAGGCTGACACACCTCCTAGAACCCTAGCATGACATATTCTGAGTCCTCCTGGTGGAAGACGACATTGCAGAAAGCCGTGCCGTAGTTACTTGCTAACTTCAATTGATAGCTTTTTCTCCGTGTATTGCTGCCTTTGTGTCCACCATGTATACAATTCCACCAAGAATTTCATGGGCTTTAGAAATTTTCATGGTGAGGTAGTGACTGCTGTTGTGAGACAGTGGATTAAGCTGCCTCCTGCAAGGCTAGCATCTCATGTTGGAATGCTATGCACCTGGGAAAGCAGACAGCCCCAGTGCTTGGGTCCCTGTACCCTTGAGGGAGACATGAATGAACCTCCTAGTTCTCAGCTTTGATCTGGCCTACCCAGGTGAACAATTGAATGAAAGATTTCTCTCTCTCCTCCTCCTCTCTCTGTAATGCTATATTTCAAATAAAGCTATATTTCAAATACATAAATTAAATCTTTTTTTTTTTAACAGGGATCAGGTGATGAGGGTAATTCTTTAAAGATGTAGAGAAGATCATGCCACTCCTCTACTCAAAACCCGCTACTGGCTCCCCTCCTTCTTTATTAGAGCAAATTGAAGTCTCTCCAGAGATGGACAATGCACAAGATGGCTAAGACCCACATTACCCCCCATCACACTTTCCTTGTTGACTTCTCTGGCTTGCTGCAGGTTGCTTACTGCCTCTGAACTACCGAGAGCTTGACTACCCTTTGAATACATCAAGTGTGCTCTCTCCAGTCTTTGTTTCTCAACTTCCACTCCTTGCATGCCTTCTTTCTCCCTGGGTTCATGCTTGGTTCATTCCATTCCTTCTCTTCAAATGTTGGCTAAAAGGCCACGTGTTTAATAAGACCTTTCCTGACTGCCCTACCAGAAATGGTAAACTATAACCCAACAATCTCACCCCCCAGCACTACCCATTTTCTTCCATTCTTTATTCATTTTCTGTATATCTTTTCCATGTCTAATTCCTACACAGCTTGAGGGAATCTAAGCATGTGACTTAATATTCAGTGCTCAAATTCAGAACAGTGCCATTACGACATACTGTATGTCTTAGTTAATACTTTTCTAGTTATATTTTACTCTCTATATCAATTGCTTATTGTCTACTTATTCTAATATTTTTTGCTGTATTGCTTATTATTGTGCTCAGGCCCGTGGCCTAAAAAGATTCTGTCATATGTAATAGATATATAATTAAAATTGGCTGAATAAAGTACAAGTTTTTTTGAACAGCACTATGGATATATTTATGCAATTTGTGGAAATTAACTTTCCAGTGTGAAATGTATCATTTCCCCATGTTAGAATCTTTGGCATTTCTAATTGCTAAAATGCCTAGAGAGGTCTTTGAATTAAGTTTGAGTCTCCAAAATAAATCAACCATCTCTCAAACTTCCAGTCACACTCGGGTGCAACAGGATACTGGGTCTAAAATATGTGATAGTTTCAAAATTTCATCCACAGGAAAAATCACAGATTTTGTGGTCCAATCTTAGAAGGCCTTTATCAGGATTGGCCCTCCTCAGCTGATGAAGTTCATGCAGTAGATGGCGTGCTCAGAAGCATATCGGGGACATGACAGCCAGGTTATTTGGGCCTATAGAGAACGTGGAGTGCTGTGTCAGAATATGGGGAGCAGGACAGCTTGGACAGTTCTCCTGGCCAAGCTTTAGCAGCAAATATCTGGGTAAGTGGATGGATGCATTAGGGTGGACTTTGTCAACCAATGAACCTTGGAAGGGTTTTCTGAACCTTGGAGTAATGAAACCAACATCTCAGAACTATCAAAACTACTTAGATAATACCGTAGGAACATTCTTCACATCAGGATTTCTAAGATCAAGTGGATGCTGATGTAGTTCGGCAGCTAGGAGCATCCCTCCTCCACTCACCTCTCACCCCTGTACCGATACAGCAGAAAGAAAAGCTGCAAACATTTGTCTTATCTACTTTCCCCTACGCCTTAACCCTCTCTATTCTAATCAGTGGTCCTCATGGGCATACATCCTGGTTGACTATGAAAACAACCACAAAAATAAAATAAAATATTTATAAAAAGAAAAACCTTCCCTCTATAGTTTTATGCAAATCATTTATTAAAAATGACAGTGTTGATGGGAATAAGAATCAAACCTTATGTTAAATTCACACATTAATCACCCTTAGGCGGGTATAAACTGTGGTGAGTAGTTTATTTGGGTATTACTGATGCACATAGAGGAATGAGTCATATAAAATGGATAGTTTAAAATAGGTACTTCAAAATAATTATTTTGTAATTAATTTTAAAGAACTAAATTTCAGTATTTTCTTTGTATTTCTATATTGTTTCAATATGACCTCTTCTTCGCTATATTACTTTTAAAATTATAATTCCTATTTATTATTCTATGAAAAAGTTAAAATTGCTTTTAAGATGAATTATTTCCAAACTTTAAAAGCAGAAAAGCTCCTGTTTTTAGTTGTCATGGAATTTAAAAATTTTTCTGTCTCTCATGCAGGTTGATTATGAAGTCTGTTTTCTCATATCTAGACATTTATAACTTGAATAATTAATTTACTAAGCATCTACTGAATCAAAGGAAACTTATGATTAAGCAGCCAAAAATTCTGTCTTCCAAAAGAATGCCACAGGAAAAAGAAATTCAAGGAATGATTAGTTACTGAGGATACAATAAGAAAATGGTAGATGTTTCTCATTGGCCTGATAAGCCCAGTAGAAAGTTAGATGATATTCAGGAAAGTATTCTGATTTCTTAGAAGTAGGTCTCTCTCTCTCTCTTTCTTTCTCTCTCTCTCTCACACATACATCCAAAAACTCACATGAGAGTCAATAATTCACAAAAAATGCTTACCCAACTTTCAAGCAATGAAATCAGACTATTCATGGTCAAAACAGCATAAATAAGCCACTTCCATTACGCTTAGCTACTACATCAAAACTCCTGCAGGAGCCATTGTAATGGAATCAGAATTTATTTGCTTAAAATATTTCTTCCAAATAAAAAAAAGAGTCTAATAAAATACTTTTAAAAAATGTTTTCACAAAAGGAGATGCTGTTGATCCGTCTCAGCACTCCTGTACGCCTGTATGCTTCCTACCTTCTTTCCCTGTGTAGTGTGTTCACGGATTCCCGAGTCCTCCACAGTTCATTCCTGATGCTGATGACGGCCTAGGGAAGCAAGAAACAGAGAGGTTATGGGATCAATTTGACCTGAATATCTGAAAGTTCATAGTGAGAACACGAACTTAGAGAGAGAGAGAGAGAGAGAGAGAGAGAGAGAGAGAGAGAATCAAGATGGCAAAATAGTGTAAGGACATGTTTAAACAGAAGGAGAATCATTAGCCAGTGTGAAGCAGAGAGGGCACGTTCCAGGAAATAGGAGAGGATAGGACAGCAGAGGGACACCCAGAGACTGACAGACACAGGAAAGCAGTGAAAACAATGGTGTGGTGTGGCAGTGACTGATACCCCAGTGGCATTCAGTGAACCGGGATCTGAACTCCACCAACAGCCAGAACTACAAAAGCAACAAGATGGGAAGGGACATCCACCTGGAGCTCTGGAGGTGAACCCAGACAAAGAAGTGCTCATTCTGCTGCTCTGTTTGATTTGACCAAGAACAGAGACAGAGACAGAGAAGCAGGTCCCAGATGGGCGGTGCAGCTGAATTAGGTGCCATTTTGTTTGAGGATGCAAAGGCTATGGGGCAGGACTGCACATGCATGGAGCAGGGAGTGAACTCATTTCTGACTCAGTGAACTGCAACAACGTGGCATCCTATAAGTTCCACCCAAGACAGGTCCGGGTAGCCAGACTTCAGTCAGCCAGAGCTGACGGCCAGCAGATCAAGAACTCTAGTAGTGACACATCCGATGCCATTTCATACAGTGTGGCAAACAAATTTAAGATTACAGTGACAAATTTAAGATTACAGTGAGCTATGCATGTACTGAGCTTGGTGAGAACTCACCGAGCTCAGTGATTTGTGCTGGTCCCACGGGAAAATAATAATGAGTATGGCATTGTATGGGTGAAAATAGGTTCATGTGGCCCTCAGACCTAAAGTCCAACAGGTTCTGGCAAGATCAGCACCACCAACAACCTAGCTATATAGGACACCTTGTGTCTCCATAATCCTAGGACCTACTCCGACTGCAAGTGGGAGAAAGGTTGTACAGACAATGGTGCAGCCTCAGCTGCAACAGTGTTACAGCTGTAACAGTGTCACAGGAGGTGGAGACTGGTGAGCCAGGAGCTGGGGCTACTGAGACCATGGAGGAAATCTAACATAAGAGCCCAGACCTGAAACTCGCTGGAGAAAATGGCACAACTGACTGCAAACAAAGAGCTGTGTGCCAACTGCAATAAGTAAAATCTAACTGTAGACTTGTGGGTGACAGAGCTTAGAAACCTGCCCCAAGGAGAAGGATCTGCTAACCAGAAGTACAAATACCAAGAACAAAATATAAGACAGAGGCACAATAAATATTACTGCAAACTCCCCTGCAAAGGAGCAAAAACCCTTTGCCAACCTCAGAGTTCACTGAGGAAGACATCGAGAAAATGGGAGATACAGAATTCAAAACACTTGTTATAAAACCTCATATCAACAATGAGAAGCATGTACAGCAGGCATTCAAGGAATTCTAGGAATATGTCACACTGAAAATGAATCAAATGAAAGCTGATATATCAGAAATGAAGAATACAGTGGAGCAAATTAAAAGTACAGTGTAGAGTCTCGTCTCCAAAATAGAATGAAGGATGCAGAAAAAAAGAATCTCAAAATTAGAAGATATTTCCTGTCACCAGGGGAAAAAAACAAAAAGCTGGAAGCAGAGCTGGATCAGGCCAAAACGAGTATTCAAGAATTGGAAGACACTATTAAGAGGCCAAATATAAGAGTTATGGGAGTCCCAGAAGGTGCAGAAAGAGAAGCTGGGATTAAAGGTGTATTCAATGAAATAATAAGGGAAAATTTCCCTAATCTGGAAAAGCATTGGGAAACAAGATCCAGGAGGGTCAAATGAACTCCCAGCAGGGTTGACCAAAAACAATCTTCGCCAAGATACATGATAATCAAGCTCTCTTCAATAGAACCCTTAAGATTTTTTTTTTTTAAAAAGATGTCTTTATTTTTATTTGAAAGGCAGATTTACAGAAAGAGATTCCACCCTAGTTCGCTTCCCAGATGGCTGCAACAGCCAAAGCTCAGCTGATCTGAAGCTGGGAGCAAGGACCCAGGGACTGTGGGTGCAGGGACCCGAGGACTTCAGCCATTTTCAGCTGCTTTTCCAGCAGCAAGCAGGGAGCTGGATCAGTGCCAGGACATGAACTGGTACCAATGGATACCAGTGCTGAAGTCAGATTAGCCTACTATGCCAATGCGTTGGTCCCTTAAGATGTTTTTAAAAGTTCTAATGACTATGAGCATGCCTATAATATAATTTATGTTGAAAAAAACTATATAGTCAATGTGCTTTTCAGAAAATATAAGTTAATTTTAAAAAATCTCTTAAAGGAAGTAAATATATCAATATGTGATTATGGTTGTGGCTAAAGGGGCTGTGCGATGGATTGTTTGTGACTTTAATTGCATCCCGGCTTATTTAAATTTTCTACAATAAGTAGGGATGCAATTCATGATTAGAGATCAAAAGTTATTCCAAAACTACATTCCTAAACATTTCATTGTTCATCACATTAACATTTTGAAAATATCTGTCAAACTAGGGAATGACTCCAAATGGTCCAGATGAATTGTGAATTAGCAATGGCCCTTGGCCCTTATGGTCTCACCTGATGATGCGCTTTATTGCCGTGTATCTGTTGGGCTTGCGAAATCCTTCGAGATATGTACTCAGAGGGTCCCAAGGCTGCTGCTTCTGCTGGTCCAGCTAGCCTTACGTGGACTGGTGTATTGGAACCATCGTACTGAATGGAAAACCTATAATAAAGTAGATTTTGTAAAGTGCGACATTGAATGAAGACTCTTTACTAATAACTCCCAAATATCCATTAAAGAGCCTTGTTTGGCTCTTTGTAGTCTTTTAACAGAAAGATTATTTAGTTGACAATCAGCCAATACTAGTTAGCTAGTACCTACTCCTTGACCATCTACATAAGAGAATATGAAGAAGTTCAGGAATGAGTTCAGGAAATCTCCCTGGTCATCTTGCCCAGGTCAAATATCACAGGCTCTAAGTATGGCTGTTTGCTATGACGTCATATTTGAATGAGCACAGAATCAATTGGACAAGCTTAAGGTCAGGCACTTTCTGTTTTACATAGTTTCATTCCTTTGTTCAAAACCTATTTTTAAACTACTTTGCCATCTTGAGTCACTACAGATAAATGGAACAACTTGACTAGAGAATGCTCCTTGCTCACAGAGTTCACCTCTGGCACACAAATATACCATCTTGTTTGACATACTGTAATATTTCTGCAATGGTAAATGCAGGGAAAGAAGTGATTTTTATGTGGTGGCTTAATTATGTCATTAAAAGGTGGGTATTTTGAGTTAGAAAACCAAGGCAACTCATAATTTTTTCGTGACACATTTCCCGAGGGACGCACGCCACCCCTGCTCTTTCTAACTTAATTCTTACACCTTGGAGTTGTTCCAGTCTGCCTTAATCATTTCAGACCACTGTAACAACACAACACATGCTGGGCAGATGTCTTAAATAAAGGACTTTCGCTTTCTTGCAGTTCCAGAAGCTGAAAGTGTAAGATTAAGATGCACACCCTACTTTTTATACTCACACAAACATTGAAACACACACTGAGTTTGCTTTTGAAATACAAACAAAATCATCTCATATGTACTACTCACCTTCAGCTTGTTTATTTTTTTTTCTCATGAGGTATGAATGGTGAATATAGGTGGGCAAAGAGGTAGGAACTAAGAATCCTGTTACCTTAGGTAGATTCTCTATGACATATGTTCTAGTATTTTCCTTCCAGAGGTCTCTGATATTTCTAATTTACAGCCTTGGCCACTCATGCCACAGCAATATTCCTTTTTTCCCTTAAAGATGTATTTATTTTGATTGAAAGGGCATATTTACAGAGAGAAGGAAAGAAAGATCTTCTGTCCACTGGTTCACTCCCCAGATGGCCACAACATCAAGGGCTGAGCCAATCTGGAGCCAGGAGCCAAGAGGCAGGAGTTTCTTCTGGGTTTCCCATGTGGCTGCAGGGTCTCAAGGTCTTGGAGCATCCTTCAAAGGGTTAAGCAGGGAACTGAATGGGAAGTGAAGTTGTTGGAACACAAACTGGCACCCTTATGGGATACTGGTGCTTGCAGAAAGAGAATTGGCTAGTTGAGCCTTTGTACCAGCCCCACGCCCAATATTCTTCATTACTGTACAATGAAGCTTTCTTCTCTGTAAGACAGATGGCCAAATATGGATTGCAGCCAAAACTTAGGTGTACTTAAGTTTTGTTGTATAATTATCTAAGCCAATCCCTCCCCTCACGTTGGATTTTCTTCTCGGCTGTTCTAATAATTCTTTAGTCCTCCATCAATTATCATTTTTCTCTTTGTTAACTAATTTTTTAACATATAAATATGTTGTTATTTCCCCCATTTTAACAAGAAACTCTTTGAACCTAGTTGTCTTTCATCCTACACCACCATTCTATTCCTTGGTAGTGAAGGAAAAAAAAAAAACCCTTGGACTTTACCTGGTGATGTTTAATTCCTTAGTACTCCCATTCTATGTTTTCCACAAGTATCTAATTTTTTTTCATTTCATTTGAAAGACAGAAGCAAACTGAGAAACACAAACAGAGAAAGATCTTTTCTCACACTGGTTCACCCTTCCAAAAATGCCCACAACAGCTGAGGCTGGGTCAGGCCAAAGCATAAGTCCAGAACCCGACCTGATTTCCCCATCCAAGTGGCAGGAGCCCAGATATGTGGGTCATTAGTGTTGTCTTTCAGGGAGGCTGCAGAGGCTGGGCCTGAGACCATCTGAAACCAGGAGCCAGAAGCCAGGAGGCAGGAGCATCTTCCAGGCTACAAGCAGAGAACTGGACTGGAAGTGGAGCAGCTGGGAAAGAACACCAGTGCTGGCAGGCTGAGCATTGGTCTGTCAAGCCACTGTGCCAACCTCTTCATGCTATATTCTGTAAGAGCTCACTATCTATCTTATTTATCTGTTCACTGTGCAGTCCATTTTATTATTTAGTTAATCAGTCATTCAACACATATTTATTGGGCATTTATCAGATTCAGACATTGTTATGGATTCTGGCAATACAACTGGAATGGATTCACCTGCTCACAGAGTTTATATTATAGCAGTATGTAAATAAGCTAATTTAGCAAAAAATACCTAGAGCATTCAAAGTTGATAAAATGCATTGAAGTAAAGTAGAGGGGGATGATGACTCGTGCTAGAGCAAGGATGAGGCTGAAATAATGAATGTTTGTCAGCAAAAGCATGACATATTTCAGCACACTTGGTGAATCTTTGGACAGTACATAGACAAGTTGGGCTGGAAAGCGGCATAACAATACGGGTAGCCCAAGATTCCAGTATGCTTGGTATATCCAGGTGGTCACAAAGATAGCCTGTGGCTTAACTGGAAAAAGCGAGAGAAGGGCACACAAGACTAACATGGGGAAAGGGGCTGAGGTCCTTCAGGACAGGCTACAGGGCACTGGAAGACATCAGGGTTTCTTTGAAGTTGGAAGCTATCAGAAAGTTTGTGCAGGGGCCAGAAGGCACAGTTAGTAAAATTTCTCCCTGTTACGCCAGCATCCCACAGAGGCACTTGTTCAAGGCCTGGCTGCTATGTTTTTGATCCAGCTCCCCTGCTAATGCCCTTGGAAAGCAGTAGGGGACAGTCCAGTGCTTGGGATCCTGTGCCAATGTAAGCTCTATGTGAAGCTCCCAGCCAGTGATTTGCCCGGTGCCTGCCATTGCAGCCTTTTGGGGTGTGAAATCCAAAAGAGGGTTCACTTTCAGAGGATGGAAGATCTTGCTTTGTGCCCTGCTGTCTCTGTAACTCTCCCTTTCAAATAATAATAAAAATACGTTTTCAAAAAGTTTGTGTAGAAAAATGGCTTAATCCGATAAAGTGTGGGAAATATCACCTTACTTGAGATGCTAGGAGGAGCCCAGGGGACACCATGGAAGAGGCAAAGAACCCAGCTGGGATGCCAACACAGCAATGCAGAAGAGGGTAAGCGAGGGGAAGCAAACGATTGAACAGTTGCAAGCTAAGGCACATCCTTTAAAGAAAAGATGCCAGTCTGAAGCGGAGAGATTGCTTGTGGTCTTACTGGGGCTTGGTGGAGCAGTCAGAATCGGTGCTGGAGCACAGCCATCGGGAGGTCTGCAGCTCAGACTGAAGAGGAGCTCTGGCTGTGTCATGTTGAACTTGGGAAGATAGGGAGCGATGTAAGAAAGACAAGTGAGCTTGTGAAGGTGAGGGATGCCACCGCATTTGTGTTAAATATGTATAAACAGTCCGTTCAGTTTCAGTGGCCAAAAGAAATGCAAACGTGAATCATATTGGTGTTTATGCTCTAAGAAAATGTGGGAATTTACATAAGAATTCAAAGATTCAATCACTTGACTTGTTTGATTAACATGTTTCATTGTCACCCTCTTATGGAAAGCTGGAAAGAACTGACTTGAAAAATAAAGATGAAATGGCACCTAATAGCTTTACTTTTACCTTTAAGCTTGAATTCTTTGTAATATATTAAATCTATACAACAAAATGCTATCCAAATTTCCTACCTTATTTATGGATCAAAACTTCTAAGTTTTTGTGATATAGGAATAATAAATGGCATCTGATGATGAAGTCATTCTATTTTCTTTAAAGATCTATAAAATCACAAGAGTAATGCAACAAAATGATCACACAATTGTAAGACTCGGAGATTGAAGTGAAAATTTGCTGGTGGCTTCTGAGAAAAGATTAGAGAATTCTAAATTAATAAATGAACATAAAGATTCCTAGGCTGGGTCTTCTGTTATTTTTGGCATGTCAGCATCAGAAAAGCTACTGTTCGGTCCTCTGTTGGCCACGCTGCCCCACGCTCAGGTTCCCTCGGCTGCCACTAGGGGGCGCGCACTCACAGGCACTCACCAAGCCCTGTGTTCCGTGTTCCCCTGGTCCAGCAGTCTCTGTCTGGCCATGGCATCCCTCCTTCTGTAGCGCCCTCGCAGCAGATTGTTTTTGAGGGTCCCGAAGAGGAACTTTGTGTTCTCCTTTGCTGACACCTGCATAAATAGTCAACATGACGAAGGGCACCAGATCACTCAGGCATGACTTACTCCGGTGGACCAGCCCCCCTCTTGCTTACTCTGGTGGACCAGCCACCCTTGCAACCCAGACATTTAGAATTGGAAAGCAGAACAGGCTATGGAAAAGAACTGTCTGGGATCACTAATATTTGGTCCTGTGGATCCCTTTGTGCATTGGATACTAACTTCTTGATTGTCAGCAAAAGTTTCCTAAATTTAATTCTGACTATAGCTTCAGTTAACTCTACCCATCCATCTTACAAGAGAATTCTACACACACACACACACACACACACACACACACACACACACACACACACACACACACACACGGAGGGAATCTGCTTCCTTCCATTTCAGCACTTAAAATGTAAAATGTAAAGCATCATAACAAAGTGACCACATGGTGTCACTCTAACACCGACAGGAGCTAGCTGTTAGCAATAATGGGAAGATGGATCTCAGCCCAGTGAACCTGAAGATCTGGGTTAATACAGCTCAGTGAGGCATAGCCCGCTGAAGCTCCTTGGCAAGAATGCCCAGGCCATTCACGCTAAAGAGTGAGCGACAGGGAAAGATGCTGGACAACCTCTCTCTTTACCGCGGTATTTGCTGAGGATGCCAGCGGCCTGGAGAAACTGAATCCTAGGAACTTTGTGACGAAAATAAAGTGCTCTTTCTGGGGAAAGATTAGGGTGCTTTTTGTTCAAATTACATTATCTTATTTCTTCTTCTTTTTAGAAAATATTAACGTTATTTTGTATTAGTGGTTTTCTTAAAAACAAAACAACTTCAAAAGCCAGCCTCAGTCTTAATTACACACTCCACTAATCAAAAATGAAAGGATAGCACTTTTTTCTAAACGAAGGAGTACTTGAAATTTATGGCTTTGAAAGACATGTGTTAAAAGGGAAAACTTCATCAAAGTTAGACTTAGCAGCTAGATGCCCTGTCACATCATTTTTACCAAATCAGAGTTCTTTTCTCTTTTATCTAGGTCATTTCCAAGCTTATTCTATCAAACGTTTCACAGACATGTTCTATCACATGGTAGAGGATCAGTGGTGTCAGGCTAGATTTAGGCCTTTTCTTGTCCCTAAAATTTTTTTTTTTTACTAAAATGTTCAGTGTAAGGAAAGTATATTTGTATCAGTACATATTTAAGTTTGCATTGACCACTTCCTTAACCTGAAATTTTAGTGAGAGCAATAGAGTTTGTGATTTTCCTGGAACAAGCATCCAGGTTAGCCACCACGGGTTACAGAGAATGAATGAGTAGTTTGGTAGACTGCATTTAGCTGTTACCTGAATACCGTGCTCAACCACAGGGTGAGACTGCTGGTGGGACGTGTTGTGAAGACCGGAGAAGAAACACATCTGGCAGAGGTTGTAGTCGAGACACTTCAGACAGCGGTATCTGCCAATTATAATGGAAGCACAGCTGATATCACTACTATGAGGTGAACAAAGAAAATAATATTTGAGGGGAGTATGAACACCATAAAATAAAGTTTCCCCAAAGCTTTACAGGCATATCAATTGGCTCTGGTTTTTTTTTAAAGCTATTTATTTATTTATTTGAAAGCCAGAATTACAAAGAAAGGGGGAAAAACAGAGAGAGAAGAAGGACGAGGAAAAGAAGATGGAGCGGGGAGAGAGAGAGACAGAGAAAGCTCTTCCATCTGCTAGCTCACTCCCCAATGAATGCAAAAGCCATGGTAGGTTAGCTGATGTCAGGAGCCACAAACTTCCTCTGGGTCTCTCACAGGAATGCAGGTGCCCAGACACTTGGGCCATCTTCTGCTAGTTTCTGAGGCAGTTTATCAGGGAGCCGATCATAAGTGAGGCAGCTCAGATCTCAACCAACACCCACACAAGAGGCTGACACTGCAAATAGTGACCTAACCCACTGCTCCACAATGCTATCCCCTATTTTTTCATTTCATTTTTATCTATTTATGTTGCTTACCTGAAAGGCAGCAAGATAGAGAAAGGGTGTGTGTGTGTGTGTGTGGCAGGGGGTCTTTCTCATTTGCTGGTTTATGCATCAAATGCCAGGGAAGCTGGAATTGAACCAGACAGGAGTCAGGGTCCAGTAATCAACCCAATCACCCATACAAGTGGCAAAGACACAAAGTACTTGGCGCATCACCTGCTACCTCTCAAGGAAGTTGTAATTGAGAGCTGAGCCAGGGCTTGAGCCCAGGCATGCTCACATGAAATGCGGGCCTTCTGAGTGGTTTCCTAAGCACTCCACAAAGTGCTCATTGCTACTGCTTTTATTTAACAAAGGAAATATTCATTTGATACGATTCTCAATGTGGAGTTACATTCATATGGTTTTATTGAAGAGATTATTGGTGAAAAAACACATCCGTCCCCATAGATGTCTTCTGTAGTATTGTGTACTGCCACTTTTCCGCATGGGTGCTGGAGGGGAAATTAAGCCATAAATATCATTTTTAGGAGTTTGTACATAGGAACCACAGTGCAGGAGGGGGAGTTTTCCATCAGTCAGAAGTTGAGTGACCACCACACTCACATGCTGACATTGCAGTTTCTCTTATAAATGATTATAGCCTTAAAACTCGGGGTGATCCAAAGGAGGGAAGAGATGCTGAGACGATCTTGAAAGGTGAGATGTCTTGACACAGGGGAGCTCTTGTGAAATCAAGCAGTCATGAATTAGTAAATTTTAAGTATGTGTGAACAGAATTTTATAGATAACCATATCAGAGATCGGCATCACAGTTCCTGATAATCTGACTTTTTGGTAGCTACAGGTGTTCTGTGTTCCTCCAGGACAATGACTGGTAAGAATTAAGCAACTCTAGTTCCTTTAGGCTGGATATAACGTTCTTCAGCTCAGAGCAGTTCCTAACCATCTTACTTTTCGCCCATGTGCTACTTGCCTTGCTCCTGTAGTCATTTGAGTTTTCAACTCTTAAAAAATTCAAAAACAGAAATGGGACAAGATTCCGATTCTTTTTAGGTTTCTGGTCTTACTTCCAAAACATTGACAAGGAAGCTTGAGACAGCAGCCAGCAACAGGAGATGCTGAATGCCAAGTGGAAGTCGTCGGAGATCGTGATGCTCTGGGCTGATGTGGTCAGAAGAATTTTGTGGAAGAAGTGAGATTAAAACTGTGGATGGAAGGCTGTGCTGGAGGTAAAGGCAGAGGAAACTCAAGGTAGAGAAGAGATGGAATAAGGTGAGGGAGCCTGAGGAGATGAGAATTTAGAGGACATCAGATCTCTCAGACCTATTGATTATCCTGAAGAACAGAGGATAGCAGAAGGTCTTGCAAGTCTGACAAGCCATTGGATAGGTGAGCCAGAGTATGTAAATTTCATGAGACCAAAGCTCAGCTGTGTTTGTTCACTGGTACCCCCTCAATAGCGTCCCGTAGCAGGAATTAAGAAGTATTGACTAACGATGGCACCAGCTACATTTCCGAGTACTTTTTATGCAGACAGTAAGCAGGTATTAATGCAGTTAATCCCCATGAAGTCCTTTATAATATGGTTGCTATTACTGTCTTTTTACAGATGAGAAAAATTAAATCAAGAGGGTTAAAGTAAGTTCCACAAAGTTGTACAACTCCTCAGTTCAACAAAAGGTTCTGAACCCTGGCATATGGCTGGGATGGTTTTAGATGCTAGAACAGACCATTGAGGTGGAAGGGTTCAGTTTGAATTCTTATACCACCACTAATAACGGTAGCAGTAATAAGAGTTGGGTTGGAAACTGAAGCTCACTGTTCTGGAAACTACCTTGTATGTGGGAGGTTTCCAATGACTATCATTAGAATGAAGTTGAATGAATGAATGATTAGGTTTTTCAACAGGAAAATGGAGCTAATAAATCCTATCCTACTAGCCTTGCAAAGTGTTTACCAAGCTTTGAAAAGTATTCAACATGCATAAGTGGGAAGCCATTTACTTTTTAAATACAGTGTACCACGTAATTTTTTGATACGGTTTACTGGATGAGTCATCCATGACAGCTGCTTTGTCTAGTCCTACTGTGTAGCTGGCTATTCGTGCCTGCTATATACCTATGAGTTTTCTTCTGTCTTCCTTAAGGCACATAGTAACTCCAAGTTTTACTTCCCTGGTGTTTTATTTTGTGGGCCACCTATAGCTCATCTATAGCTCTCCCAGATGCAATTTTGAGAGTTATCCTCAAAGGCTTTTTTCAAAAGTCGTACTCTTTCTGCCCCAAACCTAGTTTTCAGATCTGCCCTTTCCTCTAGGTGGAGGAAAGATGGGTCTTCCATTGGTTTGCCTGATGCTGATCTTTCTTTTGGGCTTGAAATCTTGTTCTCAGATGTCTACACAAGGAGGCAGCATAACACCAGCTCACCAGCCCCTGCCAGTTAATCCTGTGACTTAAGTCATTTCACATTTCTGTAAATTGTGCATAACAATATCACTCTGTTTTAGGGGTTTACAGTTTGTTTTAATGAAAATGAATTATGACCCACTCAGCCTAGCACTGCTTAATACTTAACAAATATAAACTGTTATTATTAATTGTTGGTGTCTCCAAAATATTTTTCCCCTGCAACCAAAACTAAATTCTTAAAGCAATCAAAATGTCTTTTGGATTAAGGTTGGCATTGTGAGGCCATGGATTAAGTCATGGCCTGCAATGCCAGCATCCCATATAAGCATCAGAATAAGTACCAGCTGCTCTGCTTCAGCTCTTTCTCACTGCCAAAGTGTCTGAGAAAGTTAGTGGAAGACAGCTGAAGTGCTGGGGTCCCTGTCACCTAAACGGGAGACCAAGATGGAGTTCCAGGCTCCCGGCTATGAACCAGCAGATGGAAGATCTTTAGCTCTCTTACTTTATCTCTAACTCTGCCCTTCACATTAAAAAAAAAAAGTCTTTAAAAAAATCAAGGAAGAAATGAATATCTGTCAATTGATTTATTGTCAACCAAGATGCCTCATACAGGGAATTATTTAGCCAATAAAATCAATTGAGTTCCTGAAGTTTGAGAAGGACCCCAGAGATAACGTAGCTCCAACTTCACACTTGGAGAATGACAATGTGTGGAAATTAGTGGTGACTATACCTCAGCCCCATGATCGGGAAGGCCCTGCAGATGCTGCACCGCACGGGGTGAGGAAGCATCTCGGAGGCTGATAGCCGATGGCAGGTGGGAAGCCACAGCAGGATCAGAGGCTCAGATTGCACCCAACATAAGAATTTCTCCTCTTTGATTGTAGGGCTCAGCACCTGTGAAGACAACAGCTTCAAGAAGCACTCCTAGGCACGGTTTTGAATTTTTCATGGTCTCTTGTGGTTGCATTTCTGCCAACTCTGCTGAAAATGTTTAGCACATGAAAAGGTAGGGGCAAGTCAACCTCCTAAATGAGGTTGTCTAGGATGCCGTGTGAGGTCAGCCAATATGCCAAATCAGTTGGCAAACTCTTCAAGAATGTCTGTCCCGACGCTCAGCGACATGTGTATGGCACTCACCCCTTGGAAACAGCCTCTCGTGGCACTTTCCACAGAGCACAGGGCACGGCTCTCCCCCACGACAGCTGGAATCTGAAACGGGCAATCATGTTAGTTAGAAAAAAGAGAAATACATGATCACCTAAGTCAGCACACCCGAGTGAGGGGCTCTCAGCCAGGGAGTCTAAGGCAGTGGTCACTATGCTTGTTAGAATCAAGAACTGAGGGCCTAACGGCCAAAACTCCTCGCCTTGCACATGCTGGGATCCCATATGGATGCCACTTCGTATCCCGGTGGCCCCGCTTCCTACCCAGCTCCCTGCTTGTGGCCTGGGAAAGCAGTCCGGGATGGCCCAAAGCCTTGGGACCCTGTACCCACATGGGAGACCCAGAAGAGGTTCCTGGGTCCTGGCTTCTGATTAACTCAGTTCTGGCCATTGTAGCCGCTTGGGGAGTGAATCATCAGACAGAAGATCTTCCTCTCTGTCTCTCCTCCTCTTTGTATATATGACTTTGCAATAAAAATAAATAAATCTTAAAAAAAAACAAAGAGTGAGAGAGGAATAGAATGAGTATGTTGAAGAGACACTTGCATTTTTATGTTCATTACAGCTTTATTCACAAGTTGAGATGTAGACTAAACCTACATACTGAACAATGGATACACAAAAATGATAACACACATATATACATTGGAATATTATTCAGTCCTAAAAAGGAAGGAAACCTTTTTTTTTTTCCTACAATGCAGATGAATCTGGATTTAAAAAAAAAAAACCCTAAGTAAAATAAATCAGAGGGAAACAAATAGTGCATGATCTCACTTGCATAGGGTATTCACAAGTGTTGAACTCAATGTAAGATGGCGGTGTTCTGTGGAGCTAATTCACAGCATGGTGACTAGTTAATAATATTATATCTTAATTGTGTTCAACCCCCTTACCCCCAAAAGGTAACTGTGAGTGACTGATATGCTAATTCTTTTTTATTAGACTTTAATTGATTAATTTGCATTTTTTCAATGAAAATACAGAGGGACAGAAATAGAGATCATTTATTTGCTGTTTCACTCTCCAAATGATTGCAGTAACCAGAGGTAGCCTCCCTCCTGGGTGGCAGGGACCCAAGAACCAGAGCCATTCCTTGCTGCTCCCCAGGGAGCACATTGGCAGAGTGGAGCTGCCAATCCAGACACCGTGGTATGGGTTAAGGCATCTCAGGGGCATCTTAACTTCCAGGCCAAATGCCCCGAATGTTCGTGTATCTGATTATGGTAATCATCACACATGCACTATTACTTCAAATTATCATATTGTACATTTCGAATACGCTCATACAAGTTTTGTTTGTCAATCAAATAATTTTAAACAAACAAAGAGGGTTGGCTGAGAGTCAACATTTTGTGGAAGGTCACCAAAAGCAGGTTAACTGCAAAGACAGGACCTAACTACAGAATGCTTTATATTCTTTTCTGAGGGTTTTTCACAAAGTTTTGTGACACTCTAAATTTATGCATATCCTCTTAGCTCAATGTATACCATCTTATTCAGCGGTTTTTATGTTCCAATAACAGTCACTTTAAGGAAGCTAACTAAGATGCTGGGAAGTCCTTGCGACTGCTAAGGTGGGTAGGGACTTGGCTAGAACATCATCTAGATGAATGGATACATGCACTGTCATTTCCATTTGCTCCGTTGGGTAACAGGTCCTAATTTCATGTCTGATGTCTTCTGCAGCACATGCTCTCAGCAGGCATTGCTTGCAAGCTCAGAGGTAATCTCCAAGACCCCCTGCTGGCTCCATCAACTTGAATAAACATTCTTCTAATCAGGAAAGTGGCACTTAGAATTTCTTTGCTGACAATTAGCCAGGCAGAAGTCAACAAACATTTGTGTAATGGTGACAAGATGGCTTGTATTTTAAATGGATAATAACCCTGCTGTGACTTTAAGTAACTACTCCTTGTATTATTTAGCTTTTGTCTGGGGGGAAAAAAAAACTTGATTTCCCAATTTCCCATCTTTTGGCCTGTGTGTGCTGAAGAGCTAACTGGAGCACTTATTTAGATTGTGTTGCTGATTCAACATTTACCCTCTGCTCCCATCTTTGAGCCCCAAGGAAGGAGTTTCACTTCATTTGTAAAATAAAAGAGGTGGATACTTCAGCATTGAATTTGCCAGCTCTGATTCTGACACCAGCGCAAATGAAGCTCGTGCTGCCATTGTTTTTGCCTACATTTTGGCCTTTCAGTGTACTCACAAAGACTTTGTGGATTAATCGCCTATTTGACTAATTTCTTGCAGGTGTTCTATGGAAGAATTAAATGTGGCTAGATGGCATGTTGGCACAGGCAGAACAGCACTTGAAATGATAATTAGGATACTTAGGGGAGGATTTGAATCGCATAGCAGTGCATGGAATTTTCTGTGGGAATACGTTTGAGTCTGTGATGGAAGTTGATGGGATGATAATTTGTTATGCAGATCAGTGCCTTCCTAAGTTTTCTCAGGAGTATACTAATGTGTGGGGGTGGTGGTGCTGCAGGAGCTGCCATTTCAGCAGCTGATTGACCTCAGTGGAGACTGCAATAAGGGCAACATTTTGGGACCTGAGTCAGGAAGGGTGTGTAAAGAATTTTAATGAAGAAAGCAAAGGAGTCTTTGGCCCAGGTTTTTTCTTTACAACCGCTTGCTAGACATGCTGGTCGTGCTAGTTTGATTGGCGTTATCGAGGAACAGCCTGTGCTGTGGTGGCATGCTGAGACATTCCCGAGAGTCCTCGGAAAACGGGTATAAACACCAGAACAGTTTGAAAGTATCCATGTCTAATATTTTAAGCTTATGACATGTTTAGAAATCATCACTCTACTAAAAACATAAAACATAAAAAACCATATCAGAGAAGGAAGGAGGAGGAAGGGCGAGACAGTAGAACAGAACTCTAAAATCATCTGTACAGAATCATCAATGTGAGCAAGTATCCGTGCAGGAGCTCAGGGGAACGGCGGGAGGTCAGAGTATTTGAATATAGCAGTGTAAAAAGATGCATTGAACAAGACAGAAAAGACATTTTTTTTTTTATTACTTGCATCATTCCTCCCCCAACCTAAGGCATCACTGCTTGGAGCAATGCCAACCACTTGGATGGAAAGAGAGAAAACTGGAATAGAACTTTACATTGGGTTCTAATGCTGGGTTCCCCTTAGTGAAACCCAGTACCAGTGAGATCCCCATTGCCTCCAACTCCAGGCTGGTACCTGTGAACAGAGTATTTAGATATGCTCTGGCATGAGGAGGTAGATGGGCTGACGTGTAGTGAAGTGAGGTACCCATAGGAATGAGAAAGGGGAAAGTCCACTTAAGACTGGACAAAGTATTAACTTTAGTGCCCAACTCAGTTTTACCTTGAGAACAGCAAGGAAGGGGTGATCCCAACCTTCTGAGTAGGATCATGAAACAACAGACACAAAGTTGCCTACCCTTCTGCTGACTTTTTTTGTTTCACCAGGAGCAAGCTAGATAGGATGATTCCTGCTCCATTCTTCAACTGAATGTTATATATTGTTCTGCTCACTTGAATTGTGCTGAGAAGACTCCAAGATCCTATTTTGATAAGTTTCTTTGGTCTTCCTCACTTGCAGCCTCCCTACTGATGCTGTGGCAAGAGGTTTCCAAATAAAAAATTTTTTTTATTTGTTCACTGTCCTTTTCACATGAAAATTCTCCTACATAAGACAAGAATCGAGGTCACCCTCATTATTGCCATTTCCTAATAACACTGGCACTGGATGGGAGTCCCAGGCTTTGTCCACCTGCATCATAATTGTTGACCATATAGCTTTAAGTTCTAAGTCACTCACTGGCAGGCCACAGTGGCTAGGAGCGTGAGTTTTAATACGTTAAATGGTAAACATCTCAGCAGAAACCTTACAGATCCAGAGACAGTGAGCTGCTACATAGAAGAAAAACTGCAAACCAGGGATAATGTACTCAGCAAAGCTGATATAGAAAGGAGAGGGAAGAAGTTTCCAGACAAATAAAAACTGAAAATATTCATTACTAACACACCTACTTCTTAAGAAACACTAAAAAGCATTTTCCCAGGTGAAAATGCATGCTAATGAGTGACATGAAAATGTAGGAAAGTATAGAATTCACTGGCGAAAAGAAGAACACAGTCAAAGGCAGAACACCTAATAACCAGATGGTGGTAAATAAATCACAACTTTATTAGCAAGAAAGTTAAAAGGCAAAACTATTGAAAATCTTAACTGTACCAGCTTATCAGTAAATACGCAATGCAAAAAGGAACAAATTATAAAATTTAAAATGGTGGGGGAGTAATTAAAATAGAAAGAGGGCTTTTTTGTTGTTGTCAAAGTTAAGTTCATAGAAATTTAAACTAGCAGGTTATAACTGTATGAGTTTTTTGAAAGTCTCAGAGCAATCACAATGTAAAAACTTATTACGGGCATGTTAAAAGCCAAAATCAAGGAATCACAACTAGGAAAATCAAGGAATGTCAAAACTAAAGAAAAACACTCATAAAGGGAGGAAATAAAAAGGTGAAGAAAAGAATGATCTAAAAACAGAAAGAGAACGATTTTGTAATTGGGAATAGTGAGAACTGGTATCATGGCATAGAAGGCTAAGCCACAGAGTTTCATGAAAGCATTCTATATGTGGCCAATTTAAGTTCCAGGTGTTCCACTTCTGATAGAACTTCCAGCTAATATACATAGGAAGCTAGCAGGAGATGGCCTAAGGAATTTTTGGAGACCTGGATGAAGCTCCTGGCTCCTTGCTATGACCAGACCCATCTCTGGTTACTGCAGCCATGTTGAGAGAATCAGAAGATGTATCCTCTCCTCTTTCTGTAACTGTGCCTTTCAGATAAGTAAATTGAGAATCAAGAAGGCAGAAAAGGGTAAGGATGCATTTAAAAGAAGGAGAATCATTAGTCAGTGTGAAGCAGAGAGGGCACGTTCCAGGAAATAGGAGAGGATAGGACAGCAGAGGGACACCCAGAGACTGACAGACACAGGAAAGCAGTGAGAACAATGGTGTGGTGTGGCAGTGACTGATACCCCAGCGGCATTCAGTGAACAGGGATCTGAACTCCACCAACAGCCAGAACTACAAAAGCAACAAGATGGGAAGGGACATCCACCAGGAGCTCTGGAGGTGAACCCAGACAAAGAAGTGCTCATTCTGCTGCTCTGTTTGATTTGACCAGGAACAGAGACAGAGACAGAGTAGCAGGTCCCAGATGGGCAGTGCAGCAACAGGGTGGATTGGATTTCCCAGCCCAGTCCACCTCTTGGAGCTGAATTAGGTGCCATTTTGTTTAAGGATGCAAAGGCTATGGGGCAGGACTGCACATGCATGGAGCAGGGAGTGAACTCATTTCTGACTCAGTGAACTGCAACAACGTGGCATCCTACAGGTTCCACCCAAGACAGGTCCGGGTAGCCAGACATCAGTCAGCCAGAGCTGATGGCCAGCAGATCAAGAACTCTAGTAGTGACACATCCGATGCCATTTCATATAGTGTGGCAAACAAATTTAAGATTACAGTGACAACAGTGAGCTGTGCATGTACTGAGCTTGGTGAGAACTCACTGAGCTCAGTGATTTGTGCTGGTCCCACGGGAAAATAATAATGAGTATGGCATTGTATGGGTGAAAATAGGTTCATGTGGCCCTCAGACCTAAAGTCCAACAGGTTCTGGCAAGATCAGCACCACCAACAACCTAACTATATGGCAACAAACTGAAAAGGAGCCAGGAGCTCAACTTGAGTCTCTTACATGGATGGCAGCAGGACACTGGATCAGAAATTGAGGAGCCAGGTCTTGAACTCAGGTACTATGAGACGGAATGGGATGTGAGCAGTCCAAGCAGCATCTTAGCTGCTGTGCCAAATATCTTCCCCTCCTAAACAAATACTTTAAAACTTCTATTTATTTATTTGAGACAGAAAGAGAGAGAGGGAACAAAGAAGGAAGGAAGTAATAGAGTTACAGCAAGTATGTCCATTTGCTAGTTCACTTCTCAAATATCTGCAACCACTGGGGCTTGGCCTGATTGCTAGGAGTGGGGGACTCATTCCTGGTCTCCCTGAACACATATGTGGTAGGGACTGAATCACTCGACCCACCACTATTGATTTTCTTGGGCTCACATCAATAGCAGGTTGGAATAGGAGCCAGATGTGTGTTGAACCCAGGTACTCCAATATTTGTATTAGCATCATGATTTTATCTCTCCCCCACCTCTTTTTTTAAAGAGAAGTATTTTGGAAATCCAAATTTCTTTGCCTGTTATGCTGAAGAGTTTGGGCTTTATCCTACAGATAAAGAATGTTCAACATAGAATTTTAAGAGTGACATTGCATTTTGGAAAGACCTCTGTCTCAGTGTGGAAGCAAAACTGTGGGCTGTGGGGACAGGTGAACTGGAGAAATGCATTAGACTGAAATTGAAATAGATCCGGTTAAAGTTAATAGAGCCCATACTAAGATAATAGCGGTTACTATAAAAGGAAAAGGCTGCACGGAAAGCTGTATAAAGATAGAACTGACATTGTACAAACCAGATACTTTAATAATAAATGAGACTAATATAACTGAAGCAAAATTAGAATTCTAAAGAACTTACCTGCTGCAGATCTGTGAGCAGGTTCCTCAACACCCTTCGAGTCATGCGTGCCTCGTGATCATAACCTCCCTTGTTTTCTGCATAGAGTTGGAAAAGAGCTAGATATATAGGGGAGGAGAAGAAATCCTTAAGTTGGATATTTGCAGTCTTTTGGAGGAGTGTGTGCTTTAAATAAACATGGGCATGCGGGAGAAGGGAAGAGGAAGGTATATTCCTGGTAATTTACTTATTTTGAATGCCTTTTACACTAAATAATTGAATGAATGAAAAGCCATTCACATTTCATCACCCCGACAACTGAGTGTGTCTAGGATGAAGATCATGAGCTGGGTAAATGACAATATAAGGGCCGTACACATCTTTGGAGGAATAATAATGACTGGTGTCCGGATAATTCCTAACAAATAACTGTCAAGTTCAACTCAGTGATGTATAGTCAGAAAAGATTTACTTTTAAAAAATCCATAGTAGTAAGCATTTTTCTTTAATAAGTAAGTAAGTCACGCTGAGGAATGAAAGTCACCATGGGGGGTTATAGACGTGGGTGAAGAAGCAAATGCATGAGGGACTCAGTCACAGCACTGCAGAACACTCACGCCTCCCATGCATTTTACCTCTGTATTTTGTAAGAGGGCTGTCCCCCGAGAGAGCAATCAGGGCAGCAGCCACAGGTGTGAGCTGGAGAGAACCCGTTCCTCTGCTGCATGGCAACAAAACAGACACAAATGGAAGGGGTAGTGTTATTCATGGTGAAGTGTTTTAGAGAAACCGTAGCTATTATTGGATGCTCTAACATGGGGTTAGGGATGCTAGATTTTCATGGCCTCTTTTTCTGTATGTGGAATTTTGCCAGAGAGAGCATTGGCTTGAAATGGTTCATCATTCATTCAATTAGAAAATATTTGCTAGGTTGCTCTCTGTGCTGAATGCTGCACCAGACACCGATGCCAGTACCCGTGTTGTCTTCTTGGGGGGTGGGCAGCCTCATTGCTTAGTTCTCAGCCGTCTGGAAACCAAGCAGCAAAAACAAGGACAAAAGGATGGGTGAGAGGAGCACGCGTACATGCCTCAGAAATGCTCAGTTCATAGACTCTCGCTCAGAGTTTAATCATTCTTTGCCCACTCACTACGTAGTTTGTAAACCTACAAAACAATTTTCAAAGGCAGGAAGATGATTAGAGACCAGACTGACTGTAGAAATGACATTCAAAGAAATGACATTCAATGAAACAAAAAAACGAATATTTTGAGACTGTGTCTATATTCATATGTTGTCAGTGCAATTAAAAAACAAATAACAAACAAGAACACACATGTAAGAAAGTTGCTTAGTGGTAAACACTGTACCTATTTCGGGCACACACATTTCAAAACATTTTCAAAACCCATGCATTGTTCCTTCATATTTATTTTCATGAGGTTTTAGAAGGCCCCACATATTTCTCTTTATTCTTTTTCTCTACACTTCAAATATAAAGGTTCATTCTAAAGAATGGGGTTTACTGAGCCAGGACCGAAACAAATCAAGGCAAGCTGAGAAGGAGGAAAATATTGTAAACCCTATAGCTCAACTCACTACACACGCTGACCATGTGCATTAAATATACACTCACTGCACATGCTCACATCAGAACCATTGACTCCACATCATCCACAGTTACCTGTTGGATATGCTTTAAGCTGGGGATTAGCTTAGTCAAGCCACACACACAGCATAACCAGCATAATTCTAACTAAAAAATCAAAACAAAACAAAACCAGATAATTGTTATAAAGAAATGTTGAGAGACTCAAGAGCTTCCTAATGACTTACCTACAGAGGTGTAATCGCCACAGCAAGTGTAAATGCTTCTCAGTAGGACTGAGTTAATATTTAAAACATTTAAAACAAATTTATTCTTGTTCACCACACCTTAAGCAAACGTTGGACAGCACGGAACGGTCAATTACCAGTGGCCAGTGAATATTGCGTTTGAGGTTGTAACATCCCCACCCACGTCCTCACCTGTCGTAAATGGTCCTGAGCAGGCTCAGAGTGAGTTCCGACGCTCTGGGATGCGGCTCTCCTGTTGTTTCCACTTTGGCTCTCTGAAACAACTCTTGGAGCACCTGACCAAGTTGCTGTACAGAAAGGGAGCTCTCCCTGGCTTCCCAAAACCTCTGACGTAGTAGCACATGTTGGATCAGGGAGCTGTCAATCAAGTCCACTGGAGGAAGCAGATGAAATGAGCCTTATTTTCTGACGAAAGTGAAAGTTGTCCGATAAAGCGAATGCCAATTGCCAAGTTCTTTAAAGGGAACTGAGGAAGACCAACACGGGACACACATCTCTCGCACATAATCGGGTATTACCATTCTGACAGTTTCATTTTTGGACAAATCTATCTATTGATGATGCAGAGTTGTGGTGTTATCACCAGTATGACTTTTCGGGCATTATTTTATAGAATGAAGTTAAAAGCGGAACAAGTGAGAACCTGGGAGAGTAAGCCTCCCAAGGAACTTAAGGCGCAGCGGCAGAAAACCGGAAAAATAATTTTGTGCTGTCTGTTGAGCAGATTGAACAGATTTACCCATCAGGTTAAAATGAATTTTTTCCTCCGCAGTCTAACTTCAGAAAAACATGGTATGTTTAAATGCAATTCCCATAGTGAAAAAACAAATCCAGTGATCTGTAGCAGAACTGCTGCTAAATTATCACATCTGTTGGGTCTCATTTTTTTGCCTCAGTGAATTCACTTAGAGAAAAAGCTTGTTTTCAACAGCATTATGATCTAGAATAGACTTTTACTAAGACTAGAGTTACTTATAAAAGTTGCTTTACTTCTCATATATATTTTCTTTACCATCTTCTCACAAAAAATTTATGTGGCAATGAATAATAAGAAGAATGAAACAGAGTTCACCCCACGGATAATTTGAGGATAATTTTCTTTTATGGGAGAAGTTCTTCAGGAAAATAGTAAAAGTGGAGGAAATTTTTAGCACACATGTTTTGCCTTGCATTTGCTTATGGGGAAATAAATACTAGTTATAAATGAGTTTATTTGGGCCCGGCGCGGTGGTGCAAGTGGTTAAGGTCCTCGTCTTGCACGCCCAGAATCCCATATGGGTGCCGGTTCTATCCTGGCGGCCCTGCTTCCCTTCCAGCTCCCTGCCTGTGGCCTGGGAAAGCAGTCAAGCACGGCCCAAAGCTTTGGGAACCTGCACCCACGTGGGAGACCCGGAAGAGGCTCCTGGCTTCGGACCGGCATAGTATCGGCCGTTGTGGCTCACTTGGGGAGTGAATCATCGGAAGGAAGATCTTCCTCTCTGTCTCTCCTCTCTGTATATCCGCCTTTCCAATAAAAAAATAAAAATAATAAAAAAAATGAGTTTATTTGTCTAGAGCAATGCTCTATGATTTTTCCCTGAGCACCATAGATTAAAAAAGAACCTGACACAGAAACTGAGAATGGTAATATAAAAATTGAGTCAGATGTAGTTGGGTCTGACCAAGGTCATGGTTCTTCTGCACTGTCTAAACTTCTTTCTACCTTTCTATTTCTTTAACACCCTGCTTCATACCATGTGCACTCCATGAAGCACATTCAACATCCCCTGGCCTGTATAAATTATTACGCAGAAGAAAAAGCACTTAAAAATTCAACCTGCAGTATAAATATCATGCATATGGGAAAAATCAGGAATGTTAAAAAATGATTTCTTAAAGATTTATTTATTTGCTTTTAAAGATTTATTTATTTTTACTGCAAAATCAGATATACAGAGAGGAGAGACAGCGAGGAAGATCTTCTGACAGATGATTCATTCCCCAAGTGACCAAGGCTGGAGCTGAGTTGATCTGAAGTCAAGAGCCAGGAACCTCCTCCAGGTCTCCCACGTGGGTGCAGGGTCCCAAGGCTTTGGGCCGTCTTCAACTGGTCCCCCAGGTCACAAGCAGGGAGCTGGATGGGAAGCAGGGCTGCCAGGATTAGAACCGGCCCCCATATGGCATCCCAGCATGTAAATTTTAGTCCATGGGCAAGATATCAATAACTTTAAATGTGCTGAACACCTGTTGCTTTTCACAGCTAAGGTCCAATTTATTTTATCTTGGAGAAATTTTACAGGAAAGGCATTTTGCTCTATATTACTCCTCTTATGCAAACAGTGTAAAAAAACAAACCATAGTGTTCAGTAGATATAAATGAGAAAGATCAGTCTCATGGGATTATTTTCATGTTTAGACACAGATAGAAGAAGTCAACTTGAAAATTCAGTCTTTTGAAATAGTAACAGTATTGCATTTTCATCTTTAAATCTACACAGATGTTAAGTAACTTTTTTTTTGGTAGCTTTCTTTTGTGTTAATATTGGCATCCTGAAAATGAAATCAAAACTTTTTGCTTGAAACCTGTAAAAAAATACAGAACAAACCCTTCTCATACACAATCATTTTCTTCAGTCAGCGGAGCCAATGTGTTCCATACAGAACATGTGAGTGGACACCCTGCTTCCTACACTGCTGGCATCTTGGCTGCAAATGGGCTGAATCAGAGGCCTAGCCTTCCAGAACCAGCAGTCACCTGCACGGCAGAATTTATTTTCTCTGTCAATTTTATCGCACACATCAGGACAGAATTTCTGAAGTGCTTTAAAAGAGCCTGTACTTACACTGGCACAGGGTTTGAACTGATCGTAACTTGAAGGCTGTTCTATAAATGGAGTTCTCAATATTATTCAGAGCATCTGTAAAGAGAAGGAGAAGCAGCATGGATAAAGGACCATCTCTTCACATAAAACCCACCTTCTGGAATCCTACTTTGCTTTCCGGATGAGCCAATAAAGGTCTATAGCTCTGCTTTCCACCTGGAAATAATGAATAGACAGCTCATAGCATCCCAGGGCTGCAGGTGACCTGAGAGATAACTTTGCAAACCCACTACATGGAGGAGTTCATTAAAGGGCAGGGAACACTTCTCCAACAACCCATTGTTTCTTAAATTAAAAAAAAATTTAGAAGACAACAGCCTTTTGAGAAAATAAGACAAAAAGCAACATAGCGAACAAAAGCCTGTTTTTCTCAACATGTCTAGTTACACTGTGCAAATAAGTATTTATATATATGATATAAAAATATAAAAATATATAGGCACTTATATATATTTATATGAAAGCGCACCCAAAGCTACCCAACCACTTACACATTTAGCAAATATGTATCAAGCTCTTGTATACAATCCTGGTGAGAGCTCAGGTCCCTGAGTTGTAGCACTTAACTAAACAGCTAAAATTCCCATCTTGTGAAGGATAACTTTCAGTGGCTTCCAGCAACTTAGAAATAGTGGACATTTCTGAGGGACATTACTTGGAGCGAATTTGTTTCTATTTTGGTCTTCAGTATATTCATTATATAAATAGGAATTATAATGCATTCTGTGTAGAGAATTTCCTTAATTCAAAAGAGAAAATATAGGTTACACACTTCTTAAACTGTATTTCTCACTTACCTTTAGGAGCCAAAATTTAATTTTTTTTTCACTAGCCTTTCCAATCTGGTTTTCACTTAGTTTAAGAAACATAACACAGCAGAGCTTTTCATTGTCCTACAACAGAACATGTTCCCTGAAGACTGAAACTCTGAGCAGTCTTCAGAGCTAGCCAAAAAACCCAAAAACAACAACAACAACAACACACACACACACACACACACACACACCCAGCTACAGAGTGGCTCTTCCCATTTATTTGTACTATCTGTAGTGTCATTCGATAAAATTTTAGAAGAGCTTGCACATTAATTGTTCAATCTCAGGCAGTATAAATTGTCTTTTTCTCAGTGATTATTGCCTTAAAGTAATGATCCTCAAAGTGGAATTTCTGAATGAGCAGCTTCAACATAACCTGGGAACTTATGAGAAGAGCAATTTCTGTTTTAAAAGATTTACTTATTTTTATTGGAAAGGCACAGTTACAGAGAGAGAAAGATCTACTCACTGACTCACTCCCCATGTGGCCAGTCTAAAGCTGAGCCGGGAGCTGCTTCTGAGTCTTCAGTGTGGGTGCAGGAACCCAAAAACTTGAGTCATGATCACCTGCCTTCCATGGCCGTAGGTAGGATGCTGGATCAGAAGTGAAACCGCCAGGACTCCAAGTGGAGACTATATGTGATGCTGGCACCATAGGCAGAGGATTAGCCTATTATGCCATGGTGCTGGATCCCTAGAATAATTGTTTCTAACAAAATCAAAGCAAGTCTTTAACTCCAGAGATAAAACACAGAATCCTATGTTATGGCAGAATCTTAAGGTAAATTTGATGAAAATGAAATGTAAACACTGATAGTGTTGAGAGTTTATTAATTGTAGGGGATTGGCATTGTGGTGTAGCAAATAAACCACCATCTACAATGCTAGCATCATCTATGGGAGCCAGCAGTCTCAGCTGCTCCACTCCCAGTCCAGCTCCCTGCTAACAGCTTTGAAAAAGTAGTGGGAGATGGTCTAAGTGTTTGGGACTCCGATACCCAAATGGAAAGCCCAGATGGAGCTCCTGGCTCTCTGGATTCAGCCTGGCTCAGCCCTGGCTATTGTGGCTGTCGGGAGGGAGAAACAGCGGATAGAGGAACTCTCTCTCTGTTAGTCTCTCTGTCTCGCTCTGCTTCTACCTTTATCTCTCTATTTCTTTCTGTAACTCTGCCTTTCAAATTAGGAGATAAATGTGTTTTTTTTTTAGGAGCTTATTAATTCTAGAGCGACTGTCCTGAATCCAGTTGCCTATGGGTTATCTAGAATGACAACCAGATCTTCTGCAAATTCTGACATAATCATTTCTCTCTTCCCAGTATTTATACTGTGTATGTGTAGAGTCAAAAAACAGCAATAGGAAATAAGTCCCAATCTCACATGGGCTGACTCCAGGCACCTGGCGCAGATTTCAAGGTAATCCTGACATGCTCTGTCAAGGAGATCCTGCTCTGTTTGCTAGAGTGTGGAAGTGACAGAGTGACCCCAGTGTCCCATGTTTTATTTCAATAGTGAATTCTCATTATTTTGTCTAATATTAATACAGATGTGAAAATATTATTTATTAAGTGGTCAATATAAAATTATGAGGTATCTTATTGATAAAGATTAATAATTTAAAAATTCAATTATTTGAAATTTGGTTTCTCTTTTGCACTTTCACTAGATCTAAATTCAGAAGAGCCATTTTTTTAAGTACTCAATCACCGCAGGTGGCTGATGGCTAACTTACTGACAATAACATTTTAGAGAATATTAAGGGGGAGCTGTTCAGGGTATTGATTGGGGTCCCGAGTTTTCATTATGCATCTCGAGGCTAGAGTTGCTATCTAATCTGAGATAGACATTTAAGAGTCATTGGAATTGGATAATATAATATCAATCAATTAGGTCATCAAAGTACATACTTGATGAGAATAAAACTAGGCTAGCAGAAGCCCGAGGATCACAATTAAAGCTAACAGAAACTCTAAGGAAAATAATTACCTAAGTATCAGAAGAGGAAGAGAAACCCAAGAGAAAGAATGAGAAGAGCGATTCAAATTAGACCAAGATAAAGTGATGGTGTAAAGGTGAATTTTAGAAAGGCGAGAGGTTTTAATGATTTAATATCTGGAAGCCAAAAGAAGATTAACTATGGGCTAAAAATAACCACTGGTTGTTACGATTAACTTGATTATTGAATGTCTTTGAAAGAGCGGTTTCAGCGATCATGGGGAAAGGATGGAGCAGTGAATGTAAGGTGAAACTAAAATACAAACAAGACAGCTGTTCAAAGCTGTTTAATCAAAGGGAAAAGGAGAGAGGCATAGCTAGAACCACACATAAAAATCAAACCTGTTTTCACAGGCAGAAAGATCCCATAACTCATACATGAGTCAGGAAGAAGTGACCAGCAGAGGGGAAGGAGTTGAGGGTTCAGAGAATGAGGGATCTCGTAGTATTTGATTCAGCAAAGTCCCACCCAAATTCATTGACCCTTCTGGTGATATATAACCCTTATCAGGCAAATAGCACACCAAGGAAATGTGATTCAAGGATCCTTTGTTCAAGTAATCAGGTAAATGGACTCACTTATTTCCTGGCAGACTTGAACTTGGAATTGTGGATTACAGCTGCAGTCACTCTCTTGTGAGGGTGTATAGTTGGAATGAAGCTGTTACACAAGGAAGTGCACTGTCAGCCTGAGACAGATCTCACTTTTTGGTAACAATGTTTCTAAGCCCTGAGCAAGTTGGTCCTTCCATGGGCTATTTTATTTTAATTGACAAACAGTTGCAGATATTTATTGAAAAAATCATGCTGCTTTGAAATATGTTTATGTGATAGAATAGCTAAATTGAACTCACTAATCTGTATCTGAACTCACACATTTACTATTTTTGTGATAAGAACACTTAACATCTTTCCCGTAATTTTCAGGGTCATAATATATTGTCACTTGGCTATACAGTAGATCTCTTGACTGAGTACTGAATTATAGAAAGTTATAAGATCTCTTTGAACTGAGTTTTCTGTCAAAAACAACAGAAATTTTCTAACTGGTACAATCCCTGAGATAAAAATGGAGGATGAAAGATGATGCATGAATGAGCTTTAATAGGAAGCTTTTGCTTTATTATTTGAGAATAGGAACAAAGGGGTGGGAATGGTGATGGTGGAGCAGGGAAGAGTTCATGTCTGAGGGCTCCTGGTATTTTTTTCCTTGACAATGGGGACAAGTTCACCCACTTGGAGTTAGGAGAGGGTGGTGTGATAGAAAGGTAAAGAATTAGTGAAATTTTAGACTAGTCACAGTGGAGAGTAAGAGAGGAAGCAGATCACAATCTTTGGGAACAGTTTCCAAGCAACTTTGCCTGCCCAATATTTCCTGCTAGAGTTTCAACACATAAGGCTCCCTCCGAAGCAAGGTCTTCATGTAGAAGCAGATGCTGGGGTAGACTTGTATTCATTATGCTAAGAGGAAGAAGCCTTGAGGAAAATGGAAGTACCTTCGAGAGGAATACTGGCTGATTACCATACACTGTTGGCAGTTGCTGAGTTGCTTCTCCAGGTCTTGCTAAGAAGACCTGAAGCAACAGGTGGTCAAGGCACTCTTTATGAGTTTACTGGTTTAAACACACATGACAGAATCACTTACAATGACATTAATTTATTCTTGCCCTTCAGCAATGGGGAAATTTAAAGAATAAAATCAGTGTTTCCATGTCCATTCCTGTATGTGATACAAGATCTAAGCTCTTTTCATGTCTTGGGTAGATGTAACAGCTTGTATGTATTTTGGGGGCTCCTTTTGAAGTCAACAGTAGAGGGACAGTTGGCTCCTTCAAGAATTAATCTGTAGTTGGGCAGTAGAGATGGCTGTGGGGCATGACTGGGGAAGTCAGACACCAAGTGTAGAATATATTTCTGTTCCCAGTCTTGACACAGATTCCCAGGTCTTCAAAATTCTTCAATGCCAAAAGCAATCATCATAGCAAGTTGCAGCTACAGTGGAACCTCAGCACAGGACCTGTGACCAGATGCTCAGGATAAATCTCTTAGAAGTTTCTATATCCAAGCATGGCTCTTTACCAAACATAGTCAAAATTTATTGCTACAGTGACCTGAATTTGGCTTGAAAAACATGTTTCTTGTCCTTGAGTGCTATAAAGTGCTAGTGGTTACACACATGGTTATTTGAGTGCAAGGTGCTACGTTGAACTCCTAAGGAGCTTATGGTGCTGAACCAGGCCAGATCCATCCTGAGGAACTGGACCACATCACACAGCCCACCCAGAGGCCAACCCTCTGTAGCTGCAGGCTCTGTTATCCACAAGTAAAACTGCTGTCTGGGTACTGGGCATGTGTACACTTTTTTCTCTTGTCATTTTCCAAACATTTTTCTATAAATTTTACTTACATAATATTTCCTTTTTGTAAACATTACAAATCATATAAAAGTGATTTAAAGTAAACAGTAAGATGCGTAGGCTATATGTGAATACTGCATCATTTAGTATAAAGGATTTGGGAGTCTATGAACTTAGTTGGAACTGCAGATGGTCCTAGAGCTAATCCACTGCAAACATAAAGGAACAATTGAATGCTGAATCAATGATCAATACACAATCGGTAGAAGAAACCTCCTGCAGATGAATGGAGGCAGTACTTAAAAAACTGTTATCAAGAGACCTTTTTTTGCAGAATCTTCACATTTTTGTTCTTTCTTTTCCAACATAAAATTATGCTATAAATATTTTGTTATTCACTATGCTCTTAGTTCTTAAAAGTGTTTAGGTTTCAGATAAGACTCCAATGGTAGAGAATGGGAGGAGTCAGGAAAACCTCTACCCCATGTCTGTAGAAAGAAGACAAACTGGAAATACATAAAATAGTGTGAAATAGGCATACTAGCATAGCATGGCAGGCTGTGATACAATGTCACAAGCAGAATGAGTGGGTGTCCTGGGGAGATCTGCCACTGGATGTATTTCTTCAAAGACTGATCCTGAAATTTTTCTGATGGTGGAAGAAAAGTCAGGAAGAGAGGAAATCACTGGATGGATCAAGCTCCAGTATGAGAGAAAAGTAGTTTTTTGTTCTTAGAGGAATAATAACATGACACATGTTCTTGACTTGGAAGCATTTGCATTCAGGGATGGTGGCTTTTCCTTAGGCACACCAACATCTTCATTTTCCACAGATACTAAGATGAATGTAATAGAGTCTCTTCCAGGTGGTTGCCGTCTAATTTGAGGATTCGGAAATAAGTACTTTATGCCATAGGTGTCCTCAAAGCAGTCCCAGGAAAACAGGATCAGCATCCCAGGACCTTGTTAGATATTCACATGTCTGGCCGCTGCCCCAGGTCTCCTAAATTGCAAACTTTGCAGGTGGAACTCAAACTTTTATAAATCTCTCTTGTGATTTTGATGCACACACTAACTTCGAGAAACACAGCTTCAGGGAGAGAAATTGGACTTTGAGTGGGTTACCTGCTGCTGAGTATTAAGCTAATTGACATGAAGCCTCAAATTTGGAAAAAAAAAAAAGACAAATTGAATCATCCATAATGTTTTTTGATGAATAGTGTCAGAACTTACAGAATTTTATATAAAATGAATAACATTATCAATCTAGATTTTTAGCTAGAGAAATTAGGCTGCAAATAGATCCATCAATAACAATGTCACAGACTAGTCCTAGGCTTAACACGGTCTTCTGAAGGATAAGAATAAAGGAGAATTATAATAATTTATCTAATGCTATTATACTAAAAGTTATGGTATATTTCTACAAACTCTAGGCTTACATAGTGTTGCAAACTTATTCTGACATTAAAGTATCTATAATTATCTCATCATATGAGTGAAATGAAGACAAATGAAAATAAGATATTTTTTGTCTATATAAACAGCTGCCTAAAACATCATTTTATCAATACGTGGTCCTTTGTTAAAATATTTTTGCTGCTATGGAAACAATAGACTAAGTTTATTTTTAAAAGAGAGAAAGAGGCAGACAAGCATGTGGCACAGAAGGATGAGCCACTGCTTGGAATATGTGCAACCTGTATGGGAGTGACTATTGGAGTCTTGGCTGATGCACTTGTGATACAGCTTCCTGCTACTGCATCCTGGAAGGCAGTGGGTGATGGGTGAAATTCTTGGTCCAGTGCTATTCACATGGCAGACTCAGAGGACTGTTGCTACCATTTGGAGAATAAACAAGTGGATACTCTTTCCTCTCTTTCTGCCTTTGAAATAGATTTTAAAAAAAAAAACATTTAAAAAAAGTGAAAGAGAAAGCTATTTTAACCACCTAACAATTGTGTTTTCACCCACAAATTGAAATATCCACTCTTGGGCAACTCAGCTCTAAAAATACATCTGTATCTATTTTGCTTTATTTTGCTTTCAAATTGTTTTCAGAAACTTGTCCATCATACCCACCTTGTTTATTAGGGTCCATTTCATGAAATTCCTGAAATGACAGGAAGAGGGTCCTTGTAAGGAGAAGTAAACTGGTACACTTAGCAGAAGGTTTCTCAGTGATGATGGGAGTGGGAAAGAGACAGGCAAGCAGATCAATCATTTTACAAGTGGAGTATTGACTATGAAATGCCCAGGAAAATCTCTTGGGAGGATAAAAAGGAAGAACATAAGGATCAAGACTCTTTAGGCTGGTCATACTTCTTAGAAAATTAAGAATTCTAGAAATTGATACTTTGTTCAGAACTTTTGAGCTTTTTATTGGACTATTATCTTGCTTTAAAGAATACATAAATTTATTAGAATTTTAAGGAAAAAATTTACAACTTTCAATGCTTGATATTTTGATGCTTTTATGCTAAATAATTCCACATTTAACATTTCTAATCAATAAAATCAATAACCTACATGTGTACATACACATATGTGTATCTACACATAATTTAGTCAGTGGTCAATACATTATTTTAAAATAGTCAATTAGATGCTATATTGATTATTTCACATTATATATACTATTCAAATTTTGTGCACACAGGTATTGCCTTTCAACAAAAAACTGAGTTGTACTCTAAGAAAATTTTACACTTTCTAAAAAACAAAGCACCATCATTTGTTAATGTAGACACTTGAAAGATATTTTTAAAAGTTACATGATACTTAAATTAATAACATCATCCCTTCCATTGAATGAGTTAAAGCATAAAGTTTTGTGGGCAGATAATAAACATTTTACCAAAAAAGAAAGAAAGAAAGAGAGAGAGAAAGAAAGAAAGAAAAGAAAAGAAAGAAAATGGATTATATTAGCTCTTTAAAAATATGACAGTATAACCTAGAAAGTCCCCAAATAGGCACAATCTGTTTTGAAAAGTCATAGCAAGGGCAATCAGTTTAGAGCTTTCCTTGAAATGGAAATGCTTCCCTAATTTCTGCATGAAGCTCCCAGGTGGGTGTAGAAGCGTCTGGCCTTCTGTCCTTTTGACGGTACAACTGAATTCAATCTGTCTCCTTCCAGTCCAAGTCCTTACCTTGCCTAGTTTCCCTGAAGAAGCATTTCAGTCCAGCATTCAGTGTTCCAGAAGTGTGGCATTCCCATGTAGAGTTGATTTCTTGTTCTGACTGCCCAGCAATGGGTTTCAAAGCTACGATGCTCAAGGCTGCATCATTGTAAGCGCTCTCAGAGGTACATTCATTAGTAATGCAGATCATGAATAACTTAAAGCTGCTCCAACATCTCTATTTCAAAGGGTCATTTCTGTATTGGTTTCAAGTGTAGAGGCAAGGAAAACATCATCTAGATGCCACTGAGAGCAAGGGTTACCACACGATTAGAAACACTGAGAAGGGCTACCAATCACCTTACCAAATAACCAAGAGAGACCTAAGAATGAAATCTACTTACATGTGTTTACTCTTTTTATAGCTACAGAAGTATGGATTTTTTTCAGTATGTATTAATTAAAACGCAAGCTTTCATAAGGATCTTAAGACAATCATATATTACTTAAGGGTGGGACTATATTGAGAGTATTTATTAAGTTTCTTCCTCTTTGTGCCTCATCAGAGTGCACTTACATAAACCTAGAGGTGTAATTTACTGTACACCTGGGCTGGATGGTATAGCTTGTTTCTCCTAGATTACAAATATGTACATCATGCTATTCTGAGTACTGTAGGCAGCTGCATGACAATGACTGGAATTTTTGAATCTAGACATAGAGAAGGTGCAATTAGGCATAGGCAGAAGGAATTTTTCATCTGCCTTATATTCTTGTGCCATTCATTATTGACTGAGTCATCTTTGTGCCGGCATGTCTGTTATTAGTACAGATGTACATTTCCTTTATATTTTAAGGCATATTCTGAAAGTCCTATATTTCTAAAGATGTTTAGGCTGAAAAAATCTTATCTAATCCTAGCAGAGTTTTGAAAGACCTGTCACATGAACTACCTTGTTGGAACACTGCCATTCACCTCTTCAGTCTCATGAGAGGGAAAGTGCTGATTTTGTGAGAACTCAAAGCCAGCGTGTTACTCTGTGAGCAACACCCGGAGAGCCCAAATGCCCAAGAGTCCACAGTCTCAAGTGACATGTGTAAAATTCATTTGATAAGTAGGCACAAATCTGCTCCAGACTGCTCCATCAGAAAAATCTATTTTGAAAAGATGGTATGATGTCCAAGAACAGCCAATTTATTCCTTTTTTAAAAATTAACATCAAAGTTCTAGATTAAAAAGAACTGTAGCATGGTAAATTCACTATGAAAACTACTTCATAACGGGGCAAAACTGGGGGAGGGTGGGTAAAAATCTGTCACTTCTTTTTGTCTATATGAATCATATTGATTTTTTGGAAACAGATCAGATAAATCTACAAAGGGAGCAAATCTGTACTCCATGACATCTCTGTTTGAGGATTTCAAACTTAAGGATGAAATGATGTTTAGAAGTTTCATATTATCTTTACTCACATGTAGATCTGACACAGTATCTGAGATGTTGACAATGGGACAAGGTTTGATTGTTTTTGTGAATGCTGCGTTCAGATGTAATTAGGTTGACTGAATTTGTGAAATTAAGAATCTAGGAATCAAAAAAAAAAGGTAACCTTCCAATCAAATAATCAAATGTCTAAGCACATAATAATAATCTAGGATAAGTTGGAAAGTGCTTTAGGCAAATGAGCAATTGATCCTCCAGGTTCTTAGTGTTACTCGATTTTGAGAAGGCTTATGGAAAAGCTCTGAAGGTTGTTTTGGGTTTCACTTACTTCTGTTTAACTGAAACTTCATAAGTAACTACTGCAGACAGACCCAGTTACACTGACTTTCCTTCTCTTTTTAAAATATGTTTTGAATTTCAGATACAATTTAGTTACGCAGTTTTATAACATTAAATGATTGAGGACTTCTTTTTTTCATAGTATGTTGGTAGTGTACTAGTAATTGAGGCTGTCCTTAAATTCTGAAACAGCTTAAGCCTGAGAAAGGAAGCAGCTGGAATGCTTGCTCTTCCTACAAAAATGTAGGTTTTGTACCAGCCAGAAGCTGGACGATGGCTGATGATGGTGTGTTGGTTGTGGTGTTCTCTGCAGTTTATATTTTGTTCACTCTCTCTTTATCTGATTCATCTACACTCATAAACATTTGAAGATTGCAACTCCTAAGAAAGAAAGAGGAACTTTGATATACTAATGCTGCAAGATGCATGGATAGTCCCTTAAGGTAATTACAGGGTGGTCTACTGTCTTTATTTACATGATGAACAATTTCAGGGAAAAGTTACTTGATAAAATTGACTCAAGACCAAATAGAAAATCTATATCAAGCAAGATAAGCCAATCCTTATTCTTTCCCATATTTATTTGATCGTTAATTGGCATTCTGTTTGAAAGTCAGGAAAATAAGGCCCGGCGTGATAGCATAGTTCTTAAAATCCTCACCTTTCATGCCCAGGATCCCATATGGATGCCAGTTCTAGTCCCGGCATCCCTGCTTCCCATTCAGCTCCCTGCTTGTGGCCTGGGAAGGCAGTTGAGGGCAGCCCAAAGCCTTAGGACCCTGCACCCGTGTGGGAGACCCAGAAGAGCTACTGGTTCCTGGCTTCGGATTGGCTCAGCTCCAGTCATTGAGGCCGCTTGGGGAGTGAACCATCAGATGGAAGATCTTCCTCTCTGTCTCTCCTCCTCTCTGTATATCTGCCTTTCAATTTTTTTTTTTTTAAAAAAGAAAGTCAGGAAAACAGAGACAGAAAGAGATCTCCCAATTACCAGTTGGCTTCTCAAACGCCTACACATGCATGGCTAAATATGAGACTTCATCTAGATCTCCTACCTTAATGGAAATGTCCTAGACATTTGAGCCATCATCTGCTGCCTCCAGGCTGCATTAGCAGAACCAAGAACAGGAAGTGGAGCTGAGACAGTCCAGACAGTCTGATATAGGATGCCGGGTGTCCACATACATCTTAACCACTGCACCGACTGCCTGCCACACTATTAACATTATTCTAAATAAATATTTTCTTTTAAATAGGTGATGTCATTTTGTTGATTTTCTCAATGATCATTTATATTTCTCCTGCTGTTATACATATTTTGCTTCTTATTTTATGACCTTGGTTATAGCCTTCAGATCTAGTTAGATGTATCAAGGCATCTAAATTCCAGTTAGAAAATATAATAGGAAGATTTAATTCACAATTGGACAAGCCTTAAAATATTTATGTTGGAATAGGGAAGTTGCTTTGCCCTTCTCCATGCATCACTTTATGGGGCACATGATGTCAGTTTATGTAATTACTGAGTGATTTTAGCATTATGTATTTGCTTAAGGTGCTTTGCTACAGGGTGGAATTTGTGTGCCTTGTACACATCCTATCCTATTTTCTTATAGTCTAGATCAGCACACTGTTACAGATTTATCATACATTTTCTCTTTCATAAACCTAGAATCGATTATTCCTGGTTTCTTTGAGTGGAGAATAGTTTTAGAATCCCAGCTCTGGGTGCAAACAGCTGTGGAGATGCAGCAGTTTTTGAACCTTTTAATAAGGTCATTATGGTATCTCTAATTTCAATCCAGCAATCCAAAACACTAAGTTTTTTTCTTTCCTCCCCTCTCCCATTCCATATTTGTTTTACCCTTCTTCAACATGGATTACCATGACTTCAAAAAACATTGGTCTATTTGCCTATTTGTTTAGTCTTCAGCATATTGTTTAAAGCACTCTCTTTTTGTCTGGATACATTTTCCTCAGACCTGAAGTCTATTTCTTCTGTGTCTCCTTCATTGGCTCCTCCTGGCAGACCTGGTCTTTAAATATGGGGATGTATGTGCTCAGTTTAGCAGCACATATACTAAATATTGGGGTGTATGTATTCCAGAAACATCTTTATCTTTGTTTTCCTTCTCTTCCTCCACAAGCTATAGGTCTCTCAACACTTTTAAACAAGTGATTCACAAGTTGGCTAATTCTAGCCTTGATCTCTTCTCTGAAGCATATACTCCTTGGTAACTTGAGACCACTGTGTAGTTGTAAACTTGACTGAATGTTTAGAAAATATCTAATATCTTGACTGAATGCTTAGAAGATGTTTACAACAAATGAATATCCTTGCCATTGTGGAACTTTCACTCTAGTGTAGGAGACAGACAATATTCAATGAGTATAATATATAAACAATAGTAATGTATTACTTTCTGCTATGGAATAAAATAGAGGAACAAGGGGACTTGAGATTGTTGAGATGGAGTCAATTAGCATGTTGCATGTAGGCTTTATCAAGGAAGTGAGCAAAGACTTGAAGGAAGTGATGGTGTTGGGCAAGTGTCACTTAGAGAACGAGTATTACGGGTAAATAGAGGTCTAACCAAAGTCCGTGAAGTGAATGTATTGCCAAAGGATCTGTGTGGTTGCAGAGAGTGGGAAATGCATGGAAGATAATAGTAAGAGTGTAACAGAGATGAAAAGTTGGGTTGGGGACAACATGCACAGAGCCTTTTAGGTCACTGTAAGGAGTTGGACTAGTAAGTGGAGAGCCTGTGCAGGCTTTTGTACAGAGCTGACATACAAATGGATTCATGTTTTAAGTGTCTTGTTGGTTACTGCATTAAGAATGAACTTTAAAAATTGGAAGGAGAGAGATGACTTAGGTAACTCATCAATAAACTGAACTGGAAATATTAGAGGCTTGAACCAAGGTGATTATGGTAGAAATTAGCTTCTTGTAAATTCAGAAGAATATTTTGAAGGTAGAGCCAGGATTTCCTGTGATTGAGTAGAATATAAGATACTTAGAAGTCATAGATAACTTCATGTGCCTTATTTCCTTTTTATTGCGGCTTTGTGCAAGGAGCAAGTTTGAAGTAGAAGTTGTTGCAATTTTGAATTAAGATGGCAGCAGTTCAGACCTGTTGAACTATCAAAACTGCTTGAGCAGGACCCTCGGAGTGCGCCTCACATTGGGGACCTGGGATGGGTGTGAGGCTGGGTGGGGCTTTTCCCTTTGTTTCTCCCCTGACCCCAGACACAGGGGAAAAAATTATATTAGTGTGGAAACAATGGTATTACCCACTTTTCTGTAGTCCTTGACCCTTTGTACCCTAATTAACTAAGTAAGATTATTTAAAAGAATAAATTAAAAAAGAAGAAGAAAAAAGATGTTATAATTTGTTTTAGTTAAGTGCACATCTCAAGTAGGATACAGGAGACTGAGGTTGGAAGGCATGTTAGCCTGGTGATGGAAGTTTGGAAGTTATCTGGCTATGGATGGTCTCTAAAGCAATGGGGCTGGATGATCTCACTAAAAAATGAGTGCCGAAAAAGAAGATAACCAAGGGGCAGTTTAGTATTACAAAGACACAAGAGGAACATTAGAGAAGACTAGAGAGTGGAACCATGCATGTGTCACATCCTGAAATGCAAGTGAAGGAAAGGATTGAAAGAAGGAGTTGCTCAACTACGTTGCTATGATGTGAAGGTTTGTGTCCCTATGAAATTCATATATTATAACCTAATCATCAGTGTGATGGTTCTAAGTTGTGAGGCCTCTGGGAAGTGATAAGGTCATGAGGGAAGTACTTCCATGAATGGGATACATGTCCTTACAAAAGAGGTCCCAGAGAGCTTCTTGTCCCTTCCACATGTGAAGATACTGTGATACAGCATCTCAAAGATCTAACGAGTAAATCCTCAGCTCACGATGACTCTTTTGGTACCTTGATGTTGCATTTTCTAGACTCCATAATTATGAGAAGTAAGTTTCTGTGATTTTAAAGCCACCCAGTTTGTTGTGTTTTGCTAGAGCATCGTGAAAGAAATAAGATACATATCAGGTGTTACTGATAGGTCAAGAAAACATAGAATTGTTGTTACAGAGTTTTTGATATAGAGTGCTAGAAAGTTCTGAGGTCTGACCATGGAGTGCATGTGTCAAAGTTGAGCCTCCTCAATGGCTCAGATGGAGTGGTGGACAGCATATCCAGGTGCACAAGGAGGATATGGTAGTACATTGGAGCTTGCATGGGACACCTGGTACCAGAACAGAGGACAGAACAAATTGATCCACTACTCCAGCCAAGTATTGGCAGTGAAACTCTGGGTAAGTGGAGTTACTAAGGTGAACTGTGTCAGCCAGTGGATTCTGAAAAGATTAATTGTGCTTGGAATGGCAAGACTGGCAGCAATTCAGAACAGTTGAACTACCTAAACCACTTGAGCAGTGCCCTCAGCACATGCCCTGGGATGGTTGGGAGAGTGGGTGTGGTTTCTCCCTTTGTCTCTCCCATTCCCCCGATACAGGAAGGCAAAATATAATGTGAAAACAATGGTCTTACCCACTTTCCTATAGTCAAGGGCCTTTGAGCCCTAATCAACTGTATAAAGATCATCAAAATAAAAAGAAAAAAGAAAGTTCTGAGGTTTTCAACTTTCATTCAGGACACATAAAGGGTAATGATTAATACAAGGAATCTTGCCTGCTGTAATTGCACTTCTCTTTTTCTTAAGGAAACATTGAGAGGTGAGTGAAACAAAATGATTATTCTGGGAGGAAAAAAAATCATAAGAACAGAGTTCATCACTGCATTTTGCATACATTTTGCATACATGAAGATCATTTTTGGGAGTGGATGAAACCTTGATTCGATAGTATTGCACAAGCATGACTCCTGTGTGTGGTTCTGGAGCAAGATACATCAGAGTTTGTGAACATTTACCCAGAGGTAGCACACCGAAAAGAAGAGAGGAGATTGTGTATTCTGTAAAACTCTTGTTTACGGATTCTTTGTATAGAAAACATGTTTTGTACCAATGATGTGAAAAAAAAGGCCTTTGATTAGCAGTCTCTGCATGTTCATAGTTTCTGCCCAGAAGAAATTAAGATGAGGCACAGAGCAGCTGCTCACTGTTGGAAGAGTTACCAGTTGGTTTCCAGCTCAGACACGAGCTTGGGTAACCTTTCTGTGTCCTCTGCAGTATGAGCAAACATCCAGCTCTGGGCCAGGACTGTAGCAGAGCTAAAGATGCTCACTTTAAGTCTAGCAGAGGAGAAAATGGAAGCCATACATGGTGTGATACCTATGTATGAAACGAATAATGGGAAGATAAAGCTCTTTATCTTATTTCTGTCTCTTTGAGTCCCATAATTGTCATCTAGATGAAATAAAAAGAAACAAGTAATGAATTACCTGAGAAAGGAAAAGCAATTCCACCAAGTTAGACTGAAGAGGCTTGAGTAAGATAAGGTTCAGTGGAATTCCAGGCAGGGCACATGGTATACACAAAGTGAGGTTCATAGGATTGTGGTTCAACAGTTTGGATGGCATTAAGACATCCTGAACTATTTACTGGAGAGTAAGGAACAGTGCCTGCTATAGTTACAAGAGCATACACACACTTGATCCATATTTCAGTAAAATTACTATTTTGTTCATAAAATACTCTCTGAATCATATTTTAATTTTTCTACAGAATATCTTATTTATGAATTTACAATGACTATTTTTAAAATTATTTATTTGTTTTGGAAAGGCAGATTAGATTTACACATAGAAGGAGAGACAGAGAGAAAGGTTCCATTCGGTTCACTCTCTAAATGGTCACAGTGGATGGAGCTGAGCTGATCTAAAGCCAGAGCCAAGATCCTTTCAGGTCTTCTGTCTGGGTGCAGGGTCCCAAGACATTGAGTCATCCTCTATTACTCTCTCAAGCCACAAGCAGAAAGCTGGGTGGGAAGCAGAGTATCTGGGACAGTAACTGGTACCCATATGGGATCCAGAAGTTGTTAGGTGAGCATTTAGCCATTGAGCCATTACATGGGTCCTATAATGACCATTTTGAGAGTACATTGAATTATTCTTAGTAAGCTCCCATTTAAGTTACTTATTGTGGGAAAACCAGAGGTGAGATTTTTCAAGTTTTCCCATTATATATAACAGATTTATATTTTGGCATATCATTTTAAAAAACAATCTCCTTGAACAATATTTTAGAAGTGGCACCACTGTCTTTAATAAGCAATAAATGCTAAGACTTTTTCCCAACATAGTTGCATATTTTATATGCAAATATATAGTAAGAAAAATCAATTTCTTGTGCTATCTATTCTAGAAAATTTTGGTCACCTTGTACATAGCTGAAAGATGTAGCAGTTCATATTCATTCTGGAAAACACAGAATGTTGGGGATGGAGCTGATTGGGCAATCCTTCCTAGACATACAACAATTGAAAAAGTAACTGATTGATTGCTTCATTGGTCATAGCATGTAACCCAATAGGTTGATCACTAAACAGCAGGGCCTCGGTGCTGAAACGTGATGTGTGGTCCTGGATATACTCTCTGCTCCATCTTTTGCACCTGGTTCTGGGTGCTAAGTGGTTCACATAACTGATTCAGGGTCTATATGAAGTGGGAAGGTTTGCTTGGGCTTCTTGGTCCAGATTGCATTCTCCAATGTGAGTCAATTTTGTCATGACAAAGCCCTGAGTGTTGAAAGGGCCACAACCATCTGTCTGGCTCTATGCAGAGAGCCCCTCAGCCCCAACCCGTTATTCTTTGTGGTCACAGTTCTTTGTGGTCCTTCAGTTAAGGAGGCTGCAAGGAGTGTGGTTGGATTAGGACCCAGAATGAGTGTCAGGCAAACAAACTTCAACCTTTCTTCACAATAATATCTCATGAAGCTTTTATTCTGGCAACAAGCAAGTCACTCATGGTTTTGAAACTGTCCCTGTCATGATTGTGTAAAGCACTGTGGAAGCATCGGAAACTTTCCCAAATCTTCATAAAGTATCTTGTACTTTAAGAGCTACTTAAACATACAGAAAAAGCGCAGAGATCAGCAGTTTTTTCTTTTCCTTTTTTTTTTTTTAATCAAAGTGAGCCCTGGGCTTTCCAAAAGTATCTAATTGACATTTTTATAGGGTCCTATTAGTTTTAAAATATATGAGTATATTGGTTTGACTACTTCTGCTTTAATAAAAGAGTATAATTTGTACTTAAATCATGCAATTTTATGATTACAAAATGCTGTTCTTTCAAAATCCAGCTTTTCAGGTCATCTTTGGTGTCATGGAAGAGAGCTGTAATCAATCTACATTAAGGAAACAGTGAGATTTGTTGTAGACATTGGTCCCCAGCGAGTCTAAGGGAACACAGTGCACAGTAAGGGCCTATGGAAGTGATGGAGCGATCCAGCCTGGCCGACTTCACAGGCCTACCAGGGGTCTTCTCCAGTTGGTTTTTTTTTTTTTTTACCTGATTAAAACACCAATCTGCTCATTTGTTTCAGTTCAGATTTTTAGAGAGCAAGCAAGAAAAAAGTGATTCTCCCCAAATAAAGTGTCTCTATTTTGACATCATCAATTAAGGCTAAAGAGTTAGAACATTTGAGCAAAGATAGCTAGTCTGGCCCATTTTGTGGGTATAGCTGGTGGGAGATTCAGAAGAAAGTACAGGCAAATATACAATGTCTGACAACTTTAGTTTACTGTATTTTAAAAACAGTAATTGACACGAAGTCATTTCTGAGAAAATACCATCTAATGACACACAATGAACTCTAAACTCTGAATTATTCAGCTGTTACTGTTATTTAGTTGCCTAATATGCTATCTAGGACTGAAGTAAACCTTTCAAATCATTCTTCTCTAAATACAGACACAATCATCCATGGGTCTTTCAACACATCTTGTATTACCAAATGACCCTGTCTTTCGTCCAAGTTGTTCTGTCTGGGTTTCACAGTTTAGCCTTCAGAGTCTGTAAAAGGAAGGAAAATGAAAGAATCTTTACTATTTAAAAATTAAATTGTTAGCTTGTGATGTTGCTAGTTTGTCCTTTACTCCTATCTTCCTTTGTTTCCTGGATTCTGTATTCAATCTGACTCAGAATCTGAAGGAGTGTGTGTGAGAGAGGGATTCTCTGGGGAATTAACACTACAAGAACATCATTCTAATGATGTTTTCACCCAGCAGAACTGTCGCTGGCCTCTTTCCTGATCCCATGCTGGTGCTGTGTGCAGTTTTCCTTGGATTCGCATTCTGAATTGTCTATGAAACCATGATCTCAGCTCCGTTTCCTCTCTTGCTCCTGATTCTCTTCTGTGCACCAATTCCAAAACCATGTGTTTAATCCCATTCCCAAACTCATCCTGCTGCAGCTTCTTGGAAAGATGCACTGGGCTATGTTGTGCTTTATTGAACATTTGGACAGAAGAGTGGAAGTTTGGGTGGGTATCCAAGAAATCTATAACAGCCTTGGTTTCATAAAATACTGAGATGCTTTAGATTGCATACTTTGGAAATGTGGACTTCTGAAAAGAAAAGTGTCCTGTGTCTGAGTTACTCGTTTTGAGGGAATTATTGCGTTCTCATTGCCATGGCCTTGATTATAAAAGGAGAAAGCCTACTTCCCTAACACTTTGTGATCAAGGCTGACTCCTTGGGGAGCTGGGAGTGGGAGAGGGATTCAAAAAAGATTGCCTGGCAAGGACATTAGATCTTTTATTATCCAAGTGTATTGTAGAATAAGAAAAATACTTATTTATACTTATCCCTTACTTACCGTTGCTGGAATCTTGATGCAGCTTCTCAGAGGTGGTTTGAGGAATCATGTCCAAAAACTCCACTACAGTATGTAGAGAATGAAAAGAATCCTTTAGGACTTAAAGCACGTTGTTCATTGCATTTATTCTCACTTCCTCTTAGATTGTTCATTTAACTCCTAGGTTCCTCTGACTAACTTGCTCTCTTAGGAAGATGCTGTGGAGTCCCAAGCCCACAGCATGTCTGTGTCATGGCCCTGTGGGCAATTAGAGCGAGTGGATTTCCAGCCAACTAGCTTAATCAAATTGCCTTTTTAAAAATACTAATTTCCCTAGGAAACCGTGGGCTCTCACAATAGAAATCACCACTGCTTGCCATTTTCCTTCTATACAGCTTCTTACTGCATGCAAGTGGAGACGTGGAAAAAGACTAGATTGTTGTTTCTGATAAAAGGTATGTGAGATGTGGGAAATAAACATCTATGTAAATCTCTGCAACAATGTATATGTGAATTATATATGAATACCCAATATATCAGGGGTCTTCAGAAACACTATAGTACGTATTTTGAGGAAACTGTATAGTTTTCAATTTTTTGCTCCAAATAAACTTCTCTTTTCACCCAATTTCTCCATGAACATTTGAAGTATGTTTACATAGTCTCAGATTTTCCTGTTAAAAGAGAATTCTGACTTAGCACTCTCAGTGTTTTGTTCTCAACAGCTTTCTGAGGAGGATTTTGTCTCACCATATTGGCCATTTTGGACCTTATAAAGATCAAGTGGAAAAGCAAAAGATGAGAAAGATAAGGCACAAGGGACTAGAGCTGAGATAAGCCTAATCTGGGAGAGACTGAAGTGAGTGTGACATGGAAGCGGTTCCAACACAAAGAAACACTTCTGGCACTGTTGTCCTCCTTTTAAATTGCTTAGGAAGTGTAAGAAAAGGAAAGTAACTTGCAAATGACTTTAAGTGCTGGGCTATGATCCTGTGATCATAATTTCATTTTTAAGGACTGACAACATGAAGCACGGTTCTCACCGAGCCAGAGACAGTCTCTCAGTCCACTGACTCACCATTTGACAGATGCAGCTCCTTTTCTTCATCTGTGGTTAGCTCAGAATACATACTCCCTTTATGTTCTGAAACCAGAAGAAAACAAACATGGTTTCAGTATATAACCAACAATCTGTGAAATATTCCAAGTCAGTTTTTAAAAATTTTTGTTAAAGAGGACTTAGAGTGAAAAGTAATTTTATATTATTGCATAGTGTGTACACTTGTGTATTTTCAAACCAATCAAAAAGTACCTTTAACAATATGCTTTCTAGTCTTTCCTTTTAAATATCTTCTCTCTCTCTTTTTTCTTTCTATTCTACTCTAGATCATTGAAAGGAAAATACCTTGATCTTTTCAAGCCTTTCTTTCTTAACAACTTGCTTCTATGTCAATGCGAAGAAAAGCAAATTTCCAACCAGTCAGAAGGCAATAAGTAGAGTAACTGAGTACAGAAGATGATGCAAAAAGGATGAGTAAAGCTAGAAATATTGATGGGATCCTCTTGTTTTTTTTTTTTTTTTCTGAGAGGAAGATATCAATCTGACTGATGGCTGGTGGGAAAAAGAATGAAATAGCTGAGCTCAGACTTAGAGAACCAATAAACCCATGAAAGACTATCAAGCAGTCCAAATCAACACCCAGAGCAGTGTGGAAAAGTCAGTCCCATGAAGACTCGGTCTTCGCAGAGGCTCCAGGTATTTGAATGCTAGCACTATTCTGGCAGTTGGATCAACCAGTGTTAAAGCAATACTTAAACAAAGGGCTGAGGGAACCAAATCCCTTCGGAGAGGACAGAGAGAAAGAGTCTGATGTGCGCTGAAGAAGCTGACTCTTCTCCAGGATGAAGAAGAAGCCAAATTGCAGGTGATGTGTTCTCAATTCTTCATTAAAAAGATTTCAGTTACTATAAAATCTTTAGATTCTCAGACATCCTATTAAGTCATACTGTTTGACGAAGTAAAGCACTTTAATGATGATAAAGTATAGAAAGTATCCTGGGTTTGACACTGTTTGGGGGACCACCGTGGGGTGTGCATTAGAATCAAATGGTTCAATGGCTGGTTCAATGGCTCAGCTAGTTAATCCTCTGCCTCCAAGCATGTCATCCCATATGGAAGCTTGTTCATGTCCAGTCTGCTCCACTTCCCATCCAGCTCCCTGGCTGTGGCCTGTGAAAGCAATGGAAGATGGGCCAAAGCCTTGGGAACCTGAATCCTTGTGGGTAGATTAGGAAGAAGCTCTTGGATCCTGGCTCCTGACTTCAAATTAGCTCAGCTCTGGCTGTTCTAGCCATTAGGGTATGAACCAGCAGATGGAAGATCTTTATCACGTTTTTTCTCTGTAAATCTGCTTTTCCAATGGAAATAAATAAATCTTTAAAACCAATTTTTAGAAAAACCAAATATAACATTATAATGCTTTCCACATTGTGGGGAAAATTTTTCATTACCTCAGTTGTATTCTAAGTTTGTTGGTTAATGAAACGAACTTAATAAGAATCATTTTCACTCACTCAAGTGGGTACTGCAGCCTAATCCAGCCTGGCCTACCCCCAGACTAGCCCACTGCAGTCCCAGCTCTCAGACTCGTCAGCGAAAGCAGTGGCTCAGCAAGGAAGTCCTTGAAATTTCCCTACCAAACCTGTTCCCAGCCCTGGGTCTTGCTGTGCCAACAGATGTTGCAGCCTGCTTTTGCCTGACTCGGCCCCAGTTCCAGCTCTCACTGACAAGTGCAACAGCCTAGCCCAGCCTGGTCCAACCCCAGCCCTCATGTGAACAGGTGGGTGTTGCGGTTCAACCCAGCCTGGCCTGTAGCCTGTCCTGGCTCTCATTTGTGCTAGCGTGCGATGTGGACTGATCCTGCCTAGTCTACACCAGCCCTGGTTCACACATATACTAATGGGTGCTATGACTATGCCTGGTCTAGGTTGCTCCCAGCCCAGCTCTCACGCTCATCAGTGTGAACAATGGCCTAGCAGGGAGTTTTCCAAGTTCTGCTATCAGGCTTGTTCCCAGCAATGGATCTCGGATGTGCTGGCAGTTGCGGCTACCCAGAATGACATGGCCAGTCCCCAGTCCTAAAACTTACCAGTAGGTAATGCAACCTAACCTGATTGGTCCACACCAATTCCAGCTCTCACCAGTGAGTGCTATAGCCCAACCCAGACTGATCCACCCCCAGGCCTGACTCTCATGTGAACTGGTAGGTGTCAGGGCCCAGCATGGCCTGTACCACACCCATCTTGTCTCTTACAATTGTCATCAGGTGCTGCAGCCTTGCCTAGCTTGGTCTGTCACCAGCACAGGCTCTTGCATTCACCAGTGGAGCTGCAGCCCAGCAGGAAGTCCCCAGAGTTCCACTACCTGCCCTATTCCCAGCCCCAGAGCTTACACATGCCAGCAGGTGCAGTGTCTCTGCATAAACCAGTGGGTGGTGCAGTCTTACATAGGTAAGCCCAAAATTCCCCTAGAGAAAATGCCGCCAGATCTGGTTATCTTATGTTCTAGTGGGTGCAGCCTGCTATGGCCCAAGCCCCTGCCCCAACACTTACAGCTGGGTACTGCAGCCTAGCCCAGTCAGACATGCCCCAGTACCAGCTTTTACAAGTGCCAGTGGGCAGTGGGTGATACTATTTAATCCAGCCCAAGTCTCCCACATGGGCAGGTGCCTTGGCCTGATGCAGACATCCCCTCCAGTTTCCCTGCTCTATGTCACTTTGTCTTAGCTCCCTTTTCTACTTGTGAGTGCAGTGGCCCATTCTGTGAGAGACCCCAGGAGTTATCCCTTCTCTGTCACACTCTTAGCTGCTCCCATTCCAATCATCTCCAGACCCCTTACCAAGTAATGTGCAGCTCCTCCCCATTTCCCTCCATGGCCTGGGTACTAGGATGGCATGTGCCAGCCCAGAGTTTCCTGCCTTCCCCACTTAACTATTTTTAAAAAGAAAAAAGAAAAAAAGGCAGAAAGAATAAACAACAATGTTGGCACAGTAATGTGATTAATACAAATTTGGTATTAAACAGGTCAGAATGGCAGCCAGCTACTGGCTTTTCTTCCAGCAGTGTAACACTTGTCTAAGTACAAGGCAACCTAGGCAGCTGCTTACAGCTGGAGCAAACAAAATATAATCTTATTTTTGAGTATAGGATGCTAGTACTGAGTGACTTAATTTACATGCCTTGCCACTAAACTAATATAAAATCTCAGATAAAAAGGACATTTTTTTTTCTTTTCATTTTTGTGTACCTACCTTCTGAAAACTTTTGTTCATTCAGGTTTTCAAATACTTTGGGTACAGTGAAATTTTCATATACTTTGGGTAAATCAGTTTCTAAAAAGTCAAGAAATCAAGCATTAAATTATTTGAGGTGACAAGGAAGCTTCATGCATGAATCTTTTTATTGACACATCAACGAGAGGAGGTGTCCAAACTGGGAAAGGATATATGGCACTGATTATTTTCACTGTTGTGACATTGGGGCCCTTGGAACAGCATTTTACTTATTATATTTTACTTATACTTTTCCAAAAATGACAGACTCATGACCAGTCAAATGTATGGGGATAAGCTTGTATACCTTCACTTTTGTTAATAAAAACACAGGAGAAAAAAATGAGTTTCTTTCACAAACTTCTTCATCATGCAAGTATAGACTGGAAATAAGGTTAGAAACCAATGGGGTCTGATTTAGAGTGAGCTGCCTCACAGCCCAGTCTCATGAAAAGGACTTCCAGTCCTAGTTAGCCAGCTGCAGAAGCCAGACAGTGTGGCTGTGAATTCTGGGAATAAAAGAGTTTAAGTTGAAAACAATTGCCAGGTGGATTCCTCCATACACTTCCGTTCGCATCTTCTCCTTTGTGGGCGCCCCTGGGTTTTGTTTGGTTTGACTTCTTCTTGATATCTTGACTATTGATCAGAGTCACACCTAAACTCCCAAACTGTGTCCTTTGCTCACAACTTCTTTTCCTCTAGGTCTTTCAGTCCTTCTTGTACCTTGACACCAGTATACTGTGTCTGGTCTGGAACAATCGCCCTTCTTGTTCTTCTGTTCATTTCTTGTTACCAAATAGTCCATTCTGACAGGCAGCAAATGTACTGATTTGTTGGAATCTGTGTCATTAGACTTTCAAATACTTTCAATTACCCTTCTGCCTGGATCCTTTCATTTTGTATCGATTTACATTTTATCTTTATCCAGTCTAGACTCTTGCAGTTTGCCCCTTCATCTGCATTCATGCATTTATTCTCAACTTTGGCCTTGCCTTTTTTTTCTTAAATTTTAAGTAAGAAAGCATTATACTTATACTATAACTCATTTTCCATTTCCATATTCAATGCTGATAACCAAAATCACCATCGCACCTATTTAAGGCACCATGAAAACAAAGACAAAATATGAAAAAAAAAATCAAAAAAGCTTTTTGGAAGCAATTTGGTATGCCAAAGGAAGTCATGGAATAACCCAGAAAGCTGGTGGGATTCAATGTAGTATGACTTTCATTCACTGCACTTACTCTTACACTTGTGCGGGCACTCTAATGATCTAGATCATCTACTTGGGTTTCAACTCCTGCATCCAGGAGAACTATACAACTATACACTTGCATCACTACAAATTCAGTCTGATTTCCAATGAGCCTTCAACTTTGAAACATCCTGTGCTATTCTTGTGTTGTTTCTAATTCTTGTGTTGTGAAGTTTTACTTTTCTTCCCTGTGCTCATGACCTTGACCTATACTGCCCTAACCTACACACTTCAGATAGATCTGTCATCTTCCCTACCATCCCAACATCAACATCAGGGATGTTTCCATGCTGTCTGGGGCTCATGTCTTCTATATGTTTTTATTTTTAAATAATATTTACTTATTTATTCATTTTTTAAAAGTAAGGGTTGTGTCTCTGCTGGTGATGCCAGTATCCCAGTATTCTGACTCTACTTCTCATCCAGCTCCTTGCTAATGTGCCTGGGAAAGCAGCAGAGACTGCCTCAAATACTGGATAGTCTGCCATCCATGTGGAAGACTTGGATGGAGTTCCACACTCCTGGTTTTAGCCTGGCTCAGAGGGGAAGATTACAGATACTTGGGGAGAGAACCAGTGGATGGAAGATATCTGTTTGTCTGTCTCTCTCCCTCTCTAATTCCACCTTTCAAACAAGTAAATTCTTAACAGAAGTAAATATGGGAGTAGGTATTTGACACACTGGTAAGATACCATTTGAAATGTACATGTCTCATGTGAGTGCCTTGGTTTGAGTCCTGTCCCACTCTGCAATCCAGCTTTCTACTATTGCACAACCTGAAAAGCAGCCAGTGATGACTTTAGTATCTACCACCCACATAGAAGACACAAACTAAGTTCTGTGCCTTGATCTGTGTGGGGGCATTTGAGGAATAGAGCAGTAGATGGAAGATTTCAGTCAGTTTGGTGTCTCTCTCTCTCTCTGTACTTCAAATAAGACAAAAATAAACAAATTTTAAGTAAATACAGTGCTATAGGCTGAATTGTGTTCTTCCCAAAATATTTTCAAGTCTTAATCTTTGCTATCTGTGAATATGATCTTTTCTCAGAATGATCCTGGCAGATGTAGTCATTTTGACATGGAGTCTTACTGGGTTAGAGTGAATATGTGATGAAGTCAGTATAAACAAAGACTTGGAGCACAGACACTGTGAGGGTCAACAGACATGTGAAGAGAGAGGCAAGGATTGAAGTGATGTAGATACAAGCTGAGGACATGAACTTGCCATCAGAGGGTAGAGGAAGCAAGGAAAGGGTTACTGAGCCTCCAGAGACAGTCTGCCCTCCTGTCACCTCCATTCAGGTCTTGTAGACTCCTGGACTCTGAACAATTGCAATTCTGTTTTCTAATTAATCCCATATGAGATAATCTGTTATGGCACTTTAGGAAACAAAGATGAAATACACATGGTATAAAGTCATCATGCTTTTAAGATGTAAAATCCTATCCATTGTTAAGAGTAGGGGATATTTTATTTCAAAAGATACAACTGAATTTGGTAGTCTATTTTAAAAACAACTTAGTTCAACAATGATAACACGTGGTTTAGAGTTGTTTGTATTCACAATGACTTGTTTATAACAAGTATTCTTAACCTTCTTTCAATAAAAAGTCCAGTGAAGTATCTTATCACAGAGCTTACCTGATTTGTACCGCTGATAAACTTCCAGCTCCCCGAGTGCAACAAGTTTCTCCTATTGTGAAATTAAATGATTGCATTTACCAACTTATACCAACTTACATTAGCTTAAATAGAAAACTATTTGAATCTTGATTTTAAATAATTAATAACTATTTTAAGACACCAACAATTATATAACCAACAATAATATGACAACAATTATATAACTAAATGTGTAGTGCTGAATCATTCAAACTTTTATTGCTTCATTATTTTTTTTTAAATTTTTGAGTTCTATGAACTATTTTCCATGGACTTAAAAATAATTATTGGGCCCGGTGGCATGGCCTAGCAGCTCAAGTTCTCGTCTTGAACACGCCGGGATCCCATATGGGTGCCGGTTCTAATCTGGGCGGCCTCGCTTCCCATTCAGCTCCCTGCTTGTGGCCTGGGAAAGCAGTCGAGGATGGCTCAAAGCTTTGGGACCATGCACCCGTGTGGGAGACTTGGAGGAGGTTCCTGGTTCCCAGTTTCGGATCGGCGCAGCACCAGCTGTTGCGGCTCACTTGGGGAGTGAATCATCGGACGGAAGATCTTCCTCTCTGTCTCTCCTCCTCTCTGTATATCTGACTTTGTAATAAAAATAAATAAATAAAAATAACTACTTATTTGAAAGGCAGATTTATAGAGAGAAAGGAAGGGAGAGAGAGATATCTTCTATTCTCTGGTTCACTCACTCCCCAGATGGCCACATAAGCTAGAGCTGAGCTGATCTGATCTGAAGGCAAGATCCAGGACCTTCTGGATCTCTTAACATGGGTGCAGGGTCACAAGGACTTGGGCTATCCTCTGCTGTTTTCCCAGGCAATTAGCAGGGTGCTCGACGGGAAGTGAAACAGCCAGGACATGAATCAGTGCCCATATGGGATACTAATAATGCAGGCAGAGAATTAGCCACCTACAACTCAGTGCCAGGCTCTTATTGACTCCCTAGTTTTAGCAATAAGATACAAATTGAATCCACAGAAAAATCAATTTGTGATTTGGTATAGGAGAATCAGTTTATGGTTATTATCGAAGTCCTTTCTCTTGTATTTATTCTAGCATTACCTGAATCAGATCACTTGTCATTCTGGCCATTATTTGTTGGCTTAACTCAATATCTTGGAGATCTGTAAGAACCACCCAAGTTCCTTTTTCAAACTTCACAGGCATAGAAAAGACAATCCCTTGAGGAATACCAAATTGACCTGCAATATAGAAACAAAAAGCAAAGCAGAACAACTGAAATCAGAAGAACGAACAATTTTGTTAAGTATTATGGAAAGGACAGCCACAATACATGATTTCCAGTGATAACAATAGAACTGGATTTCTGGAATTTCTTTTCAGGAGCAATGAGGCACTCACTCTAGAAGCTCTTATTCAGTTCCCATCCAAGTTTGGACAATTCTTGCATCTGCATTTTTCCCACAGTGCTATGCTAATGCAGTCTTTTTTTTTTTTTTGAATCCTTGTATGAGTTCTTTTTGTCTGCTTCTCAAATTTCTCTTGCCCCCACCCACCTCCCCAAAACACATAGTGCATAAGTCTACATCATTTGCTCAATCTGTCCTTCCACTCTCCTTATCTATTATGTCAGTCACACAGCTAGACTACGATGGACTGGACAGGGACAGAAGGAGGGAGGGCGGGAAGAAAGGTTGACAATTTCCCTGCAGCTCTGAATTCTCTATTTGGATGTTATCTAAGTAAAAGGATACATGATACTGATTATTGACTGGGCACTATTCAGATAAAATTGTCTCCATCATGCTTATCTTAGTAACATAAAAAAAAAATCTCTGCCATCATAGATGCCAAAAGTATTGTCACTGGAGTAGGAAATTGAGGATAGACAGGAAGTTGGAATTGAGCCTACTCTTCCTGAGAAAGTTTCTCAGGTCCCCTGTCCATGCTGTCTCTGTTCTATCTGTACGGAGCTAGCTTTCAGGTTATACATGCAGGGTGTGGTTTCAAGGGGCAGAAAATGATCCCTGCCCTCCCCGCCCAGGTATCACATTGGCCTTCTTTCAGTGATTCAGTGGAGCAATATTTATAACTAAATACCAAATAATAGGACATCACTACAAATTTTATTCTCTTTCTCTCTCTCTCTGCATTAACTTCTACAGGTAAGAGAACATATTTGATATCAATTTTTTGTGTGTATGACTACTTTCACTTAGACTAATGATCTCCAGTCCATCCATTTCGTTTCAAATGTCAAGACTGCATTCTTTTTATGACCAGATAATATTCCACCATTTATCACATTTATATATATCATATACATACATATGTGATTATCTATCCAGATAGATAGATAGATAGTTCACATTTTCTTTGTTCAGTAATCATCTGATAGATATCTAGATCAGTTCCATATCTTTACTATTGTGAATTGAGTTGTCATAAACATGGGAGCATATGGAATATTGTTTCCTTTTAAAAGGAATTCCTATAGAGATGAATCAAACTTTCCTCAGAGAAACAGTTTAAAATGCTTATTGCCTTAAAAAGATAGAATACTGATTTGATTTTGAATTATGGCAGTGCTCTTGTACTTAACTTCCATTGAACAATGCCCACCGAGCATCTATTACATAAAATGCAGCTCCCAGTAAGGTGCTGAAAGATGAGCATCTGCTCTTGGGATTTATACACACCAAAAAGTGGAATACAATTAGTTAACCACAAGGTCAGAAACAGGCAAACCCCAATATACACTATGTCCACTACAAAATGACTTGCATATGTCGGATTAATACTGATGTGGGGATTTGAGGGATTGTTCCTTGAGTTGCATGTCCTCACTTGAACAGTGGGAAAGATGGAGATTCTGCTAGGGACATTTGGAATATAGCAGGTGGAGCATAGCTGGAAAGAGGACAATTCAGTAGAGTAGTGGCAGCATGGTGTCCAAGCACCACCACATCTCATGCTGGAGCTCTGCAGAGGACTCCACATCTGCAGCTTGGGGAGAGTGGCCTTGTGATCTTTGTAAAGCACAAAGGGAAGAGATGCACTATATACAATATACAGGGCACAGAATGTCAGCTATCCTACTTGCTGTGAAAATGGCAGATATCTTGTGGAATATTTTTCGTAGATCAAAGCATGAAGCTTGTAAATACTTACATGCAGTGTTAGTAAAGTGTACTCTTTTTATATGTCCAGTAATGCCTACCAGTCTGAGGTCTGTGTCCCAGTGGGTATCACATTGAATCCTTGCCTCTGTGCCTGCACTTTTGGGACCTCCTGTGCCCAGTGTTCACCACACACTGACCCCCAGATCAAAACGACTTGGACTTTGAGGCTTCTTGTAATGTCGTATCCTGTATGAAGGTTGACTTTATCCCTCCTGCTTCAAGCCTAGAAGTGACTGTTTTAGCTTCCTCCGCTGGGTACAGTGAGACAAACTTGGTGTATGAACCTGATTCTCTTTCACCTTGCAGTAGGTTTGCTGAAGGAAGAAAGCATAACTAATTCCCAGATGAAAGCATCCCAGTGCTTTCATTCAAAACTGTTGATTTCTGAAGGCAATGGATGAGTGACTATGGAACTGTGGAGGTAGCAGATTACAAATTGGGCAGGTGGGTAAAAAGAATTGGGAGCACAAGGCATACATGGAAGTTCTAAAAGATTTATAAGACATGGAAAACCAAAATTTACCTTCACTCAATATTCCTAAAGATACAATCTCGCCAGGTGGTGAGCCATAATACCAGTATTTTAGTGTAGTGGCTATACTATGTGCAGCTAAAATGCCTCCAAAGTGTTTTCCGGTGACACTCAAATTTTTCAAAGTGTCCACAAATTCTTTTTTTACCCATTCACTGTAAGGAGAGAAAGAGACAATTCTATAGTGAATGTAAATGCAAAAGGATGCTCCCTGGGTCAAAGGAATTAACTACAAGGGATGATACTCTCAGTGAAATCAGAATGATAACTTCATATGACTCTTCTTCAAGTTCCATTAGAAGTACAGTGAAAATTACTGAAATGGAGCAGAAAGGAAGCCTCAATTTTCTAACAGCAGACATAATAATATAAATATGAAATAATGGTCAAAGATTGCAAGAGCAATTACATTTATTACAAATAATTTTCCCATGTGGATGTCGTCTTTAAACTAGTTGCATTCTTTGAAATAAAATGAATTCATGGAACATTTAATTATTCCTATTGATAATTAGGGGAGTGATTATGGTTCTATGAAACTATGAAATATAAACTCATGAGATGGGCCTGCAGCACTGTAGCAGGTATGTAGCATCCACTGAACCAACCCAGCATGCCACACTGGCTCTCCTCAGGCAGAGGATAAAGAGGGACCTGCTCCTGAGGAGGGATGGAAAGTGGAGCCATGTTAAGGAATGTTACAATAAGAAGGTGCCACCAAGTTTAGAAAAAAGGCTTCAAAGGTCCTCTTGCCCGTGTCTCCTCCTCTGATCTTCAGAATGCCCATATTGATCTGGTAGGTCCAGCTCTGAGTGTTTGATCTAGATTAATCCCTTGAATCCTCCCAATGGCCTTATACATATGCTACCATTTCCAGTTTGCAGATGGACTGAGGCAAGGAGAGGCTAAGTAATGTTTCTAAAGTCACTCTAAGTAGCTAAGTGAGAATTTCCAACCCAGGTGACGTGGGCCTAAGGACTGTCCTACTTAACCACCTCTCAATTCTGTCTCTTCTGGAACAGAATAGCCAGCATAGCCCAGACTACTCAGTATTTTCTTTCTCTTTCTTCAAACGTTTTAACTAATTTCAACGTAAATGTGTACCTCTAGCTTTATGTTAAATAATATTCTCTTTTATATACACTCGCTTTAAGCATAATCCTAATGGGGCAAATAAGATACTTTAGGTTGTAGTGTACTCTTCTGTGGGGCTATATTCTAAGATGTCTGGCAGCTGTCAGGAATCAGGCAGGAGCCAATGTTGTGGCACATCAGATTAAACTTCTGCTTACAATGCTGTGTCCGGCAACAGAATGCTGCTTCAGTTCCTGGCTGCTTCACTTTCCTGCCAGTCCCTCATCTTGTTTCTGGGAAGGCAGTGCAAAACAGTCCGAGGATTTGGAACCTGTCACTCATTCTAAGATTCCAGGTTCATGGCTACAGCTTAATCCAGTCCTGGCTGTTGCTGTCATTAGGGAGTGAACAAACAGATAGAAGATTTCTCTTTCCCTCTATTACTTTGCTTTTCGAACATAAATGTTAAAAAAAGCAGTTTATATGAATGACATCTTTTTCTCTCTTAATCTCTTTACAATTTCTGAACTGCCATGGACCATGAATAACTGTACTTATAGAAAGTGAAACCATGGATTAGGGGAGAGTATCATAATCTGAAATGTAAAAGTTCATGATTTACAAATAAAAAATTAAGGTTAGAGATTGAATAATTCATATTCTGTGGGCTTTTCTATATAAAATATCAAGTGTGAAAAACACATTTTTAATGAAGATTTTAAGGATTATAATATCTTGCCCATTTAACATTGCTAGCAGCATCACTTAAAAGCATATTGTACCTGTCAAAAATCAAGCTTAAAACGGGCTGTGAGTAACCAGGAGGTCCACAAACGGCACCTTTATAGTTGTATACCTTCGCTTTCCTCAGATCAATGTAGTGATTTCCACTGATATTGCCCCAGATGATTACATCTTTTATGTCTGTGGGGAATGGAAATAAAAATCAATCACAGCAAAGTTTATTAATATAAAATAGTATCTGAAGCCCACTTCTCATTTCTATGTTAATATAGTATTTTTTTAACCTAAAATGAATCTGAGAAAGTTTCCAAATATCATGCAAAAGGTGAGGTTACCCTCCGTAATCACCAGCGTATGGCTCTCCCACAGACTGGCCCTTGAAGCATATGGGCATATGACTAAGTTCAAGAAAATGTTTTCCCCCAAAAAGGAATTGCTTCCCCAAATACCATTGGTCCTAACTTCATTACTTTGCTTGACAGATATGGGGGTTGGGTGGATTTTTTATCTACTTTGATTCTAAGCATCCTCATTTCTGGACTGAACAGAAGTTTGGGCAAATCATTTATCTCTCTGAATGGGTTTTATCCCTCGTGATATGAAAGTGCTGCAACAAGAGGACAGTAGGGAACATCTTTATCGATGGCTTATGAGCTTAATTTTCTTACAAAGCCCCACCATTTCCTATTGTTGAGATTATATTATTTACCATTTTCTGCTGAGTGACATAAGATTGTTTTTGCCTTTAAAGGATAACAAGATGGCTGATTGCAAGGAGTTTGCTTTTGCAAGATAGCAAGTCACATAGGCATCAGTGGGAGCTAGTGCAGCAGCTCCCAGACTTGAGTACATAAGTCTTTCCCTCCTGGCCTTAAGATGGCTGTAGCAGCTCCAGGTGGGCAGCTCTCACACACATATGGTCAATGACAGTAGGCAGCAGGAAAAGAATGTGGTTTCCTCATTCCCTTTGTCTCCCTCTCAGAGGATTGTAAGCAGGTTGCATCATTCAGCCACTCCTACTTGAAAGAAAAGCTAAGAAAGTGGGTGTCGTTTTGAGTCTCTGTAGCAGAAGACAGACTAGGCAGAAGGGAGTGGGAAATGGGGCTTGGAAAAGTCATCCTCAGTATTCAAGGATTGTCTCTCTCAGCAAAATGACTCTTGAAGTAAGAGCAGTTTAAGACCACTTACAAATAGTTGCAGACACAGTCGTCCCCATTTTCCATGGCTTTAGCTGCCCACAGCCAAGCAAGTCTTAACATGCCAAATAGAAAATTACAGAAATAAAGACGGCAGACATTTTATGTAGTGTATAGTTGTACTTGCTCTATTACTAATACTTGTCTTTAATCCCTGACTGTCCCTAATTTACAGATTTATTGTAAGTAAGTATGTATGTGTGTGTGTGTATGTATGTATAAAAAAAGATACAATAAGCATTCAGTACCATGGGATTCCTTCTATTCGAGTCTAGAATGTTTCTGAACATTCTTCCTAGCTGCTTTGTAACTGGGTTGTTTCAAAAACAAAACCAAGACCACATGCGGCCATCCACTCACATGAGGGCGTTGTTTTCAATTTTCTGGCCAGCATAGCTTTAGCTTCACCTTCCACTCCCAGAGCCACTGCAATGATATTGCGCGCGATATTTGGGGCAAATTCCATAAGCAAAAATGCTTTAAGATTCACGAAGGTTTTGCCTGCTATGATAACTCTGACCGAGGTATCAGCATTTTTTTCCATCAGGGTCCCGTAGCGCTGGCAGAGAGATACTCTGCTCCGGAGGCACTCTTCCAAGGAGAATATCTCACGGTCTGTGGGGTCATCCAGAATGATGATAACGTGGGCCCCGCAGAAGGCCTCCTCTTCCTTCGTGCAAATGGAGACCTTGTGGAGGAGGGGTGACGCTAGATCCTCGGCTTCAGTCACCAGGGCTTGGAGAGAATCTTCCATGTGCTTGCTGCTGAATAGTACCAAGCTAATTTCTGTCTGCATCCCAAACACTTCGCCACTTGTCAGTATGGGAATGAGGTGGTAGCAAGCAGGAGCAGTGGCACTAACACAAATGCAAATGTGAATTACGAATGGTTAGGTCCTTTGCCCTTTGGTTACCTTCATTCCTAATAAGTTCTTTTGCATGCGCATTAATAGAGTGAGTTTCTATTTTTTTAAATAAACATACACACATGTTGCATAGCTATTTTACTTAAGGCTAGGAATCAAAAGTAAAAGCAAAACTCTCACGGTAACCCTTTGCTCTGGTCAACTGCAATCAACCAAAAAATACATAATGCGGCTGTCTTATTAGGACCTTTCAAATAAAATAGAAGCTCTGCTACTCAGAAGGCAAAATTTCAAGGAATTGTATCCTGTTATTCTAATGAGAATTCCACATTTCCCTTTTTTCCCCTTAAAGTTGATAAATGCATTACAGGAAACTGAAAAATACAAAAAGCAAAAAACAGCTCATTTCCCTTTGAAAAGATGAAGATGTAAGTTTGTTAGCTACAGCCTTGTTTTCGATAAATTATGACTGTTTTGGGAAAGGACTGTTTCAGATTCATGCATAGCTGAATCCTTATGAAGTTGGCTAGGACAAGCACTGGCTGTGCATGATGTGTCTGTAGCTACAGTTCAGCAAGCATCTGAGCACTGTACAGCTGTGGCAATCACCTGCCAGCTGTAATAACTCCCCATGGGGAATCTGGAAGCTCACTTGGGTATTTCTCATAGTCACAGTGGCTCCGTGGAGGGCTACACTATCTGCGACATTTCAGGCCTTTGTAAGATACTTGAGCAACACGTGACATTTATTAAATCAGGATGGTAGGGTGATGGATGCTTATTGCATCATGCTCAATTCCTTTTTTGTATTTGAAAATTTTCATAACAATAACTTTTAAATATATTTTGAAATATATTAGGATGCACATATGTCAGGAGAAGGACAGTGTGAGAGACAGACTGAGAAGTGAAGAGACCAAAGGAGGGAAAGAAAGCAAGAGTGACAAAGAGAAAATGACAACAAGGACGTCAGATGTCCCCAACTGGGAGCAAGATGAACAAGGGCAGGAAGGGGCAGAGTGAGAAAGATGGGGCTCAGCGTGTGAGTGAATGCATAACGATGAGCCAAGGAAAGTGCTAGAAGTGGGAAAGGGTGACAGAGGGGGAGAGTCAGGGACAATGTTGCACAAAACAGCATGTGTGTGTATTGTATACATTATGCAAAGCCTTGAACTCACACATGAAGTTGTATGGGAGGGTAGGTGTGATTATGCCCAAACACACATATGGCTCCTTACATATATATAAACACAAACACCCACACTCACATACCTTCAGTGTACATATAAGTATTTCAAACTTGACATTTGAGTTGCCTTTAACCTCCTTTCATTTTCCTTTCTAATTATCACCAAGCCAATCTCACAGACCTAAGTGCATGACTGTCCCACCTGGTGATCCAGACCTGTAAGGGACTGACAAGATCTTGTTGGGATTCTCCTTCCACCTCTTTTTCGATATGAGCCTTCAGGTTTTCCTTGGCAATCACCATCATAAGCTGAGTTGACATGCTAGAGGTGACACCGTAGTAAAGCTACACATTTGGAAAGAAAAAGCCGACTGGCTGTTAATGGCAATAATAGAAAGCTTTTGTTTAATGACAAAAAAAGAGGCAGAAATTAGGTAAGGGAATGATAAGTTATTTAGTAGGTAACCAATCTTTCTACCTGGGCATGCTCCAGGAATTCATTGTATCCTCCCAGCAGTAGGCCCTTTCCACCACGGTCCAACAGCTCTCTCCAGATGATGGGTGATGACCTGTGACTCCACTTATTCTTTTCACACACATCTTTCAACCACTCCTGCAGAACAAATTCAAGTGAAGTAGATAACAGGTCTGTCCAAGAATCCAACATTTTAAGAGTCAAACATGAACACACGAGCACACTTGGCACTCCATCACTTATGTATAGCACCATTTAGATATCTTTGCATGACAGAATGTAAATATGGAAAATGTTGACCACTTAAGGAGTAAATTAATCCAAGAAGCAAGAATACTGAATTTTCTTTATTCTTTTTGTAAATGATATATTCCCAGTCTCAGGGCAATGGATATGCTAATATTGCTTTTCAAATCTTTGAATATGGTTCAAATAGTTCAGGATGATTTATCAGGTAAAAGTTATCTATGGATTTAATATTTAATTTTTTTGTAGATTAATGTATCTGTTTTTGATTTATATTATACATGAGATGTCATTAGAAGAATCTGGGTGTGGTTTTCAGATTATGATAAAAATACTAAGATGTTAAAAATAGAAGAAACTTAGTATAGGATATGTGGAAACTCTTCATATTATGTCAAAGCTTTTTTTGTGAATTTCAAAGTATTCTAAAATAAAAGTCCAAAAAGAAAATATTTCACAAACAGAGACACACACACAGAAAGAGAGAGAGAAAAAGAGAGCGAGAGAGAGAGGAGAGAGAGAGAAAGAAAACTTCTGTTTTCCTGTTTACTCTCCAAACGCCTACAGTGGTTGATGTTTGGCTGAGACCAAAACTTGGAACTAGAAAATTAATCCAGATTCACTACATGGGATGAGTGGCAGGACACAATAACGGGGACCACCACCTGCTGCTTCCCATGACCTGTAAGCAGGAAGCTGGAGTCAGGAGCTGGGACTGCAAACTGAAAATAGCAATTTAGTGTAGGGTATGGCTATCGTAACTAGCACCTTAACTTAACATTTAAACTCATCAGAAGGTTGGGTTGTGTGGACCACGCATTCCAATGACAAGATCTGAGTAGAGGAAGGGAGTAATATTCTTTATCAGTGAAGTACAGGACAGCAGTCTTAAAGTCATAGAAGCGGAGGCATGTGTAATGGAGGTTACCTTAAAAAACAAAATTTTAATGGTTAATTTCTTTTGCTTGCGTTGAAAATCAGGCTGCTTTTATCCCATCAAAATCCAAGTGGTGCTACCATAAGGATTCAACTCTCTAGTTACATCATAGCCTGAACAATAGTGCTAACCTTATTGCAGAAGGGGGCGATGTCCCCAAGGATCTTCAGTAGCAAGTACAGCATACTGATACCCTGCCAGGGCTAGGGGCTGGGAGGGCTGGATCACGAATGGAATGCACAATTAATCATGAGCTTGAATCATTGCTCTGCAATTCCTGAGCACCTACCTGGAAGGAACCTGAGAAGATAGTGGAAGCATGTTGCTGGACCAATTCACAAAGGCTTGTTGAAAGAGACAGCTCACATTAATACAGAATTCCCAGCTACCAGTCAACTGAACTTTCTTCAAAGACCGGAACCCCATTTATCAAAATGATAAAAAATACATTGTTGAGCAGTTCCTAATATCACCAGGAAGACTGGCATGGAAGTTCATTCTAGGCTAAACCTAGCAGAGGACACATTCTTATAGAACTAGACTTGTGGAAATGGAAGGATAAAATCCAGAGAGTTCAGGAGATGGTGCCCACCAGAAAACACTGAATGCAAGACAAGCTGAGATAATTTAGATGGTGCTGGCATAATGCAGTCATAAAAGATACAGAGGTTATGCAACAGCCCTGGGCAATGGGCAAATAGATACTAAAGCTTATTTCATTATTGGTATCATGAGATCGTCAATGTGTCAGGAGGAGAGACTAATGCTGGTCCTCTGATAATGGCACTGTGCCTCCCAGACATCATCTGGTCTCATGGTGGCTTTATGATTACACTGAACTCCTACCTGTAAGGCACAGTGATTTGATTTAAATCAGCCTATATTCTGGGTAATGCAACACCTTTACCAGGTGGGTATTTGGCATAGCCTTTTGGGATTCACACACCCTTTACTGGAGTATTTGGGTTTGGTTTCAGCTCTGCTCCTGATTTTAGTTTCCTGCTGGTGCACACTCGTGCAGACAGGAGGTGAAAGATCAAGTGGGAGACTCAGACTGAGCTCTCAGCTCTTGGCTTTGGCTCCAACCCAGCCTGGCTTCAGCTATTGCAGGTGTTTGAGGAGTAAACCAGTGGATGAGAAATCTCTCCCCACCCAGCACTTTCCCCTGTGTGTTTCCCTCTCTATCTCTTTGCTTTCAAATAGAATTAATTAATTAAAAAATAAAAATAATACCTTTCTTATTCTTAAGGCTTTGTCCAGGACTCCTGGCCAAAAGTTTAAAGGATGCTGGACCTACTAACACAAGATCCTGCATAAGAATAATTTCAAATCAGGTGTCACACTTCAGAGCAGAAAGGAATGTGACATTAGTTATCTAACCGTGGGACTCACTGGTTCTTTCATATAATACATATAACACATTACCCATCCCAATGGAAAGATGAGACCAAAAGTGCGTGTTCCAGCTTGAAGTCCAATACTTTTGCAAGATTGGACACTTTCCTCAGGGTGCAAGATACACCATAATTAATGCAGCATTTTACCCCAACAGAATGCATTAATGCCAGAACAAAAGAGTAGCATTGAGTGACTGCTTCCCATCAGTCTCAGTGACTTACTTGGGGAATTTGTGCTTTTTAAACTCCATTGAGATAGATCATATGGTCCTGTAGGTCCAAAATCCCATAGGGCAGTGCTTCTACCAAGGGTTACAGAAGGGGTACTTTAAGCTTTGAGATATGGCTGCCTGTCTGATCACTTTGAGCTATTGTGCCAAAAAAAAAAATCAATAATAAACAAAGGCTTATTATCCCTGACAGGAGTGCTCTGCCTTGATGACCAGGGGTGTGCAGGGTATTGTTTATTCAATGTAGGCAGGAAAGCATATTCAGCATGTAGGTTATCTTTGGGAATCTTTGGCACTACACTGATCAATTTTGACAGCGATCAATTTTGACAGCAAATGGGCAAGTGTGGCAACCATAGCCCCACAAAACAAATAGAATAGCTGGCAAATAGAGTAGTGGTGCAGTCAATTAAGTTTCCGCTTGCAATGCTGGCATCCAATATCAGAGGACCATTTCAAATTCTTGCTGCTCCACTTCTGATGAAGTGCCTTACCAAAATGCCTTGGAAAACAGCAGATAGTGACACAAGTACTTCACTCCCTGCTGCCAATGTGGGAGATCCTAGGTTTTGGCTTCAGCTTGGCTGACTCCTGTTGGCTACTGAAACTATTTAGTGAGTGAGCAGTGAATGGAAGACCTCTCTCTCTCTCTCTCTCTCTCTCTCTCTCCCTGCCATACTGCCTTTCAAATAAATACATACATATACATTTATATATATATATATATATTTATTTATTTACAAGAAACTAAGTCTCAGACTGCTTGAGGAAACAGGAGTGGGTTGTCACACCTAACAAGTGACCTAGATCAGTTGGGGATGAAGAGGAAGTGGATAGCAGAGAAGAAAGGTATTGAGTGTCAGTTTGGCCCTAAAACTATCTACAGTAGAGACTAATCTCTTGTAAAGTTTCCCTAGTGTCAGGTGCCAACCAGTATGCTGGAGGAGCTTTCAGCAGACAGTGTGAATGCAGTATGGTATGTGGACTTAAAGGGCACAATGTCAGGAATGTGGCAGAGGCAGTTAGATGTAGAGGAGACCAAGGCATTCATGCCCTCAGATGCCAGGGATACTGGCTGCTGATGGCTCCAGGCTGAGTCTCTCTCAATGCATAGTTTTCCAATAATTTTCTTTTCATGAACTTTTAGAGGATCTCATACATGCATAAGTTGCAGGGTTTTTAAATAAAACTTATTTTTAAATTCAATTTTCCATGAACTTTTGGAAGTATCCTCATATAAGCCACTTGGATTGTTATAGGGAGGAACAAATTACTATAGTCATTGGTTAGACTATTAAGAATGAAACAGCACTTTGAGACTGATGAGTAGGTTTCACTTTTCTAAGAGTCAGACATTCACTACTGGAAGCTAATCTGATACAGTAGCTACCACTCAATTAAATTAAACATGAATTTGCCCAAATGTGAGTTTAATAAGCTATAAAGGCTTCTTACCTCCCAAATATCAGGATGCTGTGTAATTTTATAAATATGAAAATCAGGAAGATTCTTTTGTAAATAGTCTGCTAGAAGTTCTGCTTTGGCATAATATGGACAATCAGCTTTACCTGAAAGAATTCAAATCAGTCATGCTTTCTTTTATCCCATGGACATTATCACTCACTCGTAATGCCATATAATCATCAAAAGTTGATATAATTATATAACAATGTTACTATAAACACTCAAAAATAAACTCATTTTTAATATACTGTCTTAAAGAAAATAAATTCAACAGGAGGTCAGAATATTATTAACAAAAATGCAGAATGGGAAACAAAAACTACTGAACACTTGCTGTCTTCAAATACTATGCTGCACATCACTTCGTTTGACAGGTTGCCAAATGGGGTTGGTGCAGTGGTATAGCAAATTAATCTTACACCTGGTAAGCATCGTATTCCATATGGATTCCGGTTCATGTCCTAGATGCTCCACTTCTGACCCAGTTCTCTACTTATGGCCTGGGAAAGTGGCAGAGGATGGCTCAAGGCCTAGCTCCTGCACCCAGACGGGAGGCTGAACTCCAAACTTCAGATCAGCCTAGCTCCAGCAGTTGTTACCATTTGGGGGAGTAAACTAGAGGATGGAAGATCTCTCTGTTTTGCTTCGCTCTTTGTAAAAATATGCTTTGCAAACAAAATTAAACAAAGGGGATACTAGTTAAACATGAGTTCTTTTTTTTTCTTTTTACAAACCCAAGCAAGCTTTTAATGCCAATATGTAAAATATCTCATCTATGTTTACTGAATTTCATTTTCAGTAATTGAACTTTTTAATACATATTTTGAAAACTGAATAATTATATAAAGAATTCCAATTGAATGCTTCCTATATTTTTTATGTCCCAATAAGTATAATAAGTATTAATTTTTTAAACAAATGGTATGAATTTATAACATGGTAGAGCACTCATTAAACATGATTTCTTAATAGATGAACTACTCTTGAGTAAACACTAGAAGAAAAGATATGAAGAATGGCAGTAAAATTGAGTTTGAATTTGATATCTGTGGCAAGGAGTTATGGACACAGAGGAAGTGGAAAGAGACAGAAGAATCTGGAGAACTTCTATTTTCTAGATTGGAGAGATGATCTTTACCTTAGCAGAGCGAGATCATGGATGAAAAGTGTGATTCCAGACAAGAACATTGGAGATATCTGTAGTGAATGTGAATGGAAAGGACCAGCAAATAGCTGGATATTTAAGTGTGAGTTGCAACTGTCATATAAGGGCTTCAGACACACGTTTTGCAGTCATTAACTTACAGACAGCTAACACCACCACAGGAAATGAGATTTGATGGCTGATAGAGCAGAAGGGATCATATGCAAGTGAAGCTTCTGTGCGGGATTTTTCTCAGCTACTCACAACTGCCCATTTCTCAGCATTAAGAGAACTTGTAACTCATGAACCCTTTGCCATCACTCCTGTCTCTGAGCGTCTGCGTTTAATCCAAACCAAGGTTCACCACTTCACTTATGTCTTAAATTATGCCTTCCTACTGCCCTATGAATCCAATCACCTGCACATTGTGTATCTGGGTCCCACCTGCTACTAGAGATATGTGGTAGAACCATGCAGAGGGGCACTGTAATACTTGAAGGTCACCAGCCCCAGCTGACCCTCTGTTCTACATGGAGATTTTGCTCTCTCCTTTAGCAGTCCTGTACTCTCTTCTCCCCTGTGATCATTCTCAACTTTGCCTCTTTCTCCAGGTCGCTTCCTCTTTTCCAACACTTCTCTGCACTATCATAAAACAGTACACAATCTTGATTTTTTTTTTTTATTTTACAAAACCAAACCAAACCAAACCCAATGGCATTGCTTGGAAATCCTCAATCTTCTATCACAACACTGACAAGCCCATCAGCACTTTGACTCATTCTTTCTCCCTTTCTTCCTTTACAGTTTAAAAGAAGCCCACCTCCTTTTGGGTCTAATACCAACACTCTCTGATATTACTCTATGGTCTTCTGACTTACTTCTTAGAAACTTCGCTCCATTTATTAAAGTCTCTTTTTAGATCTCACTCTCTTTTTATCGATCTGTTTCCATTACATTTAAATGTACTAAAGTCACATTTAATTTTCTACAATTGTAAAAGACATAAAATGCATGTCCTATGCTAGCTATTGCTTTCTCTATGTTCCTTTTCTATTAAAACACCTTGGAAGAAGTCGCTATACTTGCCATCTTTTCTGGTTCACTTAAATTTATTTTTCTATTCTGTTGTCATCTGGCTTCTCTCACAAGTAGATCCAATGAATACTTCTCAATTCCTTTCTTGCTCTGCTGGCAACATTTGCCACTGTTGTCTCCCATGCTTTTGAAATGCTCACTGTGTCGGGCCATTTGGCAGATAATATTCCTAGTTCTCTATGTACCCACCCCGTGCTTTGTGGGTTCCTATCCCTTAATCAATCTGCTGAAAAGGAATGATTACATAAAGACTCTTATCTTTATAGCATACATATTCTTCTTGGTCAATCTCCTGTACGCTAGTAGTTTAAAGCAGCGATCTTTATTTTGAGTTTACACCTGTCTCCTTACCCAGGTATGTACATCTTCCTGTATTCTCCCATCTCTTTCTAAATGTTTTATAGGCACTCAGCATGTCTGTGATGAATTTTGTCATCACTCCCACGCCAAATCTGCTTTCTTCTACATACTTTAGGTCTATCTGCTTAATTACCAAAGAGTATCTGCAGTATTAAGCCCTCCTCTTTCATTTTTTTTTAATGGCTCAATCTACTCAGATGTACAAATGACTGCATGATAATAGTTTTCAACTCCATCTCCTCTCTTGCCCTTCTCCACTCACTCAGATATCTAGCTCTGTGGATTCTGCCTCAGAAATATCTCTACAATATACTCAGTTCTTTCCATTTCCCTAACACCACTAACTCCTTCCTGGAGTGTAGTCTCAATCTTTCCCTTTCACACAACAGGCATAATATATGTTTTTTTTAATGTTTTATTTATAACAAATAAAATGAAACTTGATGACTTTCTTCCTTTCTAAAAAGTTGCCATGTGTTACACACTAAGTACTGAACACGGCTCCCATGGGTTTATATTGCTCATCCCTGACCTCAGCTTACAAGGCTCACTGCCTTATATTCTTTGCCCAAGTTCTAATGAATTCATATAACTTTCATATAGTGTAGTCTCAATTACTACCTAGTCCATTCTCTGCCACCCAGGCCTAAATTGTCCTCCATCTCCCTAGCTCTTCTCTACTAGATAATTCTTTCAAATTTCAGGTATTTGCCTAACATCTGTCTCTCTGCATTGCCCTTACATGAATCAATAAGTTCAGTTGCCTCCGTGTCTTCAGAACACTGCACAATGGTCCTGCCACTGACTTACTCACAGCATTACCGAAGTAAGCTTATTTTCCACTGTCTCCCTAACATACAGTTAATCAGTGTTCAAAAAATATTCTGAGTAAATAAAATAGCAAAGAAAGTATATAATTTAGGCAGATGATGGATGTGAATTGTGTTCAATCCATCCATAGGTCAGTAAGACAAGGATTGAACAGCATATGCAAAAGCAAGGTGTAAATTTGGAGAAGACTGATTCTGTAAGGAGGTAGAAAATGAAGTTGGACTGAATGGAAGAAGAGCTGGAGACAGAGTGTGGTCTAGCCTACTGCAATTCTTACTTAGAGGGGGGCGTGGGTAATAGCAGGATGGTACAAACCAGGAAAGAAAAAGCCTCCTCAGTGCTTGCTTCCCTTGCACCTGACCCGTGCTTCCATTCTTCCCTGCACTGATGTTAAGATGGGCTTCCTAAAATGCAAACTCGTTAAGGCTGCTCAATGATCCCTCCTGGCTTTCAAGACGTGGTGCGAACACCCCTGCTTGCTAAACGTGACAGGAAGGATTTGATTCCCGCTCCTTTTCCAGCTACAGGATCTGTCATTAACTCTCATTCACTATCCAGGTTCTCCACTAGAAAAATTTCACCTGAAATCTTCAAAACTCAGCTCCCCTAACAGTTCCTCCAACAAGTTTCAGTCTCTCGCCACCTACCACATTCCCTCCAACCCGCCCCCCGACCCCACCCTCCAAACCGGATTAGGGGGTCTGCCCTCCCAGAGGGCTGTGCAGGGCCATCTCACTGCGATCCGCACACGGTGTAAACAATGCTTCTTTACACACTCCTGCAGCCCGTTAGGTTGAGACCTCTGGGGGCACAGGTGCATTTTCTCTCCCTTGTATCCCTAGCGTTCTGCAGTGCTTGCTATGTGGACGCGAAGAGCACGGTGTGACTCCATGGGAAGACACACGATTAGAACCCTTTAAGATCGATGTCAAGCGGTTCTGAAACTTGAGCGCTGTCGGTGTTTGAGCCGTAAGCGGGCGAACGCGCCACTCACCCGCGATCACGAATTTGGCCATGGTAAAGCAAGTCCAGAGGCCGAGAGGACGGCGTCGCCGTTTCCAGGCAACCGAAAGGCCAGGCTGGGCGCAGGCGCAGACTGCAGCAGGCGCTCCTGAGTCTGGAACCCAGCAGGCGGGATGGGTATTCAAAGTAATGACCTCAACGGGTTACTTCGAACTCCGCAGTAGTACATTACTTTGATAACCGCTACGATCTTCTTTTCCTGTAGCCAAGAAAGTTGTCCACTGCGCCTGCCAGGCTCTCAGCGACGGCCCCGACAAGCACGGCGAACGGAAGCTTTTTGTCCTTTGTGGGGATCCGTCAGATCTCGCGATGTGCGTGCCTCTTGGTCGGCTGTCATGGCTGCGCCTGTGTGCAGCCACGGGGACCTGCTCTAAGGTGAGTGGGAGACGAGCGAGGGCAAAGCGGTCGGTGCTATTAGACTGTAGGTTTTTTTTCTTCTCACAAGTCGCCGCAGGGTTAAGTTTAGGAAGGTAGGGTGGTGCTGGGCGGTCGGGTTTGGGTTCTGGGGAGGTTGGCGGGTGGTGGAGTCCCTTCGTTCCCTGCTCTGACCGGGTCGGACCTCGCTCTCGTCCTGCGCCGACCTCTCCTGAGCGTCCTGGTCGTCCTGGTCGTCCTGCTAAAATGATCACATTTGCTGGGATTTCATTTGTACTTTCTATCCTCTTTGCCAAGAATTCATCTTGTAAAATCATGCCGGGAGAGAGCTTCACTCTGTGTAATGTCCTATCAACCCATCAGTAAATCCGTTAGCGACATCTGTAAAACATGTTTATAACGGCCGAGTTCGACTCGCTACATCCTCCCGTGAATGAGTGAAGCCCTCAGGGTTGTCGAAATCCCTCACGCGCAGCAAGGGCAGTTTCCCACTAGAAATAGTCTCTCTCTACAACATCTGTTATTCTGAAGGACCCTTGCTGCTTGCAACAGTGCCCTTGTGCTGAAGTGGGGGAAGCCCACACTTCGCGATGGTTTTTCCAACTGGTCAGTCTCTGCGGTTTCCAGTTTCCTCCATTAGCCCTTGTTAAACACATTTCATTGAGTAAAAGTTTCGCTTTAACTTTTATTCCTCTCACTACCCAGGTCCCTGCAGGAAGAGGATGACCTGTGTTATCCCCCACTGGTAGAAGGGCTGCTTTGGCTTTGCTTTTGTTGTTTTGTTTCCGTTGCCAACTTCAAAGCCACTAGGAAGTGCTTCTGTCAGCAGCAACATGAACAAGAAAGCAGGTTGCTTCTTGTGGAACTTTAAACAATTCCGAACGTTAATGTCACCAGGCAGAGATGTGAGGCTTTATTCACTGGGACTTTGCAGGCCAAAAGCTGTTCAATTATCCTGGAAACCGACAAACCTCTTCAATGAGACAGGGAGCAGAATGCAATCATCTACTAGAAGTCTCTTCCAGGATTCATTTATTTTGAAATCCAGGAACAATGGTTTTCAAATGAAAGGCGTAAGCACTGTAAGAATCCTCAGAGGTCCCAGTTTGCTTTGTCCTAGAAGAATATTGCTGGACTCAGAACGTTTTCTTGCCTGTGCTGGGACATCTGATAATGGATTGGCCAAATTAGGCTTTCATCATGAGGTCTCCAGTGAAGAGGTTCTTGCCAAGGAAACCAAAGCATCCCCTGTGAGCTATAGAAAACTGTCGGAGGAGTGTAATTCCCTGAGTGATGTGCTAGATACGTTCTCAAAAGCCCCCACATTCCCTAGCAGTAACTATTTCTCAGCCATGTGGACCATCGCCAAAAGGATGTCCGATGACCAGCAGCGCTTTGAAAAACAGTTGATGTTTAGTCACCCTGCGTTCAACCAGTTGTGTGAGCAGCTGATGCGAGAAGCCAGGATCCTGTACTATGACCACCTGCTGTTCAGCCTTCATGCTTTGGTGAAGCTGGGAGTCCCCCAGAACACTCTCCTGGTTCAGACATTGCTGAGGACCATCCAGGTAAAATCTAAAGGAAGCTTTCGGTGTTTCTACTTGGTTTATCCTATCTTAAAATAAAGACCAATGGACATGTTGCCTCCTTAAAAGACAGTATCCGTAGAACAAACTGCTCTTGCATGCATTGATTTCTGTATCTGATCTAGAGGCCTTATGTTAGCTATGCTATTTCTTCCTTTTGCTGTATTTAAGCCTGACCCCTTTCTCTTCTCCAACGTTGAGTAGTGAAGAGCCTGAAATGAGGAGAGCTGCAAAATATACGTAAATTGGATACTTGGGGGCAGACAGTGGAAAAGGAAACAGAGCCAATATGTGTTGAGTATTTAGGACTATCCCAGCCCTGGCCATTGCAACCATTTGAGGAGTGAACCAGCAGATGGAAAATTCTCTGTAACTTCAACGTTCAAGGAAAATGAATAAATCTTTAAGGGAAGAAAAAAGGATCCCTCAAAATTTTTTTAGGCTAATTTATTTTTATTTGAAGGCAGATTTACAGAGAGAAGATAGGACAGAGAGAGAGAATCTTCAGCTACTGGTTTATTCCCTAAATGGCTGCAGTGGCCAGAGCTGAGCAATCAGAAGCCATGAGCCAGGAGTTTTTTCTGGTTCTTTCACATGGGTTGCTGAGTCCCAGGGACATGGGCTGTCCTCTGCCACTTTCCCAGATCATAAGCAGACAGCTGGATTGGAAGTGGAGCGTTGGGAACATGAACTGGCGCCCATATGGGATGCTGGTGCTGAAGGTGGAAGATTAGCCTATTGAGTCACTGGTCTGGCCATAGATCCCTCAGGTTTCTAAACTCAGTGATAATTGTTTTGCCCTGGTGAAATGGTCTACCATGGACTAATCTGTAGTGTTTTTGTGATTATATTTTAATAGGAACGTATCAATGAGTGTGATGAGAATTGTCTTTCCATTTTGTCAACTCTTCTGGATACCCTGGAGCCATGCAAAAATGTGCAGGCTTTACGGTCAGGACTACGGTGAGAAACCTCTCGTGCTTTTTTCGTGTGGTTTTTGCTACTTGTTTTTATGTTTGGATTGGAAATTTAAGATGAAACACTGAGCTGCTGGTTTTGGCAGGAGGGGAAACATGTTGCTCATTATAGTCCCTAATACCTTATTAAATGTGAAATCCTAACTGTTGGTCAGGTAAAGCTGAACAGAGTACCAGGGTGCTTCAGGATATTATGAAAAATGAAACTCAAGGATAATTTTACCCTTGCATAGTTTTTTTGGCATCTTTGCAAAAAAAAAAAAAAATTCATGATATCAAAAGTCTTCAAAACATGCATTGAAAATGTGTATTACCAGAAAATGCCTGTCAGATAAATAAAATATTTTTAATAAAATATGGATCCCCAAATACTTTAATTTTTCCACTAAAATGGGTGTGGGTAGCATTGAAATCTAAATATCATAAAACCAGTATTGATGTGAGGTGGAAAAGAATTGGCATTGTATTCAAATCAAAATAGTTATTTGGGCCCTGGGTGGGGGGCTGTTAAACAACAGTGACTCAGTTTGTGAAGGAATTTTTAAACCGATGCAGCTGATATAATACTGTGAATTAGTGGAAATAACACATAATTCCCTTTTTTGTTGACTGTGGATAAGATATGTTATTGTAATCTCCGAATATGATTTGTTCACTAATAAAGACAGCATAGTGCAAATTTACCTTTTGGGTTCCTGGGGAGGAGATGCAACTGAAAAGAAATGGGGGCACAGTGTTCTCTTGAGCAGCTGACAAGTTTATTTCCAGGGTTCCAGGTAATAGACGTTCAGTAAAGCAGCATTTCAAACGTAGTCCAGCTCAGACATGGGGTACAGTGATCAGGTTTGAGGTACAACTCGTGTCACACGTGTGTAAGCAGGGAGTTCCAGGAGAGCCAACAAGGCAGCAGGATCAAAGCACCACTGGTGTGAGATATTGATAAGGAGTGCTAACTAAGCATAGGTGTTCGCCGTATACCAGGATAGCATGAAAGCACATCCAAGGACTCGCTGGGGACAAGAGTGCGCTCAGGCTGAGAGGCCCTCTGCCTGCTTGTTCCTGGAGCCTCTTCCCCACAGGACCCCACAGGCCTCTGCAGGCTCGCTCCCCTCCCTCTTGGATGTGTTCTGACAACACTGTAGTATGATTTGGGCTCTTTTAGTATGCAGTAGCTGCCTATACATTTCCTCTTTTCAACAAGTACTTCTTGTCACTGTTTTTTTTTTTTTTTTTTCCTCTTACATATCAGGAATAGGAGCTTGGCTAAAGGAGCTTTTATGTGTTTTTCTTTGGTTTGAAGATTCTATGAATAAAATGTGTATTTTGTTTGACGACAGGATACTAGTCGATCAGCAAGTTTGGAAGATAGAACGTATCTTTACGTTGCAAACAGTAATGAAATACATTGGACAGGATACACCAGTTGCTCTGAAAAGGAAACTGGAGGTACATTCCTGAATTTTCTCTAGTGGCTGAAACTTGGAAAGAAAAAATTTGGGGTGTCTACCACCACGTGTGGGAAATCAACTTTTAGGATGACATTGCTGTGGTTTGGGGTTTAGGTTTGATAAGTTGGATTAAAAGAAGTTGAGTTAAAATATTGACCTGTATATACTTATGCAAGTATATATACATGTAGGTATATAGATATGCATGTTTATACTTGCTTTTTTTGGAATCATTCTTCTGCTTCATCCTTTTTAAAGATCAGTGTTTAGTTCTTGTGTCATACATGTTAGTTACACTGAAGTTTGTTTTTCTTGAGATGAAAGCCTTGAGGGAATTGGACAGATTTTCCATATTGAACAGCCAGCGCATGTTTGAGGTGCTCGCTGCCATGAACCACCGATCTGTTGTTCTGCTGAACGAATGCAGCAAGAAGTTCTTAGGTAAGACGAATTTTATTTTTTCAGTATCTGTAGCACCTGTTTTGCTATTTTGGATTATATTTGTTTTGTTTTAAAGGCTTTGAGCTTTTGTGGGTAAAATTGTGTCTAAGTCTCGGCACTTTCTTTTTTAACAAAGTACAGTGCTATGTTTTTCTAAAGCAACAAAATTACTGAGCGTTTTGAAGCTTCCCTTCGAAACCATCTGGTGAATTTTGTTTGTTTGACTCATTCTTAAAGAAAATATCCATGGCTGTCCTTTTAAAATACTGAGCAACATACTGAGATCCTGCAGAGAGCTTCGCTACTATAATTTAGAACTCTTCGAGGGAATAGCGAAGTATGTGGCTACAACCTTTGATATCTGGACATTGAAACAAGTGAGTATGTTTACAGTTTAGAATATGTCTCAGAAATTTCAACAAATCCTACTTGCTAATTCAGCATTTTAAGTATTTCACTTTCTGCTTATAGCAGTTAAAAATTTTATGTATTTACTGATTTATTTATTTGGAAAATTAGATATACAGAGAGGAGGAGAGACAGAGAGGAAGATCTTTTGTCCAATGATTCACTCCCCAAGCGACTGCAATGGCCAGAGCTGAGCCAATCCAAAGCCAAGAACCAGGAGCTTCTTCTGGGTCTCCCATGTGGGTGCAGGGTCCTAAGGCTTTGGGTCATCTTCCACTGCTTTCCCGGGCCACAAGCAGGGAGCTAGATGGGAAGCAGGGCCACCGGGATACGAAGCGACGTCCATATGGGATCCCAGCACAGGCTGGCACAGGCAAGGTGAGGACTTTTAGCTGCTAGGCTATTGCACCAGACCTGCTGATTACAGTTAATATAGAGTAGTCCAGTGCTAAATTGACTTTTGAGTAATTTCTTATTATCTGTAACCAGGAGTTACCTGGACTTTTTTTTTTAACAAAGCTAGGAATTTTTTTTTTAAACCTGACAATTTTTTTAAAATAATCTTTTTTTTTTTTTTAAAAGAAAATATGTTTGTTTTTATTTGAAAGGCAGATATTCTAGAGAAAGAGGTAGAAACAGAGAGAGAGCTTACATCCACTAGTTCACTCTCCCAGGGGCTGCAGCAGCTGGAGCTGAGCCGATACAAAACCAGAATCCAGACACCGCTCAGTCAGCGACCGAAGGACTTGTGCTTTCCTCTGATTCTTTCCCAGGTCGTAAGCAGGGAGTTGGATTGGAAGTGGAGCAGCCGGGACATGAACTGGTGCCTGTATGGGTTGCTGCTGCTGCAGGTGGAGGATTAGACTGCTACCCCACTGTGCTGAGCCCCTGCTAATAAATCTTTTAACCAGCTTTCTATCTGAAACAAAAATATATTACCCAAAGTTGGCTTCTCTGTTTTGTTTGAAAGATTGTGTTATACTTTGGTTAGATATTATTTTTTTCTGCATTTGTTCCTTTTCTTTGTTAGATTTTAAATGATAAAGATGAGCAGTGTGACAAGCTTAAGGATTTTGGGGAACAAAATATTATGACTTACTGATTGTATCTGTTGTTTCCTGCGGGGTAAATCTTTCCCATTCGGAGGATGGGGTTAATGGTGTAAATAAATGGATTATTAAAACTGACCATAACCTTGCTTTTGTAAAATAAAATAGTATGTGGCAGCTGTATTAGATCACTGGTTTACTTTGGAGAAAAAGATGATTATTGAGTTTATGACAGAAATTGATTTTGAGAAAAAGTAATAAATGCAAGAAAAAAATCGAGGGATAATAGAGATGAATTAGAAAATTTATTTTAATTGTATTTCAGCTCTGCTTTCACTTAGATAAATTAATACCAATATGGATTTTTGAGCTATTTTTTCATTTAATATTCACCATTTTATATACACATATTTGTGTTTATGCATATATTTATTTTAGTTCTTATGTAGTAGAATCTCAGAAGCATCTTGGCTTGGGAATGGAAGTTATACAAGATTGAGTTTATAATTTTGAAAGACTTCAGCAAAGATCATTTTCAAATCTATTGAATAGCAAGCATATAAGAAAATATTTATTTTTAGATGAAAAGGAAGTATGAAAGCCATTATATCCCTGTGCTGCAGGTTGTGAACAGATTGCTCATTAACTTGGTAACCAATTCAAGAATGAAGGGAACAGGTTGTTGGGAGGGAAAATCAATTGCTGCTTTTTAGGAAATATCCTGTGGTTAGCACAACCATATCATATTGAAGTTTAAATTATCTGAAATCTAAAAAAAAAATCCCTATTAGTGTACTGTAGCTATTAATTTTTTTGCAATTTCCTTTTTTGTTTTCAAGGTTATTTTTCTCCTCCTTTTATTTGAAAATCTTGGCTTTCGGCATGTTGATTTAATGAACTTATTTATGAAGAAAGTGATAGAGGAACCTCAAGCCTTAAGCATGAAAAACATCGTGTCTGTTCTTCATGTGTATTCTTCTCTCAATCATGGGGCCCAGTGCGAGGACAAAGAGTACGTTCCCCCTCCTTTTTAATTCTTTTTAGGACCTCATAACATTATTAAGAGATTACACATCTCTTAATACATTTCATACATTTATTCATATATTACTCATATTTTCTTAATGATATAGATATACAATAAAATACAATTATCAAAACCATATGATTAATATATCAATATTTTCATGAATTAATTTATTGTCCTAACATAAATCTTACATACATTTAGCGCATCGTTGCAAGTGCGCGCACCCATGGCTGTTGTCCACGTCAAGCCCTCCAGCATTATGCATTACTCCGACTTGTTTCTTCCTGCCCGACATTTGTTCCTTCAGTGGATGAGTTTTCATTTCACACTTGCCCAGCTTGTCCCCATAGCTCCTACGTTCCTACTTCAGTTTCTTTTTATCTTTATTGGAGAGTTGAGAAATAGATCTTTTAAAATTGTTGTAAGTTGTCATTTCTTTTTATTGTGGTGAGAACAAGTATACCCACTCTGCCCACGTCGATTTTTCATGTGCAGTGCAGTGTTGGTAGCTACGGGTACAGTGATGTACAGTGAATCTCTGGAACTTAATCATCTCTGAAGCTGTGTGTTCCTCCCAGTCCCGCTTGCCAGCTCCATTCTATTCTGTTGCTATTAGTTTGATTCTAAGATACTCAACGAGAATGAGATCATGCAGTATTTGTCCTTTGGAAACTTGAGGGCATTATAGTAGGATTTCTATCTTTGCTGTGGTTGGAAAATATTCCATTATCTTTATAGAGCACAGTTTTTTGTTGTTGTTGTTAATTACATTGCATTATGTGACACAGTTTTATAGGTACTGGGATTCCCCCGACCCCCCGCCCAAACCCTCTCCCCATGGTGGATTCCTCCACCTTGTTGCATTACCACAGTTCAACTTCACATGAGATGCTTTCATTGCAAGCATATACCAAGCATAGAGTCTAGCATCTTATTGTCCAGATAAGTTCAACGGCTTCTTGGGGAGACCATCTCTGGTCTGAAGGTAGAGCCAGCAGAGTATCATCCCGATCAATTAAAAGCTCCAGCATTACATCAGCAAGAATTTGTAATCTTATGGAATTAATTGACATAGTATTGAGTAACCAATATGTTAAAAAAAAATTCAAGTTCTTTACCACATACTGTGACTTCTTTGACATTTAATTTTAGTTTATATACAACCGGGTTCTATATACCTTAAAATGGCTATAGATTACTATTCAGCTGTCTTGTGTCTATTTTCATTATAGTATTTAGCATTTTATAGTGTTGAAGCATAATTTTGCTGAACCTGGCTTGTTTTTGGGTAGTCTAGACTGACTTAGAACCCACTGTTCTTGATGTGTCCTTTCCCTTCATTCAGCTCCTCTGCCGCTCTTCTTCATCTTCCCCTTTTCCTTTTTCTACCTACACGAATTCTCTTTCTTCCTGAAGCAACTTTATCTACTTTGTGGTTTTTCTCTACTGTCGCAGTGTTCTACATATACAAGAGTATTTCAAAGAGTTAGTAAGAAATTGGATTAAAAGATAAACATTTTTTGTTACAAAATTTTTTTGAGCTCTGCATACACTTGATTTTCAAAAAGCTTATAGGAAATACTATATATACATATATATGTATATACAGTATGATATATATAATATATATACATATATATATAGTATGGTGCATGAATGGAAGGGAAAAAAAAGCCCTGGATTTTTATCTTCAATTAACTTTGCAAAAAAAATTATGTGTTTAGAAGACAGAAAGACACTGGTTCATTCCTCAAATGTGAGGAGCCAGGAGCATGATCCATCTCTTCCCTGTGGGTTCCAGGGATCCTGGTACTTGAGCCATTGCCTGTGCCTGTCAGGTTAAACATTAGTGGGAATGAGGAAGGGAGCTGGGGCGCACACTGAGGCATTCTGATATGGGGACAGGCATCCCCCTGGAAGATTTTCTTTGAAATACCCACTTTTTTGTTTAAATTTATCAGTTATATTTATATTTAGATACATATATGCCTTAAGAATCAAACTGATCCGGATTCAAAAGGTATCTGCAATTTATTAGCAGTGCCAGTCTGGGCAAATGGCCTCACCTAATTTTGGTCTTTTCTCTATCTATACCTAACTACTTAGTCATAGTGTTTAACATTGGCTTTGAGTGGTTGGATTAGGTTTGTAGTGCCTTTAATTGAAAATATGGATAACTCGAGAATTTTAGTTGATTGTAAAACTAGTGGGAGGTCTATATATATATATATATATAGAAAGTCTAACATGAATAGGCTTGGGAGCCGAGCAGCTCAAGTCTCAGTACTGTTTCTCCTTCTTGGCTATGTGTTCTTGGTCAAGTCTTTCAACTTCTTGAGTTGCTCATCTTTTGCTGTTTTCTCATCTTTATTGTGAAAAACAATTATATCCAATAGAATTTTAATGAAAATTCAATATAAGCCTATAAAATCTTGTCCTGTGTAGGACATCCAGCATTAGCCGGTATTCACTGGGTGTATACACTTGTGAATAAATAACCACATGTCCTGAGCAATGTGTGAATACTTATTTGCAAGCCTGATTTTTTTCCTTTCCTGAGCTTTTCTTATGTTTATTTCTGTAAACTGACTAAAGTTTTCTCCCTGGAAGGTTCCTAGATGTTATGGCTGCTGCTCTAACTAGTTGTCTTCCCCACATCTCCTCTGAAAACCTGTTGAATGCTGTGTGTTCATTTTGCATGATGAACTATTTCCCTCTGGCTCCTCTTAATCAGCTTCTCAAAGAGGATATCATCAAAGAACTGCTCACGTCAGGTAAGAATTGGTACACAGCGTCAGCTGACATGCATCACTGACACTGGCCAGCCTATGGTTGGAGGAGTGCTGGTTGGGGTGTGCGGCGTAGGCGTTGCTGCGCAAAGGACAGTGTCAGCTGGAGTGTGCAGCGTAGGCATTGCTGCACGAAAGACTGACATGGTGAAGGCAAAGGTGCTTCAGATCTGCAAATGTGAATGGCCACACCTGTGTGAAGGGAGCATCATCATTCTTTCTCTTTAAAGAAGTTTGAGAAACAAGGTGGAAGAGAAAGAGTGAGCAAGCTGGTTCTGCTGAGGTCAGGCTGTGCTGGAGCTGGGATTCAGGAACTGATCCAGGTCTCCCACATGGCTGGCAGGAATGTATCTGAGCTGACACTTACTGCCTCCCAGATGTGCACCAGCCAGGAGCTGGGATTGGGAGTGGAGCAGAGATGTAAGCCCAGGTACTCTAACATGGGAAACAGGTATTCCCGTGGCATCTTACCTGTGCCACAAGCTTGTCCCTGTTATTTATTTATTTTTAAAGATTTAATTAACCAAAAGTGTTACTTACACACAGAGGGGGGGAGGGAGAGTGAGAGGAGTTCCATCCACTGATTCCCTCCCCGGATGGCTGTAACAGCAGCAACTCTCCCAGGCTGGAACCAGGAACCAGGAGCTTCTTCCAGATCTCCCACATGGGTGCAGGGGCCCCATCACTTGCACCATCTTTTGCTGCTTTCCTAAGCTGCTAGCAAGGAGCTGGATCAGAAATGGAGCAGCCAGGAATCCAGTCAGTGTGTTGGGGATCCTTGCGTCACAGGTGGTGGCCCTGCTCAGTACTCCCTGACCACACAATCACCCTCAAAAAGTCAAAATGTGCAAATTAAATTATTCCTGTGGTTTGCTCAGATTAGGCTGTATTTGATATGAGTAGGGGCACATTCTGTTTCCTAACGCTTACACTGGGCGTAAGCTATCTTACATAAACTTTTCAACTGTGAATAGTTGTGAACACTTGGTCACATGTAGCCTGACATGGAAACTCAGCCTGTTAGATCAAGTGATGAAATAGTTAACTAAAGTAGTAAATTTATTAACTATTGGACTGAAATTAATTGTTGACTTTTAAACAAGGGAAAGCAATATTTAGATAGATGTACAGAATTGATGATATGTCTGAGAAGAGAGTAGTTAAAATTTCTTGTAAAACAATGTCATAAAATTCAAGATTGAGTTATGAAGTGCCAATAGTCTGTGCTAATTTTTTGAGCAGTGCAAGTGGGGAGATGCAGCCTTGTGCCCAGGAGATATGGATTCTAGTCCAATTTTGCTTTTAATTGATCGTAAGGCTTTTTAACACTCCTGGGCATATCATCATCTATAAGAAGTTCCGATTAAATCGCATCTGAAGGTATATTGAGCCTTAACACATTATCAGATGCACGGCACTCACCCAGCACTTAGGAAGACACAGGTAGATTCCTCATGGCAAGAGAGATTATAAGAAACATAAGCATATTAATACAACTTTTAAACTATGACAGTGGTTTTTCCTTTTTAACAATTTCTTCCTTTTGTTTTTTTAGCTGACAAGGAAAAGAATGTTCAGAGGCTTCACATTCTAGATACTTGTCTGAAACTTGATGATACTCCCTATCGTAAGGCCGGCGACTTAGCCCTGCCGCAACCGCCGTCAGCGCCGTCCCTTCCGCAGGCAAAGGTGGCAGAGGCACTAAGTAACCTCCTGGGAGGCGAAGGATACTTCTCAAAAAATGTGCAGTTGTCGCATAACTATCATATTGGTATGGAACTTGATGTAGCTTTGCCTTTGTTTTACTTAGTAAACTTGGTGCAGTGTGACATTCCCAGTCCATTGGGGCTGGACTGCCTGGGTTTGCATTGTTGCCATAAAGCATAATACTTAGGTGTAGATTTTCTCTAGCTCCAATTTCCTTCCCTGTAAAATGACCATAATAATAGTGCCAGCCCCACAGATCTCTTGGGATTAGTAGATGAAATTATACGTGTAAAATTGTGAGTGTCTGGCACATGACAAACTCTTAGTGTATTTTAACTACTGCCAGTAGCTGCTGCGGTAAGAGTGTTGGACATTTTGAAACAGAATGTCACTTTGAACAGTGTGTGAAAATGTCAATTCATTTCTTTCAGATTTTGAAATCAGAATGGACAAGAACAGGAGTCAGGCGTTTCCGTTTTCTGATGTGGATATAACTTGTGCTACAAATATTCAAAGGTTGCTCACTTGTACTCACTTTCTGGGCTTTCTGAATTTAAATCTTAATTCTAAAAGACTTTGTATTAAATAGGAATACTACTAAGACTGTTTATTTGTATAGAGCTTACAACACCCTGTCAGACTTGTCATCTAGGAATCTGCCCCACAGTTGGAAATGAGGGCGTTATTGTTGGAAACAGTGGACTGGAGTTGGACCCTTTACCAGATAGACATTTTATTCAAAGTTAAGCTGTGAGCTAAACAGTTCAGTAAAACAGCATAACCCAGTTGAAACTATTAGTGTGGTGTAAACTTTTGGCATGAAATAAAATAATAGTGATCTTAAAGATTTGAAACTTCTTCAGAAATCAAATATGCAATGAATACTTTGCAGAACCTTTATGCCAGGACATTCCCAAAGATAGAGAAACTGCAGATTCTTTTCAATTTTTGTAAAAATTTGTTTTAGTTTTATTTGAAAAGCAGAGTTACACAGAGAAAAGAGACGCAGACAATGATTTCCAGCCATTGATGACCAGTTAGGAGCCAGGAGCTTCTTCCTGGTCTCCCGTGTGGGTGCAGGATCTCAACAAGTTGGACTATCCTCTGCTGCTTTCCCGGGCCGTGTGCAGGGAGCAGGTTTCAAAGTGCAGCAGCCAAGGCACAAACTGGCACCTAAATGGAATGCTGACACTGCAGGTGGAGGCTTAGGCTACTGTGCTATGATGCCAACCCCGAGCTACAGCTGCTGCTTTTTAAAAATTTTTGTTTTTCATGATACAGTTCATAGGCTGAGGGATTTCCACTTCTACCCTCCTATAGCTTTTCAATTATATTGTTTTGTGCGTGGTTCAGAGCACATTGGAGCTAGTTGTAGGTCATTTTCTTGACTCGGGCATTACAAATATAGGGTGTCTTGTGAAATTATGATGTGTTTATTCGAGAATATCTGCCTCTTCACCAGATACATGGGACCAGGTCATCATTTCACACACTCTTTGGCACACGAAGAGTCCGACATGGGTCCTAACCCCAGTGGACTTACATGCCTTGTTGCTCCACTGGACGTGCACATTCATTGAGGCAACAGGGAATTTTGAGAGACTGTCGGGATTCGAACTGTTTCCTACTCTCCTCCATTCACAGTCAAGTGTGTGACTTTGATTCCTTTCTTTCTGAATTCGTCTAGGCTCCCGAAATTCAAGGTCTATCCTTGATTGTCTTTTCCTGCCGTCTTGCATACCCATGTTGTCTATCTCTTCTCAAGAAATGCTTTGTCTGTAACCACATTCCAGGTCTGAAGTACTGCACTGTTATCCCAGGAACAGTACTGAGAAGTGAGGGTTCTCAGGATTGTTTTTAAAATACGGAAGTTCTCTTAAGGCAAGACAGCCAGAGCATGGGAGAAAAGAGTAAGGATCTTTTTTTCCCCCTCCCAATGAATTTAACTTTTTTCCAAAATGTTGGGAACAAAGGAAAAAGAAGTTACATTTCCCATGTTTCTATTACATTTTCATATTGCCTCTGTTTTTTTGAGTTTTCTTCTCTGGATCTGGTCTGCTAGTTCTGGTTTTTAAAATGCAGATTATGTACAAAAAAAAGCATTTCCTATTTGGTGTTTTCTATATAGAAGAAACAACCAATTTAAATTTGAATCATTAGTGATCAGTGCTGCACAAAATCCCTTCCTGCTTTTGTAGCTAAAACTTTTCCTCATCAAAAATGGAGCTGTGTTAAAGTTAGCTGAGGGGTAACTGGACACAAAAAGCATTAACCTCAACTTCCGGTTCATGAAGTTTCCTTACTAAAGTATCTACAGAAGTGAAATAACAGAAAGAAGTGAATGCCTGAGCAGTAGGGAATGGAAAGGACTATGATTAGTGGAAAACTCATCTTTGAAATTTTCAACAAGATTGTAAATGCCCATTCCATTAACTTCTGTGTGCTTCATTTTCAGAGTAGCTGTACTGTGTGTTCCTAGATCTGCATATTGCTTGTATTCAAGCCACCCTAGAGGATCCCTTGCTATGAAAATTCGGCATTTAAATCTAATGGGTTTTCATGTGATCTTGGTAAGAAAAAATGCAAGTGAAATGTTCTTCAGTTACTGATGCATATCCTCACAGCTTGACGGAATGCTGTGGTTAAAGTTGGTTAGAAGGTCTTCTGAGGAATCCTCAGCCTCACTTTTTTCTTTGAAAAAGAACATTTCTAGTATATGATTTGTTCCTACGTAGATTACTATCATTTGCTACTGGTTTTATAAATGCTATTTTAGTCAGCTGTAACTCTTTTTTGTTAAGAGGAAGTATATAAATATTATTTAATTTAAGGCATATGAAACCAGACTCAGTTTTCAGGTTATCTTGACCAGGGAGGAAGAGGTGGCAAGCATCAGTTTGTTATGACTGTTAAGTTGTTGAGGTTGCTTCAGGGTGATTAGCACCAGAAAGGTAACTGACTATTTTTAGAGAATGGCTCTCCCTTCTCTTCCTCTGTGTTCGGATTCTTAGTGCCAAAGCTTGGCATGATCAGCCTCTTCAGATGTCTGTGTAGGGAGCAAGAGCCTCTCAGATAGCTGTACCCTCCGTGAGTGCTGGTAGCTGTGTGAACACTGTTCATTGAGTCCTTCGCATGGTGTGAACTGTAAGCTCTTTCATCTCCCAGTGTGATACCTCAGGATACAGAAATGGTTATGCGTTGATTGCCGAGGGTAAAATGACCTCTTTCTCTTAAGAGGCTAACACTTAACACTTTTTTCATGCTGGCCATTATATGCAGTCTAAGGGAAATTTTTCTGTAAGTAGTTTTTATTTCAGTTAGAGTTAATTTCACTATCAGAGCTTTCTTGAATTTGAACATGTAGTGTATCAGGCCTTTAAAATATTGAGGTATGTGTTAGAAGGTAACAATTGCTTTTAAAAAACAATTACTTGATGCCACTTTAATATGCTTGTATCTCTAAATCCTCTTCTATGTTACAATCTTCTGACAAACTTTCTTCTTTCTTTGGTAAGGTCAATAACTGGGAGATGGAAAAGCTGGAGATGGAGAATGCAATGGCATTTTTGAAGACTAACATCTATTCAGTTGAAGCCCTTCCTACCGCAGATGTAAATTCCCAAAGCACATAATAAAGTGAAAGTCAACCTTTTACATTAAGAAGTATGCATTTGTAAAAGTAATAAAGACCACAATTCACTTGTCTGTGGATTTAACCTGTCTGTTTACTCTAATGAAAGTTACTTCACTTTTCTCTTAAAGTCGGTTTTAAGAATGGAAAAAGTCTTGTTGCTGGCATTTTAGAATGTTGAGCAAAGCTCAGACTGATCATTCTAACCACATACATTCCATAGTGCTGAGATATTTGACAAGTTCATGAGCTGTAGGATTCACTTTTTCTCCTTAACCTTGAGGTATTAAAACCCAATTTCTTAGTTGTAAATGAGTGTGGGCAGACCTTGTGTTGCAAATATTTGTATTTATACACTTGCTACAAGTTATTGTAAAAGTTGGCCTTATTTCTCCAAATTATTTTCAAACATTGGCCAGAGAGCAGTTGTGGCAGATTCTAAAAGTATGCAATGTATCAGGATTAGTACGGTATTGTGTTAAAAATGGTCGCAGGTGACACTTGTATTTGTAACAAACATTTCGGGTGAAGGTATTTTATGAACCATAATAAGAGAAGCAACACATAGATGGTGAGGAGTCTGACTTTGTTAAAACTGATAGTCTGGGAGTTGCCAACACCACAACTCCGACTCCTGCTATTGAAGTTACTTCTTCCCCCTTCTAGAATTTCATGAAACTTTTTAATTGAATATGTAACTCAACTATTGTGATTCAGACCTGGGGACTGTTCTCCAGTTCTTTCTTCAAATATTTGTCTAAATTCAGCAGTTGTTTTGAATAAGCCCATCTCTCCCTGGACATAGTGAAGAATAAGCATAGTCACCTGAGGACACCCGGACAGGAGTTCCATGCAGTGTGGTGTGACTCCCTTGGAGCCCCTCGGAGATAGTGTACAATTATTGCACATTTTCCAGGGCCAGGCCCTGGGAAATGTTCCTACACATTATCCTCATTGTCATACAGCCCTCTGTTCTGTAGCTTGAGTCTGGGCATTTGTTTCCTCCCCCATAACATGAGCTCACATTATTTGCCCAAGGTTACAAGAGATCTAAGGCAGGGCTAGGCTTTGAAAGTGAGCAGACAGCGGCTTATAGGAAAAGTACAGTATCCCCAAGCTCATAGTAAAAACACCGCTGCAATATTACAGCACTTGTCAGGTTTTATCAACTTACCCCACCTGCACTCGGAAAAGGTTAGAGCTGACAATAAATTTAGTGATCATTCAATGCTCCCTCCTCGCTTTATGGATGAGAAAGCAAAGGTTCAAAGAATTTTATTCCTCTGAGGTCTCAGCCATGCCATTGATTTCCACATCGTTTCACCCTCTGCCGCTCTGCAGCTTTTGTCCCAGGAGGGCTCAATTCTGCATCCGTGTGGACTTTGCCTAGTTTTGTGTGGTGAAATAATTGAACCTGTACCAGCTTCAGACTGAGATGAAAAGACCGTTTTTAAAGAAAGAAAGATTCATTCTTTAAATGTTAAGTATGTATCAGTTTCTTCTAATGACTAATTACGACTTGCAGTCAAAGGATTGGACAAATTTATGAATATTTATAACCACCGTTAGAGTAGCAATTTTCTTGAGTTTGTACTGATTGACATGGAAGATAAAAAATCCAGTCCTCTTTTACTGGCGTGCTAGTGATCGCATCCTTCGTTGCTTTGTGGCAAGGAAAGAAAATTGGGCAGAAAACTAGATGATCAACACGAGAACATTTCAATCTATGACTGAAAACATGAATATTCAAGTAACTAAGGTATTTTTGCCCTTTCAAATTGGCAGTCTTTTTTTTGCTTCAAGAATTACAGTGCTGACAAAGGTGTAATGAGGCAGGCAACTGAACACACGGCTAGTGGGATGTAAATGAATGCAACCTTCCAGGCATAAATGGACTTTTGTCCCCTACGTTTGTGAAAATTAGCTGTATCAAAGGACAATTGACATATGACAAGTCGCATGTACTTAAGGTACACAGTTTGGTAAGTGTTGATCCTTGAGTATGTACATTCACAGCCATGAAATCATCCACGCAATCAGAATAATGAACATGCCTATCAGCTCTAAAATGTTCCTTTCCCTTTGCTTCTGTTCCCCATCTGTGGTGCACAAAGAAAAGTGTTTCCATAGCACTAACTGTAGATCATTTGAGGTGTCTGTGGAACTCAATAGAAAAAAGTATACAGAATAAGGACTAAAATTGGTGAATCCCAATGTATTAGGGAAGATAGTAAATATTTGTGTGAAGTAGCTAATTTTTTTTTCAGAATTCTTAATGAGAAGTTTAATCTTGCTTTCCAGACACAATGATTAAGTATCAAGTACTGTGCTTATACTGAGCTTCATGTGCAGTTCCTGAAGATGGCAAGTTCTTCATATCTGTGGTAGGTAGTTAACTATTGTAAGAAACTTGGCTTATACAGGTAGCTGCTTATTTAAAGCTTTATTTAAAAGTATATACACATACACACATAGCCCTGTATATTACATACATAATATATTTTTTTGGAAGAGTTGTGCAGAGAGAGGAAGAAACAGAGAAGTCTCCCATGTGTTGACTCTCCCCAGGTGGCTCCAGTTGCTAGGGTTGGGCCAACTGGAGCCAGGAATCAGATGTTTCACCTATGTTTCATTTTCAGTGTATTTGGCAGGGGTCCAAGCAGTTGGGCCATCTTTTGCTGCTTTCTCAGGCCATTAGCTGGGATCTGTATCGGAAGTGGAGTAACTGTGACAAAAACCAGCACTCATATGAGATGCTGGCATCACAGGCAGTGGCTTTGCTCACTATGCTACAGTATTGTCACTAACAATTTCAAATTTGTAAAAACTAAAAGTTGGTGAAAACTGGAAATCTAGAGTCTTAACAGCCATTTTTCTGTCATTTACAAAACTTGACATTGATTTTTGGTGATAATACAAAGGGATTGCAAATGTAATTGGACTTTCTTTTGACATTTTTTTGAATGGTGTTGAAGGTCTAATTTGTAGAATTAGTTATATGCTTTTAGAATATTTATTCTGCAGCTGGCCTGGACATCTTTAAGTACAGAATCCACAAAAACAGATTTGGATGTCTCCTTGGAGCTGTACCTGTGCGAAGCAAGATTCCTCAAACCCCAACTGACTTCGCTTACTTGTGGAATTACTCAGCAGCTAGAAAGTTCTTGAGCATCATGATGGTTCGCTTGGCAGCAGGCTGCTAATGTAGCCGTGCAAGTGACTGGATGCATTTTTTGGCTTCATTTAATACTCCACAGCAGCACATTGAGTGCCAGATGCCTAAGTACAGGTACATTTTTGGTGGATGTGTCAATTGTAATGTGTTTGCTATGGTCTAGGGAGTGAGGTTATAAACCAATTTTGGGGGCTACCGAGAGAGCTGAAGAGGCACTTATTTCTTGACATGCTTGTGACCTGTTTGTGGGTGAGCCATGGTGGACCCAGACTCCCAACTTAAATTGCACAATGTGTTGTGTGCTATGTGGCATTCATTTTGCTAGTGAGGACTGTAGCTAAGATAATGTGGCTCTGGAATAAATAACATGCATGATTACTCAGGTGCCTGGCTGCAAGCAGAGGCAGCAGCCTGGCAAGTGATGGTGCTCTCACATCCATTCCCGGAAGACTACTTAAAAGCTGGGATAAGGGGTAGGTTGGATAGAGGGGCCGAGAGGGGCTCCCAAGGCCAGAGTGCTACACCCACAGACACAACAGACAGATTTGGGGGTGATCTGATGGAGTTTCTGTACAGTCTCCCCAACCAGGCTACAACACCCACTGATGAGTGCGAGAACTGGAGCTGGGGGCAGGCCAGGCCAGGCAAGCTGCCCCCAATGACACGTAAAGAGCTAGCCTGAGAGTGAAGGGACTTAGAGCATCTTCCTGGGCCAGGCATTGGGCTTTGCTGGTGCCCACAGGCCTAGGCTGGGGGCAGGCTGAGCCAGGCCACTGTACCAGCCATTTCACACAAGAGCTGGGTCTGGGGACCAGCCTAGAAGGAGTTCAAAGGGTTTCTGTGACTAGGTTGCCACACCCGTTGGTATGTGTGAGAACCACGGCTGGGCTAGGCCAGACTGGTAACCATCGGCTCATGTGACAGACAAGTCTGAGGACTGGTCTAGTAGGGGTTCAAAGGGTTTCAGTGACCAGGTCATTGCAACCTCCAAGAGTGAGTGGAGGCAGAAAATGGGCTAGGCCAGGCTGCTGTATACTCCAGCTCATGTGAGAGCTGAGTCTGGGGACCGGTCTTGTAGGAGTTCTTACAGGTCACCCAGACCAGGCTGCTGCACACACTCTCACACCTGAGGTTGGGTCTTGGTCTGGGAGGTAGACGAACAGGTCTTAGAACTTGTACTGAGAGAACAGTGAAGAGCCTGTGTGAGGACAGATGGAATTTGTCACATCTTATACAGTGAAGCCAACAACTTTTCAGGAACACAGCCATAGCCATTGAAGGGAAAACCCCTGGCCAGCGATAAGGAACCACTAGGTGATTCTTAAATCAGGTCAGCTAGGCAGCCAGCTTAGCATCACAAGCCAGAAATCACATGTCCCCTACTCAGTGTCAATCTCCCCTTCCCTAGCACTCAAGTAACACCTCCAGGATGTTCTTCTCCCAACCGGGATCCCTGAGACAGCACCAAGAGACCACCTCTGTCACCCAGCACTGATGGAGTCTGACAGCAACAACCAGTGCATCCTCTGCCCCAACCCAGCAAAGGAAGGCAGGCAGAGACACTTCTCCTGCCATCATCTGTCTCCCCGACTCTGTGCCCTTACCCGGCACCCACACGGGTCTGCAGTTCTCTCACCTTCTTCACAAACATTTAAAAATTAAAAGAATAACAAATACATTGATACAATAAAATGTTTAAGCAAAACAAAAAAAATTAAGCCACCTACTTTTTTGGGTAAATATTTTTACTGGAAAGGCATAGTTACACAGAGAGAATGAGATCTTCCGTTCACTGATTCACTCCCCAAATGGTTGCAACAGTTGGAGTTCAGTCATTCCAGTGCCAGAAGGCAGCAGCTTCTTCCAAGTGTCCAACGTAAGTACAGCAAC